ATAAGTCAAAGCTATTAACAATTTGGAATGATTTGAAAAAAATATTCTATTTTACTGTCTTTTGTTTATTTGGATTTTGTGATAATTTATTTCGGAAACTATTCTTTTTCATCCTCATTTGCCACTTCCTTTCTTTGTTCTTAACGATAATGAGTGACTAGTTTGGGTCCAATAAAATACCTTGGAACTAGGTCTATTTAATTTTTCAGATCTTTACGTTCTGTTTGCATAAAATCTAGCAAAATATGAGTTTAGTGAACACTTTGCCGAATGGTACAAGTCGCTTACCCTAGCGAGACTAACTAGCAAATTGCTAGTCTTTCTATTCTACAACTTGAAATTTACTAGTTATTATTAAAACAACTTACTATTAGTAAATTACACTTGCTATTTACTAGCAAATTACTAGCAAATTATCATGTGAAATGTTTGATCAAATCTGCTTAAGTTCGAATCTTACGAAAAATCATCAAAAAAAGAATTTTTTGCGTCATAAAAAATTTTGTTCTAAATTTGGCATTTGCCATATACTTCACAAGAGCACGCAGAAATCACCTTTATAAGGTCGATCCAAATTTGTATGTATGACTTTTAATTAATTATTTTTCTTCCTCAGATTTGCGTGCCAGTCATGGGCGTTCATCAGTGGTTGACTTAATTAAATTAAGTCTTTTATTTTTTTCATAGTGTTAGTGTACTTTGATTAAGTACACACTAATACTTTTACAATAATTTACACAAGTAAGAAAAATCAAAAGAACACGTAGAAATCAACGGTTATATTCATTTAATTTTTTTACAAATTTGCTAGTAAATTACTAGTTAAATTGTAAGCGAATTGACTAGTCAATTAGCAAGTGAAAATGCGGGTCTTTGGCGAAGATTTGACCTTGGATTTTGACTAGTAAATAGCAAGTAGCAAATGGAAAGTTATCCAGTAAATTACTAGGAAATTACTAGTAAATTTCTGCTAGGGTTAATTGACCAGAAATCTTATTCGAAGCCAGCACCATGCTAGAGTCATTCCGGCTTGGCGCCAGATTAATTTAAGATTGAACCAACTTGTGCCATTCGGGTTTCTTATCATTTTATATTTTTATTGCATTTATTTTACTTTTGTTTCAAAATGAGTGTGAAGCTGTAAACAAAGTAATTAATTTTTAACTTTACTGACATTCTTATTGATTAATGTATTTTTTTTCTTAAGCCTTTGCATGCATTTACGCTGATTATCATATTTTAATGAACGGAATAGTTCTGTACTTTTATTACTTTTTAAGGCCCGAGAAAAATACAAAAAATTTGCAATTAAGTAAAAATTTGGCGCGGAAATAAAACCTCATAAAATCATCCCACCGAAGCACCACCCAAAAATTATATTCATATTAATAATTCTTAAATTAAAGACTATAAAAATGTCATTAAATGAGCTTACGGAAAGAAATAAATCTGAATGTTTTTCTTAATTCTTATTGAAGAATTTCAGCGAGTTCTGGTTCATTAAATATTAATAGCAATATTTCAAATATTGTTTTGTTTTAGCATGAGATCATAATTAATGAATGAATAGAGTAATGAAGATATTTTGGGATTTTTGTAAATTTTTTATTTTATACTTATGAATGAAGTTCTTCTGAACGTTCCCGAATAATACAAGTCGGTAAATTGAATAGAAATCCAGCGCCAAGGTGGCATGATTCTAGCATGACGCTGGCTTCGATTTTAATTCTGCACAATGCCAGAGGCACACTGGACTAATCGACTTGTGCCATTCAAAGTTATTTTTTACTAATGTTCGAAAAATTTGAAAAATTTAAGACTTAAAAAACATTTTTGGATAGTTTTTTAAGTTTTCTTTGAAATTTGAAAGTTTTTTTGACCTTTCAAAATTAAATGAACTTATCAAAATTAAATAAAAACCAAATTGATTAAATTTTTGTCAAAAGTAATTTGGAAATAAGCTTCAGCTCAAATATTGTCCATACTCACACATAATACTTGCACTGCATATCCAAAAAATTGATGTCAAACCAACAAGAACTTGCTCAATCTTCTTCATTTTTCTATTTTTTTTTTCAAATCTTCTTCCAAATATTTCAACTATCTTTGACTTTAAAATCGCACATAAAAGCCAACCACAATCTCTTGACATAAAACAACAATAAAATATTTTATGACATCGATAATTGTTTACTTTCTTAGTAAAGTTCTTGAGAAGTTGTCAAGCACGAAGTCACTTGAATTCTTTGCTCATAGAACAAGGTCAGATTTTTTTTCTTGAATTTTATTTTTTTCGTTTGATCTTTTCAATTTTTTTAGAAAAAAAAGTTTTTCGGTTTTTTCGCACGAAATGATTGATTAGCTTTAAAATCGAGGATAAAGTTTTATGTGAATTTTTTTAGTTTTCAAAGATGTGAAGACATATGTTATTTGATATTGTATTTCCAATGATTTTTGTGTGACAAAAATAACGTTTTAGATTATTTCTAAAACTTTGACTATTTCCGATATTTTTTTTTAATTTTTAATCATTTTTTGGAAATTTTGTTCTATTTATTTAAATTTTTATATTTTTTAAAATCTTTTAAATTCGTTAACTTAACTTTAATCAAAAATTTAAACTATTTCACAAAATAAGGCACTAAAATGACTGTAAGACACCTTAACGATTAATCATAAATTGTTAAAATTAATCGACCGAAACGTCTGACTTCAACGAGATGAATGAGAAGGAAAAAATGATTATGTGCTGGAGATTTTTTTTTCGTTTGAGCTTTTTGTGCTTTGCTTGCCGCTCTCTCGAAAACCACATTTTTTGCTCACTCTCAATTTTTCATTTATATTCATATGTAAATTTTTTGATCGTTTATTGAAATTTAAGTTTGATTGTTAAAGATTTCAATTTTTTTTCAACATTATAAACTTTGTACTGATATAAAGTTGTGTCCAACACTTTGGTTCAAATAATGTTAAAGGTTTGGTAATTCAAAAGTTTAATTATTAGTGCATAACCTATTTTAAATGCTTTTTCGGAAGACTCGGATAGGATTCTGTTGACTTGAATATTAATATTGCATAATTTGTCTTCAAAATATTTGAACTTTCTAAATTTCCCATATTGAATTTTTCATCAAATAATACTCACAGCTGTCCATATCACTCAACAAATCTTCAAACATGTCAACTCTGCCAAAATGTTTAATTTTACTTTTAGCCATTTGGATCAAAGAACTTAATGCTGTATCATTGAAGAATACTTCTTGCTCAATTTTTCTTGATTCTAAAGCTATTGCTGCCACAGGATATGGACATTTGATGTTCTTGCAATTAACTTCGTTATTCTGACAGATGCAATGCAAACAACCATCAGGTCCTGACTTAAATTCTTCATCTTCACGAAATTGTTGTCCTTCATAGATGCATGTAAATTGCTTTGGAACTTCAACATATATGTGCGTTCCATTATCATCATAATCCATATAAATGGCATAATCGTAGTCGATTTTATTATCTGAAAATGTTTGAAGTTGTTGCATGCCTTGAAATATTTAATAAATTAAGAACCACTTACCAAAAATTGAACCATAGGAAGAAATTGTCAATGTTGAAATTACTATGGTCACAGTTAGCGAGAAATTTGACATTTCGACCACTTTGATAAGTTTGGAAAATGGATTGAATGAAATCAATTTCTTTGATTTCTAGAAAAAAACAAGGTTAATCACTTGATCGTAGATTAAGTTTAAATCTCTCCCAATTGCCCTGTTTCCACCTATTAAAATAAATTTGTTTAAATGATTGTTTTTTAAGAAGAAGAACTGCTGTAAAAATTCTTTTAGAACCCTTTAAGTGAATAAGCTCTAATGGACTCTACTTTGTTGCAAGATAATGCAAAACAAATTAAATTCAGTCAAAATAAAGTTATGCTTTGTATTAAACGATCAAGTTACAAAATGAACGGTCCGGACTATTTACTCAGCTAATGTATAAGGTACCCTTAAATAAATTTTAATGATCTCTTAAAATTTATTCATTTCTTTTTAATTTTAGCGTGCCAAATTTTTTCTATTTCACAATTGATATTTAATTGATTCAAAATGTGTTTTAGATTGAACTAATTTGAATATATATTTTTTGGAGAAAATATTTGATCTAGGAACTAATAAAATTGTTGTTTAAGAATGCCGAAGAAAGTTCATTCACTTTTTGTTTCAAATATTTGGATTTAACTGAATTCAAATGTTACTTAAAGATTATATTTGAACACCAAATGCACAATCAATTGTTCCAATACCTGTACCGGGAAGTACTACCTTGATTAAACAATAATTGCTCTTGAAATAAGCGTCAACCGCCAATAAGAAATTCAGATGATAAATTTTAATTTCTGGATATTTCTGAGCCCAATCGTTGCCAGATTTGGCATAAAAAGACAACAAAAAAATATTTCGAATTTGTTGAATATTTTCAAAAAAGCTCATGGTACTACCCAAGGAGATCACTAAAATTGCTTATAATAACCAGGAAATTAGTTCTAGAAATTTTTTAAGGATTAAAATACCTTAAAATATCGCAAATTCTTAAAAAAAATTCAATATTCATTCAAATTTTGCTTTACAAAAAACTTCAAAAATACACAAAACTAAAACCACCCGAAACGCTTGACTAGACCGAATAGAATGACGAGATATAGATTTATGCTCGAGAATTTTTTGATTGAATGTTAAAGCTTTTTCTAGTGCTGCCCTCTATAGCGAAGAATTGCCTAACATCAATCAGTGCAAAAAAAATCAGCGTGGGATTTATTGCGCTATTATTTATATTGTACGAGATTTATTTTTAATTTTGGAATAACAAGTTCATATATATTTAAATAAAAATTTTCATGAACTATGTGCAGAACATGTGAAGCTCACGCTGATTTTATAAATTAAAATGTTTACATTTGTTTTTAAGATGTGAAAAACATTTTATTCAGTTTTTTGTTTGAATGAACTTACCTTCTGATTCTGGGGTTTCTGGATAATTTTCTGGTATGAGACTTGCTACTGTTGTGTTGATTTCTGGAACTTTGAGTTTTTCCCTTGGGATCTGTTGATTACGAAATCATAAATGAGAAATTCTAAAATCATAAATCATATTTCTCACCAATTTATTAATTTTTTTCAGATTTTCATCCTCGGGTTCCACTAATTCCGGCATTTCTGTCAAACATGCATCATCATTGCATCGGACATCAGTATCAACACACATACAAATCGAACAATTATTTGGACCCATTCGGAACTCTTCTCGTTCTCGGTACCATTTATCTTGATAGTGACATGAAATTGGTTCCACTATTGACACTGTTGAAGTATGTCCTACTGTATAATATTTTTTAGTTACTACTTCCTCTTCTTCTATTGGATTGATTTCATAATTTTGTGTTGTTTCAAGATTTTCACTGTATTCGTCATAAGCTGCAACATGATACAAAAAATTGATCAATTTTTATCTCTGGACAAACTTTAATTGTAATATTTTCATGTCTTTGCTAATGAATAAGTGAAGGCTTACTTACTGTAATCAACTTGCTGCCCACATGAAGACTCAAATGTACAAATCACTAAACACAGGATAACCAACAACCTTTTAACTTTTGACATTTTTGTTTAAAATTTTCTTCTTTTAGAATTTAAAAATTTAAATCATTTCACAAATTTACACATTTGGCACATTCGAGTGACGCTTCTGTTTACTTTCAGTTGATTTTATTTTCTATTTTTATTCAAGATGAGATAAAAATTGCATGACACAAATATAATTTTTTTGCACACATTAATAAATTTTTGAGAGGGTTAAATCCAAGAAATTTTTTTAAATACTCTTTAAAAAAATAGATTTTTAATTTAAAAAAATTAAGTTTTTACTTAAAAATTTTTCATTTTAAGTAAAATTGAATTTTTTTTAAATTTTTCTTTAAATTTCTTTTTTTTTTGTCAAAGTAAAAAGAAGATTTTAATTTTCAGAATTATTATCAAACCAATCCAAAATGATTCATACACATTTAAAAAAATTATTTATTATTTTATTATATTAAGGAACCGATACGTTTCACTTCACAGAGATAAATGATGTGAAAAATTAATTTGCGATCAACAATTTGTTCATTCTCAATTTTTATATTTTTTTTCGATCTCTTTGAAAATTTTCTCTTATAGAAAAATTATCGACTCTCATTTTTCTTGAAAAAACTTTTTTTTTTCAGCAAAGTTTAAAAAATCAGAAGTAATAATTGTCTCACTACCACCAAAAAAAACCTTGACCACTGCACATAATTGCACATTAATTGTCTACAAATTTTACTCATCATTGAGCCTTCAAGTGGATAAGACACGTTTTTAAATTGTGAGCAAGAATTATTTTTATTTAAAAATTTTGAAAAATGACCCATTTGGAGTGGTTCAAGTTTCTTTTACTGCTCACCTTTGCAGTTTGGATGCATCAATGCACAGCATTTAGTGGAATTGGTAAGTGAATGTGATTAAAAACGTAACCGTTTTATTGAAATTCGAAGAAATTTAAGAAACAAAAACTTTAATCTATTTGAAAAATTTAGTGAATTTGAGATTAAAAAAAAATTAAAATTTTAAACTGAATTTTACTTAAAAAAGAGCAAAACTAATTGTCGTGCATGAGTGAACCCTTTTGAACAGTTTTTAACACCCTTTTTGTTCAAAGGCACACTTTTCTATTTCAAAATATTCGCGGCACATCTGAAAAGTTTTCACAAATGATTTTCATGACTTTTTTGGAAGTCATTTAACATGAAAACATAGGATTAAATTTTAAATTTTTCCGAGAGAAACCTGGAATTATTTTGCTTCACAACGTTTGAGCACTACTAATTTAGACACAAAGATGTATCCAAAGCGGAAGAGTTCTCTTATTGGATACCAATTTAAACTGTTTTTTGAAAATCTTAAAATTTGTAAACCTTCCTTTTTAAAAACTTTGGCTATTGTTAAATTCTTGGGATTCTTAAAAGTTCAAATTTTGTAGACAAAATTTTAAATTCAAACCTTAATTACCGCAATCTTTATTCTTTATTTTAAAAATAAATTTGAAATGATTTTAAATTAACAATCATATTTATTATTCTCAAAACCTATAACATCAAATGCCGGCACAACAATATTCATATCGTAAATGTTTTTAAGCTTTGTCAGCAAATTAAACTTCAAAATTCAAGTGAATGAAATTGGAGAACATTTAATGACTGAAATTTGAAATTTTAGATTGACAAGCATTTTTTTTTCATTAACTTATTTTTTCTACTGAATTATGTCTTTAATATTTTTCACTATTTGTGCCACTATTTTGAATTAAATTGAGAAAAAAAATTGTTTTTAACTTTTCTTGTCTTAAAAAAATCTTATTTCAATACTTTTTAATGATTTCTTTACATTTTTATAGATTCTAAAGCAACTGTTTTAAAAGATTGCTGTTTATTTGGGAGAAATCGGTCAAAAAAGTCGTGTGATGGATCTTCATTTGATTTTCATTCAATTCCCAACGATTTTAGAGTTGAATGTAAAAGTAAAATAAAATATTGTTGTCGAAAAAAGCGAGAAATTGAAGATTGTAATGAAGGAGTTTTAGCTGCACAAAATGGATCTACATGTCCTAGCATATCAAACAAGTATACGGTAAAATTTGAGTTCAAGATCCAAAATTCTAAAATATAAAATAAGGATCGTTCACTTATAACGTTCGAAATTAACGGTCATTTTTCAAAAAAGAACAATGGATCTCCAGGAATTATTATTGTTTTTTTTCTTGCTGACCTTCCGGACGTCATAAATGAACGACCCCTTAGTAGCGAATTGTTTAATCTAAACGACACAACTTTAATTTCTGACAGATCTGCCACAAAGCATGCTTGCTTGGTGTAAGAATGGCTGAGAAGGGTGATGACTGCAACAAACCAACAAAAGGTGAAGAATTATTAGAAATCAATGCGAGAAGAACGTGCTGTATAGCCAAGAGAGAAGAACTTTTACTATCTGATGATGACGAAACTAATGAGGCAATTGGTGAAGAAGATGAATATGGTGATGATGAAAATGATACGTTTTTTGATGCAACTAGTCCTGGTCCAGAAGAAACTCCTCCTTCAGAGCAAACAACTAATTCGGAACCGGCAAAAACGACACAACAAACAACATCAACAACTGAATTCACGACCACAAATAAGGAAATAGATTATGATGAAGCTACTGCTAGTTATTCCACTACGACTATATATCCAATAACAACAAATTCACTTCAAGAGACTGCAGCTAAGTTTGGTAGCTTTTGGATATCAAGAACTACTCCTGTTCAGACAAACAGCTTAGAAACTAATGAAATTGACACTCAAACAACTACTCGTAGATTTCCTCCAAAGTATAGACATCCTACTATTACAAACAAAGATTCTTCATCGTCAAGTGAAGAAAAAGCTATAACAAGATCGCCGTCAAGTGAAATTAAACAATTATACATCTATGAATATCCAAAACTTTCAGATAATCACACCAAACCTTTAATGTTCTACAATTTTACTTTTAAATACCCAGTCCCATTTGATTTAACTAAATTCCTAGCAAGCAGACGCAATATCGGTAACAATCCTGAACCATGTGGTGATATTCGATACTGTGATCATAGTTGTATAGTCATGCAAGACGTCCAAAAGTGCTCATGCAATAAAGGATATATTCTACAAAATGATGGAAAAACTTGCTTGCTTGATGGTTCAAGAATTCCACCAGAGGAAATCACCAAAAAACGATGTCAATCTGGACACTTTTTGAATGATTTTGGTGACTGTCAGGATATTGATGAGTGTAAGATCCAAAATAATGGATGTGGAGATAAAGCTATTTGCAGGAACGTAATTGGAAGTTATGAGTGCATTCCGACGGATATTTGTAAAGCTGGATATAGATATAATGACAGTTCAAAGTCGTGTGAAGGTAAGATTAAGGCAGATTCAAGAAAATTAACAAAATTTAAATAAAAATCGAATCATATGATAATTTAGACATCAACGAGTGTTCTGAATATCCAAGAGTCTGTGAATATGAACAAGTATGCAACAACACATTAGGAAGCTACATTTGTGAAGACTCTTTCAGTGAATTTAAAGCACGATGTGAAGAATTAGTTACAACTACACTTCCAACAACAACAACAACAACTCAAGATCCTTGTCATCGAGGATTTCAGAGAAATTACAAAGGAATATGTGTTGGTAAGTGTTGGACACAAAAATAACTTTCAGATTAACTTAACAATTTTTTTCCAGATATCGATGAATGCCTTTTTAATCCATGTGATCAAGGTCTCATCTGTGTCAATCGTAATGGTGGCTATACTTGTGAGGTATCTCATTGCAATCCTGGATTCAAACCTGTCGGAAGAACTTGTGAAGATATTAATGAATGTGATAGTAATCCTTGCCCGTTAACTCACAATTGCTTAAATACTCATGGTTCATATGCTTGTAAAATGAAGATGTGCACTCGTGGATACAGACTTGATAGAACTGGAGGATGTGAGGATATCAATGAATGTCATATCTACAAAAACTTGTGTCGAAATGCAGACTGCATAAACACAAATGGATCTTTTCTTTGCAATTGCAATGATGGATATAGAAAAGATGAAAATAATTATTGTAGAGACATTAATGAATGCACAGAAAATATACACGATTGCAATCATCGATGTGTCAATACTTTTGGTGGATATCAATGTTATTGTGAAAAAGGATATAGATTAAATTCAGATAAAAAGACTTGCGATGATATTGATGAATGCAGAGAGAATGGATACCTTTTATGTCAAGGAGAATGTGTAAACACTTTAGGAAGTTACGAATGCAGATGTCCTTCAGGATTTAGAAAGGAAGAATCTTACTGTATAGGTGAGAAATATTTTACAAATTCTTAAATGTCAAAAATTTAACTTAAGCTTGATGATTAAGAATTTATCATCAAATTTAATTTTTTCAATACTAAACTTATCCTCAAACTAAACTTATCCTCAAACTAATCCTATGCTTAAGAAACACTTTAATCTGAGTTTCGAAATTTTTGTTAAGTTTAATATTTAAAATTTCATTTCTTCAATAGACATTGATGAATGTCAAGAATATCCAGGCGCTTGTGACAAAAAAATAAGTCAATGTCTAAATATACCTGGATCATATAAATGCATGGACATCAGATGTACCGATGGTTATAAACTTGTTCGACGAAATGGTGAAAGGTATAAAAAAACACATGAAAAGTTTTTGAATGAAATTTTTACTTTTTTTTAATTTTTTCATAGATTCTGTCATCTTAGAACGCCATGTGGTGATGACGATTATGAAGACGATTGCAATAAACCGTGGATGTATTCTTACTCTTTTGCATCACGGATTGCTAATTGCTCTGCAAGTAAAATATTTCATGTAGGTATTGCAAATAAATTTAGATATGATGTAGTTATTGAGGATGTTCGAGCATACAGTCCGAAAGATACAGTAAAGAAAGCAGGATTCGATAGCTTTATGTAAGTTTTTTTTAAAAATTTGTTTGACGATATAAAAAATATTTTAAATAATCAACTTTTAGAATTCAAACAAATTCTTCGGGATTCTTTTTGGCATCAATTCAACCAATCGATGGACCACAAGATATCGATATTGATGTCTTAGTGACATATCATAGACCAGATGGAAGTGTGGAACACAAGCGAGGTGTTAAAGTTAAATTGGTTGTATCTGAGTTCTCTTTTTATAAATTTAGTGTCAGAAAATAAAAAAAAAAGAAGATTAAATCATTTTAATAATTAGTTTTAAGCAAGGCGTGGACACGATCCAAAATATCATATTTATCCCACATATCCCAAAAATATTCAAGAAATTCCTGAGCATGTATGTACGATAATAAAGATATCCCAACGTATCCTTAGTATTTTGTACGTGCAATTTTAGGATATGATGAGATATCTCAATTCTAATGCATACAGACTCAGGGATTATTTTGAATATTTTTGGGATATATGGGATAAATATGATATTTGGGATAGTTTCCACGCCTTGGTTTTAAGTTCAGATTCAGTTTTTTGTCAATAAATCAGAAAACGAGGATAAAAGGTTTTTGAAGGTTTTTTTTTTCTTCCAAAAATAAATCCTACTTGATCAAAATTTCCTGGCACAACAAACTTTTGAAAAAATAAAAATTTTGAATAAAACGTAAAATTATCATTATTTTTTCTAAATCTATTTTTACTAATCTTTGGTAAACTAGATAAGTAAATTAATAGTTTTAGTAAATTTTATGATGTCTCGCATTTTATTCAATAGTCGATGGGCAGTTTATGTTTAATTGTTTTTTTTATAATTATTTGCCATTCAAAACTCTTCGCTTTAAATTAATTCCTTTAAAATTTAACTTATTAGAGTAATTTTGTGCAATAATTTTAAGATTTTTTCTCGCAATTTTTATCTTATCATATTTCTATATTTGATAATACAAAACAATAAAACATAAATTTTTATTCACTTGTAACCTTTTTTTTGTCTTCTTAACTTTTAAGTTTTATCTATTTTTTTCACTTTACAATTTTTTTGTTTTTTTTATTTTTCAATGTGTTTCAAATGGAATTACAACTTTAACTAGACTTGCTTCCGATAGTTTCAAAATCGTGATAAATTTTTTATTATCATTTCAAATGATAAGTTTGATAAAATTTTCAGTCACACGGAGTCCGATCGCAAACTAATCCTCTGAGAAAAACTATGTTTTGCAAAAATGATCTAAACCAAAAGCTTAAAACTCAAAAAGCTCTCAAAAGATGCCACTTTTGAATGACGAAAATTTTCATTAGTCTTTTCGCTCACATGTTTTTGTTTATTTTATCATGAAACGATTAAGATAAAAAATATTTAATCTCTATAACAAGTGCTGTCGCTGATTGCACACAGTTGTAGTTGAAATGAAACACAAAAAAAAATCGAGAGTAAAATTAGTATTCTTCAGTTGTCGTTTGATGCTGAAAGTGCGTTCCTTTGTGAGAAGGAATGGTTGTTAAAAAAATATTATTTAAGTTTATTTTAGGATCTAAAATTGATAAAAGTCTGAGTGAAATTTTGAATTAATTTTTAAAAACAGTAAACCATTATTAAAAAGCTCTTAATTTTTAATAATAAAGTAAAAATTGTGAAATTGTATAATTTCTGAAACAAAAAAAAACATGACATTTAAAAGTGAAAAATAATAAAGTTGTCAAAAACATTTGCTCACTCACCGGTCAGATAAGAAATTTGGTCATATGTTACATACTACCGTAAATTGAGTTCTTTTTATTATCTTTTTTAAAAAATACCAAATTTTAAGATAAAATAATAAAAGACTGGAGCTAAAAAATATGTCTATAACACCAAAAGTATTAATTTGTAAGTAGCAATTTAATCAAAAATAATAATTTCAAAGCAAAAAAACAAAAATGTTGTTAAAATACATTATTAAAATCCAGAACAAAAAAAATTAAAAATTCGCAATTTATATAAAGATTAAATTAATTGTTTGATTTAAATATTTCAGAAACTTAGAATTTAATAAAAAATCGATTTTCAATTTTTTTAAAAACAAATCTTGAAAAATAAAATAAAAACTAATAGAATTAAGAAGTTAGAATTTAGTTTAAAATCTGAGATATTAAATTTTTAATAAATTCATAATCACTGCTTTCAGTTGGACCAGAAAACTCTGGCAAAACTACACTTCTGTACCAATTCAAATATCACGAATTTATACAAACAATCCCAACATTCAGCTGCAATTGCGAGACAATTTTTTTCAATAATCTTCCAATGACATTTTGGGATGTCGGCAGTTCAGCACCAGTTCAACAATTTTTCAATTTATATTTGAAAGATAAAAATGCTCTTGTGTTTGTTGTTGATGCAAGCGACAAAGAAAGAATTGGAAATGCTCGATGGTTGTTGTGGCAGGTTATGGAAGATGTACAGTCATTGCCGTTGATTGTTGTTGGTAACAAAATTGATGAAGTGGATGCGATGGATAAAAATGAGATTATTGAAAAATTAGACCTTAATCAGAAACCTGATTGCGAGGTAGAATTATATAAATTTTAAATTTTTGGAAAATAATTTTTTAACTTTTGTAATAATTTATTTTTAGTATCAATTTGTGATGACGTCAGCAAAATTGAACGAAGGAATTGACGAAGCTCTCAAATGCATTTATATGTGCTTATATTCCAGACATTAGTTTTGTAATCTTATCTGAAAAATATTTTATTTTTGTGCACAAAACAACATTTATACAAAAGTGATTTTTCCATTTTTTTTGGTGTTCAAAAAACACCAAAAATATTTATAATTTAAAAAAATAATATTTTTATGAAAAAATTTTTAAATATTTCAATTTTACGATTTTGAGATATTTCATTTTATTTAAATAAATATTAAATTTTAACTGAAAACAAAACATAAATCGATCAAATATATACAAAAATTTAATCGCAAATCTCGAGATTTACAACATATCAAACATCGTTTAAACATTTTTTAAGAATATCCGCTAATATCAACATTTGAATCCTCATTTTTCATTTTATGGTGTCAGTTACGGTTTGGCTCTCGATCTTATTAATAAATAAATAGAGTCATGCTTGTTTTTTGTGCCAGTTTAAAAAATTTAAACATTAAAACTGTGCCACTGGTTTCACCAAGGCATGGAAAATTTGGATTAATCCTGAAAAAAAAACCAAAACTCCTTAAAAAATCTCTGAGCAATCCCGAAAGGCACAAGTCGGTTACTCAATTAGAAATCCGGCACCAAGCGGGTGTGACTCTGACATGGTGCTGGATTTAAAATGGAGCCAGAACCATGATAGAGTCATGCTGGCTTGGTGCCGGATTTCTATTCGATTAACCGGCTTATGCCATTCGGGAATTAGCATAAAAATGTGAAATCCTTTTTAAAACCTGAAATTATTCATCAACTACATCAGGAATTTAAAAGAGATTTCACATTTTCATGTATATTGGCTCAGGGATTTTTATAGGATTTTTGGGATTTTTCATGTTTAATCCTGAGTTTCACGCCTTGGGTTTGACAGACATCTCAAAATTCAAGCAATCAAATTAGATACAAATAAAAGCTATAATAACTGAATCAAAGTTCAGTAACGTAGCAAGGAACAAACAACAGACTTACATCAATTAATTTTATGCTCAAAACCATGATTTTAAGTTCAATTTCGAACACGATTTTTTTGGTTTTTAAGCAAGAGTTGCCCTTAAACTTTATTTATTTCATTTGTTCAATGCATCTAAAACATTAAATGTAATATGATACATTATATCCATTAAATCACTCCAAGCCTTTTTTTCTTCATCATCTAATTTGCAAGCACCAGAAATGACTTCCAACATGACGTCACGCATTTGAATGAAATGTTCTTTTGTTATACCTTTCTTACCATGATAGTCAGCGTTGTCTGATAAAGCAGTGACAAGAATGTCTCTTTGTTGTTCTGTACCAAGAGAATCGATAGCTGCACCAAAAAATTCCCTAGAAATTAATATAACAATCTTAAGCTTTACTTTAACCGATTTAATCACTTTTGACGACAGAAGATACAAATTCTGTTATTAGTCAATGCTCCGCTTACATAATGCGACTGCAATGATGACGAATTTGCGGTGTATCTTTAAGTTCTTCGAGTGTCATGTTTCTAAATGCTGGATATCGCTTTTTATGCTCTGGATAACGTTTTAGAAAAGTGTAGAAAATAGCTTGACCAGATTCAACGGGCTGGAAATAAAGTTGTGGCAGTTCTTGTAATCTTTGCTCCTATTTTGGAAGAAAATTTTGGATCTTTTTTTTTACACAGACTCACATGTTTGTTCAAAATCTCCCAACTATCCTTGATAATTTTAATTTGATAGTCTGACAGCACTCTTAGTGGTGGAGTTTGTATTACATTGATTTTGGGTTGAGTATTTCTCCATAAATATCTCGGATATCTTGGAAACATTTTTAATATTTTGAACTTTTTTTTAAAGCAAAAAATTAATTTGAAATTTTTTTTTGTTTTTTTTTAAGTTTTGCCTTAAATTTACTTTAATTCATTTTAATTCTGATCAATTCTTCTCAACGTTTACTTACCAAATGAAACTTATTGCTAAAAAGTCATCAAGAATATCAGAAAAAAATTGAATTTCTTGAGTATCGCATGAATTTGTCAGTTTTTAATGATTGACATTAAAAGCGATGGCAATTATCGTGTCAAATTAAATTACAGAAATAAAAAAGTCTGAATTAGTAAGTCTTAGCTGCGCTCGTATGATCAAATTATTGAGATAAGGAGAATTAATTGAATTTAAATAATAAATAAAGGAAGTTCAGTTATTCACGCGATTAGTAAGTTTAACTGTGCCTAGTGTAAACTTAATATTTACTTTATTACTCAAATTTCAACTATTTTCCATAAACTTTTAATATCAATTTATTTCCTCAATTCATTTAAAACATTGAATGTAATGTGATACATTGTATCCATCAAGTCACTCCAAGCAACTTGTCCTTCATCATCCAAAGTACAAGCTCCAGTAACCACCTCAATTAAAATTTCACGGATTTGATTGAAATGCTCTTTTGTGATTCCTTTCTTGCCATGAAAGTCAGCATTATCAGCGACGGCATCAAAAATGATACTTTTGCAGTTTTCAGTTCCAAGGGCATCAATTACAGTCCCAAAGACATTCCTGAATTAAATTCTTTAAAATAAATACAACTTTTGATTTAAAATAAACTTACATAATTTTCATACAATGCCGTTTAATTTGAGTCGTATCCTTAAGATTCTCCAGAGAAATGTTCCTGAATGCAGCATAACGTTGTTTATGTTCTGGATGGCGAAGCAAAAAAGTATAGAAAATTGCTTGTCCAGATTCTTCTGGCTGGAATATGAATAGAAAATAATGAATGAATAGAAATCTGGCACCAAACTGACGTTATTTTGACGTGGTGCTGGATTTGATTTAAGATCAGCACACACCAGAAGTCATCCCGTGCTATTAGGGATTAATCAAAATTTGTATGAAAACTTTTCTTTCTGCAATTAAAAACCTAGACAATTTCAATATGAAGCAGGTGGATTATTCCTCCTCACATTGAACAGACTTTAAGTTTAGAAAAGAATTCTCGTAACTTTTATTTAATTTTGTCGTATTTTTTTATGCAGTCTCAAATAATTGGAAACAATCTTAGTGTGTTGTAAATAAAATTAAGATGGTGAATTTTTTAACAATTTGAGGAAATTAACATAATTTTGGATTATTTAAACTAGTGTTGTCCAAACCTTTTTTTCAGCAACGGCACACCTACAAATTATTTTATACCTTTTTTGGGATTTTTAATATTTTTCCACAGTACACCTAAGGATGTTCTACGGCACACTAGTGTGCCTCGGTATACAGTTTAGACAACACTGAATTAAACAGTTTTTAAAACTCACATTTTCATTTAATCCTTTCCAGTTGCACTTAATAAGCTCAATTTGACGATTTGTCAAAGTTTTTAGTGGTGGAGTTTCAATGCTCATCTCTCGATTTGTATTTTAGTGAAACCTGAATATTTTAAATAATTTGTTTTTAAACCTCAATTTACTCAAGTTATCTTGCAAAACTTTATAAATTTTCACCCTCAAAAATCTTCAAATAAAACACTTAATGTTTCAAAAGTTGGATGACAAATGAGCATTTCCACAACGAAACTAGTTTCTTTTAAGGATTTTCTTTGAAAATGACAACAATGAATTAAGACCATTCAATAAAGGAAGTGGACAGAGTAATGAACGAATAATGGATAAATTTTGTTTGTCTTAAATGCCACAAATGAATAACGATTATTTTAATGTAAATACAAGTAAAACTAATTGTGCATTTTAGGAATAGCTTCTTTAATTTCAAGGAAATAAAATTTTGATTACTTTTATTATATAACTGAATTAAATGAAAAAGTAATAAATTTCAAGGAAAACATTTATTTTCGATTGATTGAAAATTGCTTTGTCTGGGTGAACTTAATTTGACCTAGTTCTGGACTGTTTGATGATTTTCAATTTGTCAACTCTTAGATTTGCATTTTCTACAGCATACCTTATTGGATTTGAAACTATTCAAAGCACTTGTTTAAAATTCAGCAGTTAAACGAAAACTAAGTTAAGCAATTGATAATTAAATCATAAACAGGAATGATCATATAAACTTGTGATAACAATAATTTTTAATCAGTACTTCACTAAAGTTTCGATATTTCTTACGCATTTTGACATTTTATCTTTTTTTAGCTAGGCCGACCATCTGATTTGATTTTCAGAAGAAAGTTCTTTACTTTTTACCTTTTTCAAATATATTTAAAATTTAAGTGGAATTTGTGGGTGTTGGACATCTGGCAGAAAGTAATTCCTAGGAATTCCTAGGAATTTACGTAGTTCCTCAAAATCCTAGAAGTTCCTAAGATTCCTAAGTATATTAAATGAATTCTTCAAGGAATTTCCTAATACTGAAGAATTTGCTAAGAATCCTTAGGATCCTTACAAATTTCTAGGAATTTTAGTAAAGATATTGACTTTTATTTCTTGTTAATGTTAAGATTTGTAATAAACTAACAAGTGCCTATTAAAAAATTGGAGAAAGTCCTGGTGTTATATATTGTTTTATGCTTCAAACATATTCGTTCGGTCAATAACTCGAAAGAACTGAGCTGATTAAACAAACTCGAGCATGGTTAAAAAGTTATTCTTTGCCCGATCAGCCGAACACCCGAACAACCGAACAAAGTGTACTAATAAGCTACCTTTAAGAAACAAGTTTCAAAAATGCGGTAAAATTTCTTAATTGCTAAACCATGTTGAAATTCCTAATTTTTGTACTTTTTCATTAACTTATTTAATTATTCCTGTTACTTTGCGTATGAATTTTCAAGAAATTCCTAGGATTTCCTATAGGAAATTCCTACGTTTTCCTTGTAAAATTATACGTAAAGTAACAGGAATTCCTAGGAATAACTTTCTGCCAGATGACCATGAGCCGAATTTGTCAAATGACTAACCTTATTTGATTTTTAATTTTTAACGATAAGGTTCAAATTGATGAAATTGTGATGCTTTGCTATTTTTTATTCACTACAATGGGTACTTTTAGAATTTTTTTTGGACTTGTCACAAATTTTATCGATGGGTTTAGATTGCGTTTAATTGAACCTGCCTATTTTTAAAGCGGATCTATTTGTATCCTTTATGATCACAGCTTTGCGTATATATTTGACAATTATAGTTTTTTGACATTAATCAACCCATTCATCAAAAAATTGATTGATTTATTGACCATTATAATCCAAAAAAGCATTAATTCAACATTTATTGAAGAAAATTCCTTAATTGAAATTTATGACGTTCATTCATTTACGTTTCTTTTTTGTTGCATGACTCATTGAGTAAATGTTTGTATTAAACATTCAATGGACACAAATTATCAGCAAAATCGGAACAAGCAATTTAAAAAAGTTCATCCAATGTGCATCGACTCGGGATTAATCCCGAAAATTCCGAAAAATCCCAACATATGATTTTTTAATGCTAGTTTTTGAATGCTTAACCCAAAGGTACCCAAATACACTCAGGATTAATCCTAAAAAAATCCCAAAAAAATCACAACACTTCCTGTCATTAAACTTTGATTCCCACTTGAATTCCTCAATTATTCATCCGTTTGATGAGAGGATGTGCTGGGATTTTTTATAGGATTTTTCGAAATATTTAAGATTATTCCCGAGTGTGTTTACATTGGGTTAAGCATTCAAAAATTAGAAACTTTCAGTGTTATTGAGAAATGAATTTGAAGACACTTTGGGAGGTTTAACCAACTTGTTGTAAATCTCTATCATTATTTAATGAAAAATTAAAAAGTAAGGATTAGTAAAATTTAAATTTTTATTTTAAATTGTTCAAAAAATCTATATTGTTTTTTATTGTAAATAATTTACAATGATACATATATGACATTTTTTTGTGCCTCATTATTCACACAAAGATCCCAAAAAATTTCAATACTTCTGTCTTTCCACCAAAAGTTTGCCAAAAGTTTAGAAACTTTACAAAAAAATGTTCTTTAAAATAAGAACTTTAAAATTTTCACAAAAATAATGTTCAAAAAATGGTTTTCACTTTTTTGGAGGCACTTTTTTAGCCTCATCAAGAACATTAAAAATAATGTGATATAAAACATCCATTAAATCACTCCAAGCTTGTTTTCCTTCATCATCAAGTCTACAAACAGCCGTCAATATCTCAATGATCACACCACGGAGTTCAACAAAGTTTCGTTTTGAGATTCCTCGACGTCTGTGATATTTTCCAGTTTCGGTGACTAAACTGACAATCGCTGGTAAACCATTTTCTGTGCCTAAGGCATTGATTGCTGTTGCAAAAACATCCCTTTATTTAAATTAATTTAAAAAAAAAATCAAAACTATAAAATTAAATATGATTTTTTGAAAACCTACATAATTTTACTAGCATGACTTCGAAATCCAGGCGTTCCTTTCAGCATGACCAACGGTGTATTTCGAAATGCTTGAAATTTAACTTGATTATTTGGATATTGTTCGAGATATGTATACAAAATTATTTCTCCAGAATCTCCTGGCTGATTTTATGCAAAAATACAATTAATATTTTTTTTTCAATTAAATTTAAATTATTTTTTCTTTAAATTCTTTATTTACCTTAGAGTAAGGTATAGCCCATGTCCTTTTAATAATTTCAATTTGTCTTTCTGTTAATGGTTTTAATATTGGAGTTATTGGTTCCTTATCACCTGATATTATTTGCTGAACATTTGTGACTACGTTTCCCATTTCTTGATCTTTAATTAACTTTATAATATAGTTTTTAAACTTGATTAAAAGATGAGTTTTTGATATTTAAATTATGTTTTAATTTATTTTACACGTAGCTGCACAAGTTAAAATTTAAACATTTTCTAATAATTACTAAAATACAACCGAAATCTTCAAATATCAATTAGTCAATGAAAAACCTTCGAAAAATTTTCCTTCATTTCTATGTAAATTCAATTATTATTTTTATCAATAAACAATCAATGATTCAACAAAGTGAAAGAATTTTCCTTAATTAATTATCTTTTCACTATGGGGCAAAATGAAAAAAAAAGGGACTTTCACTTTGAAAAATGGACTTTTCCGATTTACACTTTTTGGGTGATTTTTTCTTGTAGAGGACATAAAAGTAGATAGAAATGCCAAATTTCAGGTCATTTGGTGCTGATTTCGCGATTCTAGAGCTGTTTGAAGTTGAAAACTAGTGAAAATTCTGGTTTTTTCATACCATGTTTGAACCGGGAAATATCTTAACTGGTTTAAGATATTGCAAAACGGTTTTCAGTTCCTATTAGTAGTATATAAGAGCTTTATTTTGACATATAACAAAGTTTAGGTTCTGAATGTTTTCGTGCCATTATGGTAGAACATATGTGAAAATTTCAGGAAAATTATCTTCAAACAAGCCGCAACTATCATAAATGAAGAGTTTCCAGGCAAGTAAAAACGCAGTTTTGTAGCCCCATATATCTAGTTTTCAAAACTGTATAAACTTTGAAAAAGTAAGCTAACGTAATTGAGTTATGTTGATTTTAGTAGGTCGTTGAGTATTTGGCCAAAAACTAATAATTCTTTTAAAAATACGAAAACATAGTTTTAAAAATAGTTTTTTGGTGTTTTCTTATGAAAAATAACAATTTAAATGATTTTGTGAAGAAAATTTTTCAAAAACTTCAAAATCTTTCGAGATATAGGGGGTATGTGCTCTCCATCGATTTGGCCATTTGTCACCCTACTTAAACCACTATAACTTTTTTTTGAAAAAATATTTTTTAATTCTGTTTTCGGATTATTGTAACCTAATGTAATACCTATCCAACGATATATAATACTTGCTAGTTAACTTAGTCCTGGTTATTTATAGGGCTGTTGATTGTGACATACGCAGTTTTTGAAAAATTCCCAAAAATTGCATTTTCAAAAATACCACTTTTAAGCAATCTCGAGTATTTTTTGGACTTTTTTAAGAAATGTTAAGTCTGAAAAAAGCTATTATCATTAGAGTAATAAAAAAAATACTCTGATACGCAACTATAATAGGTAAAATTAATAAAGTTTAATTTTTAGTTTAATGAAATTTTGTTTATTTGTCAAGAAATTTAATTTACATTTTTTTATCATATTTAATGAAATTTATTTATTCATTCGTTGTTTGCTTCTTCAGAATATTCATGGTCTTGTCCTTCGGAATAATCATAGTTTTCTGCTTGGGAAAAGTCATAACCTTCTCCTTCTGGCTCAATCAATTCAATTTCTTCCTCATTTTCTGTTTGTTGCTCAGGTGTTTCACCTTCTTCTTGGACATTTTTTCTCATTAACCTTTTATTTATTACATCCATATATTTTTTTATTATTACTGGATCAGAACTGTAGAGTCTTCTATGTATAACATCCGTAAAACTGTGTATTCTTGAAGTTTTTCTGGCACGTAGTTCTCTATCTTGTCTGAGATATTTGTTTTGTGACTCCCCGGCTTCTTCACTCATTCTTCCTAGAGGTAATGGTAAGGCTTCCATGTAGTGTTTTGCATGAGCAAGTGCTCTGTGAAGTGTTACTGGTATTTTGAACCAACTATATGTTGTCAAAAACATTCTGTATGTTTCTTTACAGTACCTATCAAATTCATCTAGATCATCAACTGGTTCTAAACTTCGAATTTGGTTTAGCACATAGCATATACGTTTAATTATTTCTTCATTAAGATATAGAGTTTTAGCTAGAAGCTCTGGATTTTCAAGAACTTTTCTTGCAACGTTTCCTGTATCTGATGATCCAGCTCCCCCTTGTCTTGGTTCGAGTACACGAACATTAAATGCATCCCACATTGCTTGCTTTATTCTAGCCTTTTCAACATCTAAAACAATCTGTTCCTCTTCAGTTATCTCCAGCCAGTGTTTTTGAACATATTGTTTATATGACAAATCATATAGAGTCGTGAGTACGTTCATTGATGTATGAAGTGGCTGAGTGTTGAAATACAAGTGTTCTTTAACAAATTTTCTGTGTGTTTTTTCGAATCTTCCATTATCAAGATTATTTATGTCACTCATCTCGTTTGGTCCAGATCTACAAAGCTGACATCTGCAATATCCTGATGTTTCTGTAAGGTCTGTGTAAACTTTTCCATCTAACAATCAACAGCCCTATAAATAACCAGGACTAAGTTAACTAGCAAGTATTATATATCGTTGGATAGGTATTACATTAGGCTACAATAATCCGAAAACAGAATTAAAAAATATTTTTTCAAAAAAAAGTTATAGTGGTTTAAGTAGGGTGACAAATGGCCAAATCGATGGAGAGCACATACCCCCTATATCTCGAAAGATTTTGAAGTTTTTGAAAAATTTTCTTCACAAAATCATTTAAATTGTTATTTTTCATAAGAAAACACCAAAAAACTATTTTTAAAACTATGTTTTCGTATTTTTAAAAGAATTATTAGTTTTTGGCCAAATACTCAACGACCTACTAAAATCAACATAACTCAATTACGTTAGCTTACTTTTTCAAAGTTTATACAGTTTTGAAAACTAGATATATGGGGCTACAAAACTGCGTTTTTACTTGCCTGGAAACTCTTCATTTATGATAGTTGCGGCTTGTTTGAAGATAATTTTCCTGAAATTTTCACATATGTTCTACCATAATGGCACGAAAACATTCAGAACCTAAACTTTGTTATATGTCAAAATAAAGCTCTTATATACTACTAATAGGAACTGAAAACCGTTTTGCAATATCTTAAACCAGTTAAGATATTTCCCGGTTCAAACATGGTATGAAAAAACCAGAATTTTCACTAGTTTTCAACTTCAAACAGCTCTAGAATCGCGAAATCAGCACCAAATGACCTGAAATTTGGCATTTCTATCTACTTTTATGTCCTCTACAAGAAAAAATCACCCAAAAAGTGTAAATCGGAAAAGTCCATTTTTCAAAGTGAAAGTCCCTTTTTTTTTCATTTTGCCCCATAGTGCTTTTCATAGACGGAAATAAAATAAAATTGAAGAACAATTATCCATTTTTTTATTGTTGTCTATTTCGTGTCTCTTCGGATTAAGAATTGGAGAACTAGAACAACTAACGAATTTAATCATACGACACATTATCTGTTCAGAGACAATCATTCAAATATAAGGCTGCATTTTTTAAAATGCACAAATTTAATATTAATGAAAAATTTGTGAAAATTGAATCAATCAACCTCTCATGAAAATCCCAGAAAATTCACATGACGCACATGTCCACATTGGAATTTCTTGTGATTTATTTATCTTATCAGCCACAACAAATCGGTCAAAATCAACAAAATATTGCAAAGTTTTCTTCTTTCTTTTGATGAAATAAGCAAAGCTATAAATGAGACAATGCATGTCGTAAACATTTAATTGTACTGATTCATGTGTTCAATTGTAGATTCTTTATCTATATAAACAAAAAAAAATGTTTTGCTCGATTTTATTCTGTTAAAAAAATTCAATAAGGTTGAACGTGTTTCTTGTTTTTATAAGAAAAAATAAATTTTAAAAATAAAAAAATAGAAAGTGAAATTTTGAAAAGTTTTTGTGAAAAACAAATTAAATTAAAAAATATTTTAAAATTATAAAAAAAAAAACAAATTCTTAAAAAGATTTGATAGATCAATAATTAAGCAAACTGCAATTTAATTGTTGCTGAAAATTTGCAAAAAATCATGAATTCCTTAAAATGTTTCATTATTTTTGTGGTTTATATGCTATCGACTATAAGCACCGCTACAATTGATAGTAAGCAGCAATTATTACATGTTTAACTTTAAAAACTTCAAGATTTATTGTTGTATGCCAATTATGTGTCAAATATGCTTGTTGAACGTTAAATGTGTTTGTTGATTTTCAAATAATGCGAAATTTCTTTGATTTTTTTTAGAGAAACTTGTTTGCTTTTGGAACCCGATGGTAAGTGCGGTTCTTTTACTTTTTTGAAAATGATAAAAAAATGCAGAATTAAAAAAAATCTCAATCTAGGCGTCAAACAGAAACGGCAGGGGTATTTTTACTGTCAAAAACATCGACCCGCACCTCTGCACTCATGTTGTTTATGGATACTTCAGTGCTGATTCTGATGGAACAATTTACCAGCCTCAGTTTGGCAACGTTGATGAATATTACATTTATAATTTTGTACATCATCGAAAAATAAATCCAAGTCTTCAAATAATAGCATCAATTGGAGGTCCTGACTTTCCAACAGACAATTTTGAGAAATTATCCTCAGATGCCAGCAAGCGAGTTGCATTTGCTGAAAAAATTCTCCAATTTGTAAAAGATTTTGGATTCGATGGTGTTGATTTGTATTGGCCGTACCCAAAAGGAACAGATAAGACAAATTTTGTGAAGCTTTTTGTGGAAGTAAGCAAGCTTTTGAAAGCAGACAACAAAAGTTTGACAATCTCTGCAACACCAAATGGACAGAATCCATTGAATATGTACGAATTGAATGCTGTTGAGAAATTGGTTGATTTTGTTAATTTGGATATTGCCAGAATGTACGACATTGATGGGATGTACAGCTATGCTGGTAAGATTTCGTACATAGTGCTCAACATAGTATTATAATCTAAACTTTTTTTCAGTTCCTCATGCCCCAATCCGATCATTGCCATACAAACAAAACCTTGATATGGAAACAATCATTTCCATGTGGATTTCATCAGGTTTTCCACTTGATAAAATAATCCCAGGAATTCCAACTTATGGAAGATCATATTCTTTGAAAAATTCATACATTTTTGGAGTTGGAGCTGCAGTCATAAGAAATGGAAATCGTGGAGAATATGGAGCTGAAAATATCCGCAAAACTTCAATTCTTCCATTCAATGAAATTTGTTATAATTTAGAGCACAACTCTAACTGGAGACGACTTTATCACGCTGAGTCAGGTTCACCTTATGCTGTCTATGATGTTAATCAGTGGATCAGCTTTGATGATATACAATCAGTTCTCGAAAAAGTAAATTTCGCAATTAATGTGAAAAACCTTGGCGGTATTGCATTTTATGACCTTGATATGGATGATTTTGGTAAATTGTGACAATTAGTTTTATATTAGGTCAATAAATTATTTCCTGTTTTTGTTTTTTAGCTGATAACTGCGGATATGGCAACTTTCCTTTGATCAATGCCGCTCGACGTGAAATTTTTAACAAAACTGATACAGCAACAGAACCACAACCTGATTACACTACACCAAATCCTGAATTTTCGTGTAGAGGCCGGGCTGATGGAAATTATCAAAATGTTCTTAATTGCAGAACTTTCTATACATGTGCAAATGGATTCAGATATACAATGAATTGTCCTGGAAGTCTTTATTATCATGAGAATGTCGATCAGTGTTTGTATAAATCTAACAATAATTGCGTAGTTCCATAAGTTTTTTTTTAATAATATTTAGATTTACTTTTATCAATTTATTGCTCTAATTTATAAGTTCAAATATTTTATTTGTGTAAGGAGAGTTTTGAGGTTAAATTTGACTCTCAAATCCTCCTATCAATTTTGTACCTATGACTTTGAAGTGTAACCATGCCAAAAAAAATAAACTTTATGGATATTGTGTTTAATAATTGTTTTATTTGAATTAAGTTTTTGGAGAGATGCTTATTGAAAAATCTTGAAGGAAGAAGCAAACTTCTAGATGAAAGAACCACTTTAAAAGTATGGCTCCGAATAACGGATCCCGAGCGGGACTCAAACCCACGTCCAACGATTTCCGGCCACATGCTCCTACTACTGAGCTATCGGAGGTTAGATGACTATATGACTAAATCCCATAAATAAGTTACACTCTTTTTACTGTTCCCTTGCACCACATGATTTATCGTTGAATGGCTATTATGAATTGCATATTCCAAGAAAGTTTCTGTATCAATAAAATAAAACTATTTTACCAACTCTGCCTACAAAATTATCAACAATTACCCCCAAAATAAACCACTCAGGATGATAAGATAATAAACCGAATATTTATCACATAAAACGTCACCAAACTATACATTATCAACCATTCTCCTTCATAATTGAACCTAATCCTCAAATTTGATAAACTTCTTTATAAAACTCTCAACACCACAAGTTAATCTCATTCAGTTTCACAAATTGAAGCAATCAATACCGAAAAAATGAACAAAACGGTCGCAATTGGAAGTTTGGCGATTTTCTTCGTAATCTTAATTGCATTACCAACACCATCTGTAGCTTTTTGGCGTCCATGCAATTCAACATTAAGACCACCAGATCGTGTTGAGTCACCAGACTGCTCAACAGTCACCAACACATGTCTTGTGCAACGTGGAGGAGTTATGAGAGCTAGTGTCTTTATTTCATCACCAGGCTCACATCATGAATTATTGGTTGAAAGTTTTGTGTGGATTTTCGGAGTTCGTGTAAGATTACCAGCAGTTCCACCACATGACAAGTGAGTATTTGATGGGAATTTTTGTTAAGGAACATATCAGTTAAGGTTTTTTTTGGGGAGAAACCAATCTGAAATTCTTAAAATTAAACTTTACTTTAAAAATAAAATAATTTTCAGTGGATGCAACAGTTTGTATGTCGGTGGTGTTCAACAATTCTGTCCAACAACCCCAAATGTTCAATATGAATGGAGAGTTGAACAAGAAGTCCCAGCAATTACTCCAGCATTCCAAAATTCAGTTGTTCAATGTAAGTATTGAGATATTATGAAACTTTATCAAAAACGGTGCTAAAATTACCCATGGAGATTAAAAAAATGCACACCTGAATGAAGTTATTTTTAAAACAATCTTATCAATAACCAAAAGACGTAATTTTTTGATATTTATAAATTTAAATTTGATAAGACAAAAACATTAATTAACGATCAATTATAAGTGTGGTAAAAACCGCAATCGAGTGCTTCCTCTGCGATAACATATCGCAAATAATTTCGGCAGTTGGCAATGTTTGAGTGATCAACAACAATCAACGTCTAAATTCCTTTTATCTTTAGATGATTTAAAATAATTTATTATTACCCTGTTTTTTCGTTATAAGCTACTACTCGTTACTAAGCTACTAGCTTAGTAAAGTTTTTTTGAACCGGATATTTTTTTGTAATCTTTACTAAGCTACTACCAAAAATAAAGTTTAATTGATCTTTTTCAACTTTCTAGTATCAGTTTCAATGCCTTATGACATTGTCAATGAAATAAAATCGAGAAGATAGCAAAACTTCTTTAATTAAGTTAAAAAATTCAAAATTTTCATTGAAGTTCAATTTCTTTACTAAGCTACTACTCGTTACTAAGCTACTAGTGAGCCAAAAAAATCACTTTTTTATTCTTCTAAGCTACTAGCTTATAAAGAAAAAACAGGGTAATTTAATTTTTACCAAGGCGTGGAAACTCAGAAGTAATCCTGAAAAATCCCAAAAATCTTAAAAAATGTCTAAGCCAATAAACATAAAAATGTAAAATCCCCTTTAAATTCTTGATGAATTTGATGAATTTGCTCTGGGATTTTTTAAGGATTTTTCAGGATTAATACTCAGTTTCGACGCATTGAAATAAAATTTAATTCATTTCAATTTTCTTCATTACAGTCCAACTTTGGGATCGCGGATCCCTCGAAGGTTGCCTCGAAGTAACAGCAACTGTTGTGTAAAAACTTAGTATAAAGACTCATGGCTATGACAAAATTTTACGAGAGATTAAAACATTTTGGTTAAATAACCCAAAAAAGATTCTGGAATGAAAAATAAAATTTATTTTGTTTTTAGTTTTTAAATTTGGTTGTTTTATTTTTTCAATTTTTTCACTTTATTAAAACTATTTGACAAAAAAAAACAAACTTTATTAATGAGTTTTCGTAGTGTTTTAGAAATGTTCAAGTCGCCAGAAATAAAACCTAGTTTTAATAAAAAGTGCAAAAAAGCATCATTGTGATTTTAATATCATAAAAAAATTGAGATAAGTTTTTTAATTCATTGGTATTCGAAAGAAATTAATCAGTTGCTAAAAGTCAAGTCTTATAAGTTGAATTTTGAAAAGGAAGTATAAATCTTTGTGAATTCATTGCAGAGTTTCTGATTGAATTGATTTTTCAAGGACGTTTGGGTAAGTTATTTAATTACAGAACATAAAGCTGGAGAAAGTTCATTTTTTCTTTTTTAAGGAATCAAAAGTTTCTTGGAGATAAAAGCAAACACAAGTGATGTTGAATTCAATTCCTTGGCAGACTCACGAGACTAAAATTAATTGTTTCTCGCTGCTGAAATTGGTAATCTTAGTGCCGTCAACATTCTTATTTAAATAGGTTCAAAGACATTTATGCTAGATACAGACATTAGCATACAATTAATTATTTATAAGCAGTTTAATGTACTTTTAAAGCTCTTGCTAGAAAATTTTTCTAATCCTTGAATGGATATTAATTTGAGCTCAGAGTAGGCTTTCACGATTTCCCGTTCCCGAAACTTTCAGGGCAGAAATCAAATTTATAAACTGAACTATTCAAAATTTTAATGTAAAATTATCTATAATATACTGTCATCATTTGAACACAAAAAATCTTGAATATTTTTTGAAGCATGCTTGATATTTGAGTCGGGGTAAAAACTACTTGGATGGTAAAAATTTTGATAGGAAATTTACCATTTTTTCCCATTTTGCCCATTTTTTCGTAGATTTCCCATCATAAAGTGGGAAAAATGGTAAAAATTGGAATTTTACCTTATTTCCCTTTTTTACCACTTTTTAATGGATATTTTCCCTTTTTTTACACATCAAATAATTTTTCTCCTGATTTGAGTTTAAATTTTTGTTCGGTTTTCGATAATTTGCAGGACCGGGAAATCGTGAATGCCTAGCTCAGAGGAATTCAAGAATTTTATAAAATGATAAAAGCTCATAAATTATCAAAAATCAATGACATTCTAACAAAAAAAATCAGATTTTCGATACTTTTAGAATTTATTCAACGAATCAGCATTTGCAGTTGCATTAGCCAGTAAATCTTTGAATATCTACAAGCTTTTATTCACTAATAAAATTTTTTATGTTCCACATAAAGATATCGATGTGCTTTTTAAAACTTTGGGTCAACGAGACAAAAGAAAAATTGAGAGAATAAAATTACAATTATCTCAAAACTATGTCCGAAAACATTCTCATGGCTCGTTCACTAATTTGATCAGACATTACTGATGAAACTGTAGCTAGGAAGTCACCTAACGTGCATTTCAAATTCTTAATCTCAAACCAGTGACAAAAATTCTCTTGGAAATTCTTATAGTTGGAATTTGCAACCAGCAAATTAAAAAAAACTTATAAAATATATTTCCTATAATTCATAAATTTTTAAAAATAATGAATAAACCTAAGCATACAAATTATAAAATGAAGTCGTATCGACATAGTGGTGAAATGGCATCAGTGGTCTAAATGGTAGAGCGTTGGCTTTCCGTGCCAAACAATAGATTCTTTACAAATTGAATCGCAGTGCCTCCATCTTAAAGGCTGGGCCCTTCACACATTATTATTGTTATTATCATCGTATCGAGACAGCTAAAATTTAAAGCTACATTGGCAAGACACCAGAACACAAGTCCTCAACTTACACTAATCTTACAACAAAAATTCTTCTTAATTAATATTTCTTATCAAATAATGTGCAAATAGCTTCACACCCCACCGGGCTTTTTCATTGCTGATAAGTTTTTAATACCCCTTTTTCTGATAAGATTATTGTTTTTATTTTTAAACAATTTGTGCCTTTAAATTATCGAGCTCATTGTTTTTAATTACTACAACGTAATTAATAAAAAATAGCAATAATAATGGCATAATTTTGCTGATTAAAATTATTTAAGTGTTTACAATTCTTAAGCTTAGAATGTGGTAGCTTGAAGGTTCCAATTGAGCATTGTTTTAAACAAAAAAATAATAAATGAAAAAATTAAATTAAGAAAGACAAAATTTAAATTTTGAGTATTTTTATTCAAGTATCAAACATAAAAATAATTTGGAATCCAATGTCATGTCATCTTACACATCCATTTAAACAAGAGTTGCAGTAATTTCAACACAACCGACTAATGTGCCTCTGTCAGTGAGTGTATCTGTTGGTATTGAATTAAAAAAAGGCGATAAATATCAAAATTATTGCAAAAGAAGTTACAGTTTAGTCAAAACAGTCACTTACATCTGACAACAGTGTTCTGGAATGCTGGTAAGAATCCGGGAATATCTTGATTAATCATCCAAATATGTGGAACATCTGGTAATGTTGGACATCCGTGGAAAACTCCATTTACGTACAATTGATTGCATCCGCTGTGAATATTAAGAATTTAAATACTCAATATTTGAAGAACCTTTAACAATATCTTACTTATCATGTGGTGGCTCAACAGGAAGTTGAACTGGTATTCCGAAAATAAAAGCAATATTTTCTACCAATAATTCTTGATGTACATCTGGTGATGATAATGTTACATTAGCAATGAAAGGTTGCCCACGAACAGCAAAGCATCTTTCAGCATCACAAAGTGGTGTCTCAATGTGATCAGGTCCACGGACACCTAAGCAATTACGCCAGAAAGTGGCACTAACTGCTGGTGCCAAAATCACAGCAAGAACGGCAAAAGCAACAAATTTGTACATTTTCAGTTGAAGAAATTCCAAACAGACTGAAGTGATTGAGAATTGCGGGAGGAAATTTATAGCTAAAAGAGATTATTCTATCTTATCAGAATGGATTTTGATGATTGACTTTTCTGGTGGGATTTGAGAAAAATTTTGATAAGGAGAAAAGTATGGAATTAGAAGAGAATGAAGGTCGTAAATTAGATTAGTAACAACGCTAGTGGCTTTTATTTGTTCAAGGTTTGTTTTGACAGTTAATATCTCGTCAAGTATGGCAACAAAGATTGATTTCTTTTCATTATTTGTCTAAAACTATCATCATTAAAATTGCGGTGAAATGGCATCAGTGGTTTAGGTGCTAGAGCATTACCCTTACGTGCCAAAGGTTCTAGATTCAATCCCAGGATAAGTCAAGTTTTAAAAGCTCTTTTTCCATTTCACCATTCTAGTTACGAAGGTCGGCTTCTGTGTTGGGTGTAGTTTTGAGGTCTTTGGCACATAAAGTGTCTTCTTTGCTTGGTATACTAGGATATACTAGCATCTGGATGATTTCATTGCAGCATCTTGCGCATACGAATTGTGACTAGGTACATTGCAGGGTACATCAGGTCTTATGACGTACTCGTGTCTTTGAAATATGAAGAGCTTGCTAGTGGTTCGGATTCCACTATAAACTGTAGATCTAAAGGATGTCGTACAATAGATTCTGTTCTAATTTGAATTGCAGTACCTCCAGCTCTGGGCTCTCTCCATGCTTTACCTGTTTTTCATCATCATTCAGATTAGCCAATTATAGACAATTTTTGTAGCTTCTGAATCTCAGAACATTCTGCGATTGGTTACCAGAACTGCTCTGAAATAGATTTTTGGGGCGCTTACAACAATATATTCTCCTCAAATAGCCGTAGTCAAAATAATTTTAAATTATTAATTTAATTTTCCTCAACGAACCAAACTAAAATGAAGCAGCGAGGCTTTTTTGCGGAAGTGATCGAGGTTTATTTTCGTGTACTTTTATTTAAATTGATGTTTCAGTTTTTTTCTGAATTCATTTCAATTAGTGGAGATTAATCAAAATTTGATTCAGTATTAATTTCCAATTCATCCACTAAAGAAAAAAAATCATGAAATTTCTGCTGATTTTTACAGCATTTTTATGCATAGCTCAAACTCAGGACACCGGTTTCTTACCAAACGTTTGTTTTTGTGTCACATCCAAAAGTTGCGGTTATAATTATGGAAATGTAACAATGCCACCTCCTCCATCAGTAGATGGTGAAGGTGTATCAGAAGAGGTGACAGAAGAAGGTGAAACAACAAAAACAACATCTTCGATTACTTTTCCTGACGATGAATCAACTTCACAAGGAGAGGAAGAAACTACAGAAAGGAATAACAGACCAAGTGAGTCATTTCGAACCAAAACCATTAATCCAATTTATTTAATGTGTTCTCTAATATCATAAACAGCGCATCAATAACAAAACAATTATATACGCTTTACACATGTAAAACACTGTTAATTTTAAAAATCCCCTTGATATGATTCATCATTATTGTGGACATTTCATTTCATTTGAACTTTTTTTTGAATAAATTTAATTTTGTATTTTTAGCTATCGAGGAAAACGACGGCTCAATTAATTTAAGGATTGGTGTTGTAAGTAGAATTCAAAACTTTATTAATATACAACATATAAAATTAAAAATCTTTGAACAGTCAGGTCCACCCGTAGCACCAGATACAGGAAATGTCAATAATTCAAATGTATCGCCAGTTAAACCTGGTGTTAATTTATTTGTGGCAAATCAATCAAAGTGCACTACAGGTTTAGATGTTTGCTGTCCAAAAACTGGATTTGGATGTGGAATACGATATCCACCAGTAGCTGGAGCTCCTAGAATCAATGGAACTGGACAGAGGTAAACTAAATAGTTTTTGTTTTCATTAAAAAAATTTTAAACCATTTTTAAGTTTTTATGGAGGACATCCATGGACTGTTGATCTCAGACAGATGAATAATGATTTTCTTGGTGCTGGAGCATTAATACATCATCGGCATGTTCTGACTGTTGCTCATAAAGTTTATTACGCGTAAGTTTGATTAAAAAACTATTTAATGTGACACAATTTGAGAATATTAATCCTAGTGCATCTATAAAGAAGAAGAGAAGTTTTGCATAAATAGATCTATGACTGTAATATTTAAAAATAATTTTTTCTTTTTCTTAGTACTTCGGTAAAATGCAGAGTTGGAGTTTGGAATCGAAATAATGATTCTCAAATTTTTCCGGTACAAGAATTTGTTGTTGCACAAGCAATGATTGCAATTCATCAAAACTTTACAAGTTTTAAAACTTTAGTTAATGACATTGCTATTTTGAGGTTACCAGCACCAGGAGTTGAATTGGGTCTCAATCCAACAATCACAACAATATGCTTGCCGAGTCTTTTGCTGTCAAATCAACGGTGTTGGGTTTCAGGTAAGAAGACTTTCTAAAATCATCAAAAATCAACATTTTTTTTAAGTTTACAAATTTTTTGACAAAAAAGGTTGGGGCAAAGGATCTTTCAACTCAACAGATAGCTTTCAAACGATAATGCGAGAAGTGAATTTACCTCTAGTCAATAATGCAGACTGTCAAAGCAAATTGAGAACAACAAGATTGAAAGAAAATTACATTTTAGATTCAAGTTTTATCTGTGCTGGAGGTGAACCTGGAAACGGTAAGAATTTGTTTTTAACTTTAAATTTTCTTCTTGTAATCAAGTTTTTTCGGAATTTTTTAGATGCTTGCGTAGGTGAGAAACTGTTTTTTATTAAATTGGATTTGCAACCAAATAGATTTTTTTTTGAAATTTGTTTTAATTAATCTTAAAAATGACTTAATGACTTGTTAATGATTTACCAGTTTTTAATCCATATTTCAATTGATTTTAGGTGATGGAGGTGGAGCTTTAGCTTGCTCTGTGGTAATAATAATTAAATTGTGAAAAACTATTTTAAAGCAGAGCTCAAAGTTGACTCGAGATTCTTAATGATTTTGTATGGTGGAGTCGACTCGACTCAATACAAAATTTCATCGACTTCGAGCTCTGGCTTTAACAATAACATAAATTTTATTCCTTAATTCTTAAAGAATGGTCGATTTTATTTAACTGGATTGGTTGCTTGGGGTGAGTTAATGATAATTAAAGCAATAATTTATAACTTAATTATTTCAATTTCTATTTAAAGGAATTGGTTGTGGATCAGATATTCCAGGAGTTTATGTAAATGTTCAAAAATACATTCCATGGATTCAAAACACAATTTTAGGTCTTGCTAAAGCTGAAACATCACAAACATCGCCAACAGTTGCATCATCTCGTCCAGCAAAAAGACGAAGTTCCACAAGAAGTCAATAAACTTTTGAAAATTATAGCAATTCAAAAGATTTTTATAATTCAAGTTATAATATTGCATAAGCTACAGGACACAAAAACTAATGATTTTAAATAAATTACCTTGTGAGTTGATAATTCCAATATGCGTTTTCGAATTAATTTTAATTTCCAAGAAAGAAATTCCATTTCTCAGCCTCCGCACTTTCAGACTCATTGTTGCAAAATAATTCGAAGTAAAAACACTTAACGATGAGAATTATTTCAATTTTCTTTATTTTGTTTGGTAAAATTAATTTTTGTTATTTTTGTAAAGATAAAAAAATGATTTAAAAAAATCATTCAGGATTAACTGCTGCAGCACCAGGACTTTTAAATTTGAAAATTCCAAATCTCGACAACTCAAAGGAACAAAATCCGATGGATTTGGTTATGAAGTTTGTCAAAATTGGTGCTGGTGAAGGCGAGAAACAGGCTGAATTGCTTTACAAATATTCGATTAAAGACACTTCAAAAGTTAATGTTTTAAAATTTTTTGAATAAATTTGTGATTTTTTTTTTTGATAAATTAGAAAGAAAAAAATAGTTTAAATTGAAAAATAGAAGTTTTGTAGCACCTTTGAAATGAGAAAGATTAAATAAAATATTCTTTTGAAAAAAGTAAAATTTTTGTGCACCAAAAAGATATTAATTCACAGTCAAAGTGCTCAAACTCTACTAAAAAGATAAATTAAGTTGCCACAGTCGTTGCTATAGTCACTAAAACCAAAGAAAAATGTGTGTTTACACAGACTTTTTCAATAAAAATCATTAAGTGATAAAACGTCTTAAAATGCAAATGTATTTATTTTAGTAAAAATTATTATTTTTGTTTATTTGTTAATTTTATCTTTTTTTTAAATTTTTGTCGTATATTTTAAAGTGAAATAATCAAAAAAGTCGCAATAATTTTTTTTATTTAAAACTTCCAACAAACATTTAGGCGAAAAATTTTCACAATAAAAATTAAAAGAATTTCAGAAGCTCTTTAATAGACTGGAAATTCCAGTCAAGCTCACAATTTTTAAACAATTTCAATTTTGTTCAAAAATTATTATTTTAAAGTAATTTGAAATTTTGACAAGATAACATCTCAGAATGAGAACCTTATTTTGTCTTTTGGTCATTTTTGTAGCTATTGCAGGTAAATTTATTTTTCTTAAAATTGGATCATCGTTTTGAGGACGTCAAAAGTAAAACGTTCCAAAAAAAATCAAAATCACTTTTCGACCTAACTTCTCATTACAATAATAATTAATGAAATTCTTTTTTTTTTAATTTAAAATTTCAGTAATTCACGCACAGTCAACCAACACAGCTGAAGATCCTGCAGCAAAGGTGTTAAAAAGTATCTTTGATTTTTCCAAATCTATAGGAGATGGCATTTCCAGGTTTTATGCCGATCTTGCCAATGTTGCAAAATCATCACAAAAATAATTGAATTTAAATTTAAAAGTTTAAAAAATTGATAAATAAAACTTAAACAATATTTTAAAAGTGAGATTTGTTTTATTTTAAATTATTTATTATAATTTTTGAATATCTATTTTAGGGCAATTTGAACAATAGAGAATAATATTTTCTACTTTATGTGTTGATCATTTCTTGTATTTGAGATTGATTTGAGGTAATTCGTTGCCAATTTTAAAAGTAGCAATACTACGTTATTACAAATTGTAAGCAGAGGAAATCATATAATGGGAAATACAGCCCGAAAATTAGATATCTTTAAGTTAATAAGATCATGATGCTGGATTTTAAACTACGAGGGATTATAAGTTCAAATTTTATTTTCTTAAATAATATTCAAAGATAAAAAGTCGAATAAAATTGTTTATGAACTTATAATCATACGGTTGAGGTGATATGGCATCAGTGTCCTAAGTGGTAGAGCGTTGGACTAACGTGTAAAAGGTTTTGGGTTCCATATCAGGTCAAGTCAAGTTTTAAAAACTCTTTTACCATTTCAGTGATCTGGTTATGAAGCTCGGTTCGTGTGCTTGGTGTAGTTTTGAGATCTTTGGCATATAAAGTGTCTCTTTTGCTTGGTATACTAGGATAAACTAGTATCTTGATGATTTCATTACAGCAGTATTCGCACATGAATCGTGACTAGCTATATATTTCAGGGTACATCAGGTCTTTAGACGTAGTCGTGTCTTTGCAATGTGCAGAGGTTGCAAATGGTTCGGATTCCACTATAAACTGTAGGTCTAAAGGGTGTGGAACAATAGATTCTGTTCTAATTTGAATTGCAGTGGGTCCAGCTCAAAAGTCTGGGCTCTTTCTCTCTTTTTTGAAATCGTACGGTGAGATTATTTATATCGAGACATAAAATGTACAAAGGCCTAAAACCTCAGTTGCGCTACTTGTACTAATGATCTGTGAATCAAGTTGTCAAGTTCAAATCTGCTTTTGATTTTTTGGGACCTGTAGTTTCATGTATAAGAATTAAGTATCTGGTAGACTTCAAAAGGATTATTTGAGTGATGACAAAATCAAAAATTGTGTCGCAAAATATTAATTTTACTGCACATTCTTTACTTTGGATTTTTTTTTATTTCTCATTTAAATTTTTGAGCTGTAATATCGGAAAAAAGATAATGAAATTGAAATTGTTATTACGAGACGTAATTTGAGGCACATAAATAACAGCTAAGTAAATACAGATGAAATTCATGGTTGAAGGTTTTTCAGTTTAGAAACTTACAAGCTACTTTTTTGTTTTTAATGTTCGAGCATTTTTAAGAAAAATTTAAAAAATTAAAATTTTAAATTTTCCTAAATCTTAATAAACCTTTGAATCAAAGAATTTGGGGTTTAATGTGATTTGTTCTTACAGAAGATATAGAAATTTACATTCAGGCCGAACTTCAAGTCATTCTGTTCAGTTTTAACACTTGAAAGTTTTCTTTATTTTCATTGATTGTAAATATTCGTTTCCTAATTTTAATTCTTTCCAACCTTATCAGCAAGACTTATCAGAAAGACGGCATTAAATTTTAAAATGCCTATGAATCAGGCAATATTTTCTTCAACTTCTTGAAAGCTTCTGAGACTTAATGGAAGTTTTGTTAAGTTTATTATAAATTTGTACATTTATCTAATTTCCAATCCACAGTTTCATTTACATTCAGTACGTAAACACTTCAAAATGAAATTTTTAAGCGTTTTTTTCATCCTGATAGTTGCTTTTGCTGGTAAATATTGAGATTTAAATTTGATTTGTTTTACAAATAAACATTTTTATGGCTTTTATTTTATCAAAAAATAAATTTTTTAAATTAATTCAACTTTTCTTTAAATTTTATTTAAAGCATTAGCTCAAGCTCAGTCAGACACAACCACTACTGCTCCAACAACCACTGAAGCTCCAACAACCACAGAAGCTCCAACAACGATAGCTACAATACCAGATTTGGGCTCAATTTTAAAACAATTTGATAGCGCTTTTGCTCAGCTCAATAAATACTTCAAAAATACTTTTAAATATGGAAAAAATTAAATTAAATTTAAAGTTATAATTCAACTGTTTTTTTTATTCAAAATATAATAAATTGTAAAGATATTTGGTTGAGAAAAAAAGACAGTTTGATGAACTATAAAATGAGCAAAAATGTCTTAATCAATCAATCAAAAATATTTTTTTAAAGTTTATCTAAAATTTTAACTTAAACAATACAAAAATTGTAAGAAAAACTTGAAGTTTTTAAATACATTTTTGATAACAAAACCTTTTTTTTTGAATATGTCAATATATTTTTGACCCATTTTCAGCTCGCTTTTGAGTTTTATTTTTTTTTTCGATTAAACATGTTCAATTTTAAAATTTTTGAAAAAGTTTTATGTGTTTGCTTAAAAACAGCGTTTTCTCCTGTTTTTCAGAAACCTTAGCCAATGTTTAACTTAGCCTTGTATATAACTTAAGTATATTGAAACATAATTGCCAAAAAAACTTTAAAATAATTATAAATCGTAACGGTTTTTTTAATTTAAATTTTTTAAACATGCATAAATGCAGTGTTGCACTTGAAATCGCGAATTGGCAGACGGTTGTAGGCTTCAGGCTAAGATTTATCCATAATTTGTGAATCTCCTATCCTATATATCGAGTTTGCATGATTAGATCTGCGAAAATATACTCAAAACTGTCAAATTTTCCTGAGATTTAATCTGGGTTCTTAGAATCGATTGAGCCACTTTCCACCTTATTTCACTGCTGATTCTAATTTATTAAGAAAAGTAATTAAATAAATATTAAAATAAATGTGACCATCATCATTCAAATTCAAATAAAGCTGTATTCCATTCCAATGAAAAAAAAAAAATTTAATTCCATTCCTATTACAATTGAGCATTTAAAAAAGCTCCTTGTGACTTGATACTGGAATAAAGACATTAATACCAATGATAAAATTTTTTAAAAAAGCATTTTAAAGTTTTGATAGATTCGAGGCAGAAAACACTTTAAAATGAGAGTTACAACACTTATTATTATATTTATTATTTTTGTTGGACGTAAGTAAAATTTTGGTTTGAAATTTTATGATTAATTTGTAATATTTTATAAATATTGATTTAAAAATATTTTTTTTTGTATTTTATAGTTTGCTCTCCTGTCTTACCAGCTGATTTGAGTAAATATCTTCCAACAAATGCACCATCATACTTAAAAAACACAGATGAAATCGCACCTCTTGCAACGCTTATGGCAAAAGGATTTTACGATTTTACACAAGAAGTCAACAAATCTTTTACCAAAATGACTGACTATTTTAAATGGTTATTAAAAATTGATTAAATTCTTTTAAATTAAAGAAGTTTGTCAAATAAATTGTTTAATTTTGAAAAACATACATTTTTCTTATTGATTAATCTTTTGAATATTTTACATAATTCAAACCTTATTTTAAAACCTAGTAATAGGGTTACCATCTAATTTTCATGAAAATACAGGACTTTTGGTAAATTTTTTCGAAAAATACAGGACATAGAGTAAAATTTGAAAATTAACGGAAATTTTCGTGAAAAAAATACAGGACCTGGAACAAAGTTTTCAAATTTATACAGGACAGGGCTTTGAAATACAGGACTGTCCGTTGTAAAACTACGCAGATGGTCACCCTACCTAGTAACCAATCAAGACCTTGTAGATAAAATAAAGGCAAACACATTATTATCAAAACATTTGAGCAAACAAAAGAAGACACAGTGTGTAAGCTAGAAACCCAATGCGGATATATTCACACTGTATCATTAAGAGTCTTGTTGTGATAGGCCAAGCTTTATTCAGCATGTGTTTGAAGGTTAAAAGCTTGACGGGTAAGCTGAGATTCACCAGAACTTTTTTAATTGGGTCCAATTCATTTCGTTGCTATACTCTTGCCTCTTACTTTTTGTTTGCTTTCTTGGCATCGACAGACAACATAGCATAAAAAATAATTTTTAAAAACATTTGTTATGAAACATTTGTCAAAACCTCCGAAGGAGAATGTTTCAATTCATAATGATTTTTCAATTTAGGTTTAAAGTATGTTTATTAAGCAATTGTTTTATTCGATGGCTGGAAACTAAATTTAACAAGGATTACTTCCTCAAATAAATGATTAAATAATCCACAACGTGAATAAAAATCAGAATCAGTCGATGAGTCATTTAAAAATTATCATAAAATCTTGAAAAGGGTTCAAGGCACAACTAAATTCATATTACCGTTTTTGTTCCTAAGTAAGTCAACATCCAGCAGAAACTTCAAGATCCAGACAAGGAAAGTGCCAATTTGGTATCAATCTCAAGATAGCATACCCAGAGATTCTTATTGAGTCCCTTGAGAGTGAGGCACACAAGTCAATTTAACTTATATGGAAGAGATGATCCTAAATAAATCAGTCTATTCTTCATGTAAGTTAACGAAGAAAATCAAGATTCCGTTAAAATTCTTAAATTAATCAAAACCTCAACGAATAGGCTTTAATGAGTTCAGTCGGTTTCTAAGCATTCCAGCAAGCTCGATCTTTCAAAACCAATTACATTAATTTCATCAATTAAGATAAAGTTCTAATATTCTAAAATATTCATCATTGTATTTCCATTTTACATCAAAACATCAGATTAATAAATATATGAATTTTAGTTATATCCCGCCAAAAAATACAACAAATGTTCTACAAAAGGGATCGTTAACTTATGACGTCCAAAATTAACGGTCGTTTAAAAAGAAAGCGTCAAAAAGATGTACTGGTGTACTTTTTTTGCTGACCCACCCCCTGGACGTCATAAGTGAACGGCCTCTAACCTATTTTAATTTGTTACTTTTAACCTTGTGAAATATTTCACATTTATTTGCAAGTGTCTGTGCTAAATAAATTTATTTATCATCTTGAAGATTGTTATAGTCATTGGAATTTAAAATTAGGTTTTGCAGAAACAAAATTCTTGAAAATTTAAAAATTAAGAACATTTTAAAAGTGCTAATTTGTTCGTTGTGTAATAATTGAATAAGAAATAAGACTCAAATAAAAGTTAAGAATAGAATCACATTTAGTAGACCACAAGACATTCCTTAAAAACTTGCAATTCTATTCCATAAAAATACAGGAATTATTACTTATAATCTGTACCATAAAAGTTGTAAATTAAAGTTATTTAAATGTAATATTTTGTATACAAAAAGGTGATAATTGACAGTTTTAGTTTAAATCAGATAATTGAATTATTTTTGTGATCAATGTTGCAACTAATTTTAGCTTATAAAAATCACGATGTCTCATAGGTTTTTTTTTCAGTCTTATTTTATTATTTGAAGTTTAAATACGCTGTGATTTTTGTTGAAAAAATTAATTAAATAATATTTTAAGAAATTTTTGTTTAATATAAAAAAAAATAAATACAGTTAAGTGATTAAAAATGGTTAATATTGCGTTCAAAAGCATTTTAGTTCTATGGATATTATTGGTGACAAACAGTGAAAAGAATATTGGACTAGCTTGTGAGAAAGTTTTTCGTGAAATGTTATTTTGCAATTCATATTCTTTTTATTTAACAGATCCTCAATCTAAAGGATACGAATATCCGCCGGGAAATCCACCGTTTAAAGATGAAACAACTTTGACAACGACTACAACAATTTCTTCAACAACATCAAGACCGATAACTCCTTTTTTAACAGTAAAATCCTCTCCTCCTCAAAAATTAACAACAACACAAAAAACTATTCGTTCTAGTACAACTTCTATTAAATTAATAAGCACAACCGGATATGTTTATTCTACTCCATCAGTTCCAATCACTTTTCCATCAAAATCGACTCCAACAATTGTCACAACTCCTACTCCTTTTAAAAATATTACTTTAATAACTAAAACTACAACTTTGCCATCTACACCAGCCAAAACAACAGCTCCGAGTACAAGTTTTTCAGGATATATTTACTCAACACCATCAATTCCATTTACACCTCCTACTCGATCTATTTCAACAACTTCAACTACTCAAAGAACTTCTACAACCACGACAATCACAACTCCAAAGACAAAGCTTATCACCACAACATTCAAAACTACATCAACACCTAAAACTACAACACGTTTAGGCACTCCAAAAACTACACGGTATGTATTTAAATCTTAATTTTTAAAAATATAACAAAAAAAATCACACTCAGGAAATTTTCGAATTTTTCAAGGAAATGCAAAAAAGTTCTGAAGAAAATGAAACACAATTTACGCAGAAAGTCACAAACTTCCACGCCTGTCTAATTGCTACAGAATTAAAAAAGCACAAAAGTTGTAGAATCTTGCTCAGTCCTTGTTTTAAATATAAAAATAATTTTTCATAATTTTTTTCTAAAAAACCCTAGCAAAGCTGTGAGCTCTCATAAAGTCCTTTAACAGCCTTGCCTCGAAAAACTTCTATCTACACCCTTTAATTGATTGATAATCTTTGTCCTTGTTGTTTTTGAGGTTTTTGAGTCATAGATTATTTCCAAAATTTACACACAATTTTGACACAAATTGAGATTTTTAAAACCTGTCCTTATCCAGCAATAAAAGAGTGTGTTTCACGCCAAACAGGACATATAATAAGCTATCGAGAATGTATATGATTGTTTCTACTCTAAACAAAAACACTATAAACATTGTGAACTCTACTTTAAGGACACAAACGACAACATCAAAAATAACAACGAAAATCATAACTCCGAGGATTTCCTTGACATATTTGCCTCCAGATACTACATCAACAAGAAAAACAACATCTGTCATGACCACCACATCAAGTGTACCAACTACAGAAAGCATTACTTCCACAAAAATCACAACAACACCACCAACAACTAAAACAACGAGCACATCCACTAAAACTACTATTTCAACTCCATCAAACACATATTTGCCTCCTGATAATAAAGAAACTGTGTCTATGTGAGTAAAAGTTAATTATGAACTCCTTCCATGATGCCTCCAAAAGATGATACACAAAGGGGCTGTTCACTTATTACGTAACGCGAAAAAATGACTTCTTAGACCCCCCCCCCCTTCGTAACAAAATTTGTATGAAAAAAAAATTTCCTTGTTTGAATCGTAACAAAATCTCCCCCTAACAGCGTTACGTAATAAGTGAATGGCCACATAAATCACATTTAATAAAAAAATAGAAGTTCCAAAGACACTTAACGACTTATTTTAGAATAGACTTAATATTTATCTCACCATAATTACAGACCAGCAGTAACTGGAAACCAACCAACACGTCCTTATAACCCTTCAAAACCATTTAAGGGTTCAACATATTTACCAATTTCCAAGCCATCTAGAACAACAACAAAGTACATACCAGTTAGCTATAATCCTGTAATAAATACTGGAACCTACAAAGCAGTTTTTATTCAACGTCCATACACGATTGGGAAACCAGTGACTTATGTTTATCCAACTTATAAGACTATTTCAACAACGCCATTTATATCGACGACAACTCCAAAATATTTTTATGCGGAACCTCAAAAAAGCTTTTATTTTTAAGGTAAATATAAAACATAGGAATGTGTTAAACTTAGTGCTAATAGGTGCTAAATATTATTTTCTGTTTAAATGTTTTAATTTAATTATTAAATTAATTAATTAAGAACTGCCAAAATAAATATGACGAAGCAGGTTAAATATGTACAAACGTCTTCAATAAATTTTAAAAGAACTTTTGTTATTTTTTTCTTCTTCTTATTGGATGTTCTAAGGCACTGGGGTGTAGCCAAGAATTAAAAAAAGAACCCTGAAAAAATAAAAAAAAATTGGCGAAAGTCCACTTGTTATATATCGAGTGACTTCAGCGCATTTTTGTGTCTTTTGGAACTCGAATTTTCTAACGGTCAAAATATATTTGAAATTATCCCACTTGAAGTTGGCTACATTGTATTGAAATCAAAAAATCATTAATTATAGTGTTTCCTGATGGTTTTAAGATTTTTAACTATTCGTCGCCGCAATAACTCGATTGAACACAGCTTTCGCAAAAAACTAGAACTCTCTACGATGTCTAGATCAAAAGTTTTTGCATGCAGCCGAGCAAACGAACAAAGCGTATTTTTAAGCTATCTTTTCGAAACAAGTTTCAAAAATGTGCTAAAAATGTCTTTTGAAGAAGTGAGCTTTGTATCACAAATATCATTTTTTCTTGATTACGCGCCTGTCTTAAAATATTTCTCGTGTTTATTTCATCATATTTTAAGGTAAAACTCGCTTAATTTAGAACTTCGGATATTTCTTCTGATGACTTTTACACAAGCTAGTATGTCATCGACAACAAACTAGTTAACAACATAAAAATTAAATCTCAAGTCGAGTTTGCGTGCAGTATTGATGTCTTTGGAAAATAACGGGTCTCCTTTGCTAGGTATACAAGAATTTATTAGCATCTGAATGACTTCCTTACGGCATCTTGCGCTCACGAATTGTGACTAGGTACATTGCAGGGTGCATCAGATATATAGACGTACTCGTTTCTTTGCGATGTGCAGAACTGTAGGTCTAAAGGGTATCGTACAATAGATTCTTTACAAATTGAATTGCAGTGCCTCCAGCTGAAAGGCTTAACACATTATCTTGTGAATATGAATACTGTGAATGAGTAAGACAAAAAAGGCAAAGGGATTAGATCAGTGTTGACCAAACTCAAGCCATGATACACATCGGCTTTAGATATTTTTTCTTGGCACACCTAAGGATGTCCCGAGGCATACCGTTTAGACAACACTGGATAAGATGATTGAAAAAAATTAAAACAATACCCGAATAGCATAATTCGGTTCATTGGTCAGAATTCTGGCACGAAGCAGATGTGACTCTCGCATAGTGCTGCGTTAAAATCGAAGTCCTGCCGGTTTTGCACAGGATTTTAATTCAATAAACTGACTTTTACTATTCAAAATAGCACACTGAGAATCAAATTATGGAAAACTTTTTTAAAAATATTGAAAATATCTCTTGAAGGATCAAAAGAATAAACAGCCTGTTGAAATATCTGAAACATAAAAATTATAAAAGATGTAAAAACAGTTTATTTAAATTTTTTAAAATAACGTTTTTCTCACCATTTTCTTCGTTTTTTATTATTTTTAAATTGTTAAGCAAGAGATAAACAGTTTTTTTCAGATCAAGGTGCTATTTTTGAGCACCCTGAAATATTTTTTTTACTGAGCAATAAATTTACTAAAGAGTTGTTGATCTGAGATCAATTTTAATATTCAGATTCAACTTTTTAAACTCTAATGTTTTATGTCACTCAATTAGCTTCCTTACAAAACGTATTGAAGAAATTTCATTAATTTACTTTAATTATTTAATTTAATTTGCTATTTAAAAGAGATTTTATCACTTAATTTTTAATTATGATTCATTTTTTATAATAATTTAATATAAATTTTTACATTTTTTTTCTTTTAAGAAATTTGAACAAAAGTTTTAATAAAATAACTGCACAGAGTTAAAATTTATTTTATTTAAATTTTTGGGTGTCTTTATTATTTGTTAAAAGTGAAGATTTTTTTTTATATTTAAGGTAGTCAAAATTATGTAAATTTTTTTAACCAATTCAGACAATTTTGACTGCACAAAAAAATGTTCGAACAGAATAAAATTTAATTTTCAAAAAATAAAAATAAAAAATAAATTCTACTTCTGCTCGAAATGAGAATGAAGATTTTTTTCTTAAAAATTTTTTGTTTTCAATAATTTTATTAATAGTTTATATACAAATTTTCTCATAAATAGTTTTTGAAATTTAAATCACAAATGATGTATTAAATAAGGATAAAGATAAATTAAGAGTTTTCATTCATGAGCTTTTAACTTCTTGCATAAAACACTTTAATTTTGATTCTTCAAAATCTAGAATTTTAAGCTCTTATTTGAACACTTTATTATCTTTTTTTACATACAAAAAAATATCTTAACTTAGAAATATACAAATAAAGAAAAATTAATTAAATGCTTTCAGTTCAATGGGTCCGTTTTAAATTTAAATTTTGATTTAGTTTCAAATTCCATTTTTAAAATTGTTTTATTTTAGGGCTTGAGGATCATACTTGAAAATTACAATTTAAAAATTATAATAAAAGTTAAATTTCAAAGAAGTCATTATTAGCTTATTAACTTGTAAAAATATTAAAATTTTCCTTTTTTTGAAGTTTTAAAATTAAAAAGTTTTAATTGTAGCACTTAAAACTCAATTCTGCAATTTAAAAAAATACGATACTGATAAATATTTCGATTATAATGTGGTTTATAAAAAAAAGGATATGAAAAGCTTGTTTTTAACGCTATTAACTAATTATGTTCTTAAAAAACATTTAAATTGCATAGTTTTTTGTTGTTTGAAGCCGTGAGTAAGCACGGGAGATTATTTTTATATGAATTGTATGTTTTCACTAGTGTTACTATTGTAATTAAAGTTGTTGAAGCTGCAATCACTCTTTGAAGATAGACTTCAATTGGTTATTATTTCTCCGTACCACATTTTTTCTGTACATATTTACTGAATATTTTCTATGAACTCAAAATAATTTTCATCATTTTTTATTTTTTTTCTATGTGCATTTTAATATTTTCCTGTATATTTTTTTCATATCTTTTCCATAGTCGAGTCAATTTAATGTCGCTTTTTGTGGTTAAAATCAACCATAAATTCCCATAACAACTCACAAATTAACCATAAATAGCCTCCTTAGATTGACTTGATCGTAACAAACAAAAAATTCAATTTTCCACAATCAAATTTACAAAGTTTTTTTTTTCACAACCATTTTTAAGCTGAAAGCTTTTTTATAGAATTTTCTTATGTTCAACCTGTTGCAGCAGCAGCTGCAATTGTTGGATCGTAAGCAGGCGATAGTGTTGGTGATGGCGATTCTGTTATTGAAACTGAAATTGACGGCAGAATCTCATCTGTTGGTGATATTTGTGCTACATTTGTTAAGGATTTCCTCTTCCTGTATTGATCGAGTGAGAGCTGGAATAAAAAAAAATGGTTATAGCTTAAAATTTGAGCCAAGTGACCTTAACTTACCTTTTTCTTAGGCGTTGCAGTTTCTTCCTTCTTTACATCTTGTACCAATGATGGATTCAGCCTAGGATCATGACTAGCTGTTTTAGTTTTAGGCAAAACAGTTACAGGACTTGTAACATTCAATTTTGTTTCCAATAAAAATCCTCCAAATGAATCACTGGTGGCATTCTTCAATGCCTCAGCCTGTGGACTAATTGCCAGGATCAGTGGCTCGATTCGAATTGGCTCGGGTTGGATGGGTCTATAACTATTAATAACTGTCGGTGTAATTGGTTGTGGTATTGGTTGTGGTGCCATGGCTGGTTTTTCGGGTACATAACTATTGACTTTATGTTGTGGTTCTGGTTGATACTCATAATTTTGTCGACTGTTCCATCGACAATCCATTTGTGATGCTTTTTGTGCTCGATACATACTATATGTTGTAGTTATTGGCTCACGATGATGTATTTTATCATAATGGAATGATCCGTACTTCCTGTTTTCATGAATTCCATTTCCAGACCATCGTTCTTTTCTTGGATCATTGCAAACTTCACTAATTGACCTTTGGTAATGTGATGGATAGTTATGATGTGAATATTGCTGATGAGAATCAAAACTGACACTCATTTTTAATGGCTTACGATGATCATCATAGTCATAACCGCGACTTCCCCTTGAATGATAATCATCCGTTTTAGAATATCGAACACTTTCCCTTTCATCGTAGCTCACAGAATGCTTAAATGGATTATGAACATAATTATCTCTACAAAATCTTTTATTTGCTTCAGTGAGCTTCTCTATTGTGTCTTTATGGAATTCTTCAACACATTCACGATACGGCGTATCATCTTCGTCATCAATATCATTGTCTGACTCAATTGGTTCTGTTTCAAGCTCATTCTTTGACATTTCAACTTCAATTTTCTTTTTAAAATCTGTTTTTAAAGTCTTTGGAATGACTTTCTCTAAAATTGAAGCAACTTGCTGCTCAACAACTTTTTCAGGCTTCAAATCACTTAGTGAATCTATATTTGATTTGTTGGTGTCTATGATTAATTCAAGGGTCTCAATTGAAGACTTAAAAGGGATTAATGAGTCAATGTTTGGTTTTATTGGAGCTATACCATCGGATAAAGATTTTAAGATACTTGGTGGCTCAATAATGGTTTCGATGATGTCATTATCAATATTTTGTGGAACGGATTGAATCTTTTGAGTCAGAGATGATGAATTATTGCCACTGGAAATTTGCTCAATTGATTTTACAGATTTTATGTCAGTAGGTTTAATTTCTGAATCTTTTGTGTCAGGCTCTTCAGATTTTATTGACTTCAAGAATATTTTTGATACTTCTGAAACCTCATCTGATATTTTCGATGATTTAAAGTTCAACTTTGTTTTAAGTTCTGAGTGATTTGTGATAATCTCGCATTTACTAAAAGTTTTGCTTTCGCTAACACAAGAACTATCCACAGTATCTGATGATAATGATTCCACGCGATCAGTTGAGGATTTGAGAGAGCTTGACGATAAAATTCTGTTATTTAACTCTAAATCTGATGAGCTATGATCCTTTGATTGTTTAATAGAAGATAATTGAGCAGTTTTTGATAAATTTGAAGCTAAAGTACTAGATCTCGGTTCTTCTTTAACATCATGTAGTTTTGATTTTTGTTGAGACTCGTCTAATGTATTTATAATTTTTTCAACTTTTGGAACCAATAGTGGAGTTAAAATTACTGATGTTGAATTGACAAGACATTCTGGATGTGCCAGTGATAAATTCGGTGTATTTTCAGGCGAATTGCAGCTTAAAGTTCTTGAAGACACACTTGACGACTCACTAATTGTTCTTGTTTTTGATTTATTAGCATAATTGTCCTTGATCACTTGAAAATTTGAGAGTGTTGTTAAATTTTGATTGTTTACTTGAGATGCTATGGAATCTTTTCCTTGATTCAGTAAATGCTGATCTTTTGACAAAATATTCTTCGAATCTTCAATTAAGCTTCTTAATTTTACTTCTTGACCATCCAAATTAGATGATTTTAGACATTCCTTTTCAGAATCGTTAAATTTAAGCTTTTTTAAAACTTTTTTTGATTGGAATTTTAAGAGTTCTGTTGAATTTTTGATTACTTCTGTAGAATTCCTACGAAAATCATCAGCATTTTTGCTAAATTTTGAATGATTTGAGGAACAGGTTGAAGTTTTTGAGGAACCACTTGATGACTCGCTGATTGTTCGTTTTGAATGTTTTGTGAATTTGTCGTTAAAGTGCAAGTTACTTATATCATCTCGGATATAAAGCTGTGAATTGTAAGAATTTTCTGGTTTTGACATTTCATTAAATTCTTTAGATTTTGAGATTAAACTTTCATTTTTAAGCAAATCTTCATCGTTTGGTTTTTCAGATTTACTGAATGTTTCATCAGATCCGTGATTTTTATTGAGATGCGAAAGAAGTTTTGTATCATTTTGTTGAGGAACATAAAGTTGTTGTTGATTAACATCATTTTTGTAGAATTCTACATGATTTTGGATAGTTTTTGAATCACTTAGATGAGAACATTTGCTAGAATCAAAATTGACCTCAATTTCATTTCCGTGAGCATCATTTTGACCGATTTTGTCATCAATTTGCATAATTTTTCCTCCAATTTGATGAAATTTACTGTCAAAAGGTGGGATTAATCCTACAATTGGATGAATTTTTGACATTTTACTATCAATTGCATCACTTTCACTAACTCTTTGAGTTTTAACTTCATTATCCTTAATTTTCATCATAACTTTCTCCTCAAATGCTAAATTCTGTCTAATTTTTAATGGCACATCCTCGAGATTTCCGAAATTTTTGATCAAATTTTTGTCAATTTTCTTATTTTTGCCAATTTTTGATGGACTTTTTGGTGTCTTTACTTTTTTTGGCTTTTGCTGAGCTTTCTTCGCCTTCATTGGTGGCTTTTTTACTTTCGGTGTTTTAGTTTTAATTTTTATTACTTTTTGTGTCTTGTTGAGCTTGTTTGCTGAATTTTCTTCAGTTTTCTTCTGATATCCGTGGTCATTTGATTTGTCAAAAGTCAATGCCTGTACAATTTGATGATTAGGACTATGCATCACCTTTGTTGGACTCATTTGAATTAATTTTACTGGACTTTCTTGCTGCAATTTAAGCAAACTTTCGGCAATATTTTCATTGGGATTTTTTGTATAGATTTCGTATGTTCTTGTTGGACTGATTTGAATTTTTGTTGGACTTGAAAGACCTTTGAGTTGATTGAGCTTTGATGGACTTAATTGAGTTTTTGATGGACTTAATTGATGAATTTTTGGAAATCCTTCTAAACAATTTTCACTATAAATGCTGTAAACTTTTTGATCACTAAAACTTTCTGGCATTTTTTTATCATTTAAAGTTCCTGAATGGATAATTATGTGATTTTGTTTTTGAATGTTTTCCATTTGATTTCTGTATGAAAGATCTTCAAGGTTTTGTATTACTGACATTTGATTTGATGTCTCATCAACTTTATTATAAAATTGACTAAAGTTTTGAACCTTTTGATGCTGATCGGTAATAAACTTAGAATTATCGCAGTAAATTTTTTGAACTTTTCCATCCAAAATTTGCTGCAATTTTCCATCAACAGTGATAATTTTTTCTGTAATTGGTGATTCTATTTTGATTTGTTTTTGATCGTAGATGTCAAGTTTTACAGCATTCTGAATATTGTCACAAATCTCATTTTTAATTCCAAAAACTTGGGGGATTTTATCGTTGAATTTTAAATCGACAATGTTTACATTATTGTTTTTATAATCATTCGGTCTCTCATAAGACTCTATTTTTATCAATTTCTCATCGTAGATTTGGGTGTGAGGGAGTTTTCCCTAAAAAGAAGTTGAAAATTTATGTTAAAATAATTTTTTAAGATTTTTTTTCAGTTAATTATTCAATATTAGCAATGAATGGCATGGACACAGAGAATGTGGTACAATAGATTTAGTTCTACTTTGTATCGCAGTGCCTTCAGCTAGAAATGCTGGGCCCTCTCCATGTTTTACTTAACTTTATGAATGACATTATCGTCAATATCATTTAAACTCAAGAAACGTTGTCTACAATTTTTCTAGCAATTTCACAAAAGTGCAGAGTAAAATGATCAAAATGTAAGTTATTAGTTCCGTACCCTTGCAATATCGTAAGATACATAGACAATAGAATCTTATCTTACATTGCTTTAAACCAGAGGTCGAAGACAGTGATTCATCAGAGAGGATGTCATTGCTGGGACAGAAACACAAGTTTGTTACAATGCCCTTGGATGGAATTCGCAAGGGAAAAGACGCTCAGGAGCTCCAAAATCTACTTGGCCCAGAACAGTGATGAAAGAATGTCAGCTTAATGTGCAGACAGAGAATTATACAAAGTAGGTGACAGAGCCAGCAACAGAGTCAGATGGAAGTACTTTTGTTTTAACCTAAGCTCCACATAGGAACATGGTTACAGTAAGTAAGTAAGTAAGAAGTCAGTGATGTGACGCCGATGAAATTTTAAGTGAAGTGAACTGAGTTCACTGCACCGACTTCAATCTCTGCTTTAAACTCACTCGCATATTTATTATATCAAAAAATTGACTTTATTAGACGGAAGTCAAGTAATTCTCATTGAACCAAATTTAACTGATTTTGCTTTAGCATGAATTATATAGTCGTGTATGTAGTCAATAGAAAAATATTAATTAACATACATATTATTAACTTAATGAATAACTCATAGATTGATTGTATTGAAAAGAACGCTAGAGTCCTGAATATTCCGAACTGGCAGAAGGTGTTAAGGATAGAGCTGTCTTTAGGCGTTCTCTAAGCGTGGCAATGGGCCAATGTGCTCTCTATCCATGAAACTAAGCCAGTAATGAATAACTCATAGGAATCCATAAAAAACTGATTTCAAAACAGCGACAAATATTTAATTTTAAAGGATTGAGATAAAAATTCTCATCCATTGTATTAGAATTGGGGAAGTTTAAAAAGATAAAATCATTTAAATTTAAATCTATTCATACCTCATTTCCAATGATACTTCTCAGCTGATCAACTTTAATTAAATTATCTGGCTGACTTCTTCCATAAATTGCATTAACATCCACTGGACTATTCATTTGTATTCCATATGTCAGATTATTTTTTGTTCCATGTATTTGATGTCCAATTGGACTTTGTATTACACTCCTTGGCTCCATTTTCACCACCACCACATTTTGTTCATTTTTCTGCTGACTCCCAAACTCCATCTCAATCTTCTCATGAATTTCCCTTAAATTTATATTTACAGATTCTGACGGCTCACATTTGAGAAGTGCCGAATTATTTACAAAATTATTATTAAATTTATTTACTTCCACATTATTCTTAAAATTATTCGATTCAAAACACGCTTTTTGATCTATTTTGCTCGATTCAGTCTCACTGCAAACTCCAATTTTAATCTCATTATTATCTTCAACTTCCCTTACAACGCGACGTTTCTTAAGCGGTGCTTTCATATCATTCGGTGATGTTTCCGGTGGTGTAACTGTTGGCGATGGTGTTGAACACTCTGTTGTTGCTTGTCTTAGCCATCGTTTCTTTACTGCATTGTCATCAGACATTGTTGAGAGTTTTGGTGTATCACAACTTATGTCCAACAATGGCAGTTTGTTATTGTTTACCTGAAAGTAAAATTTTATATGTTTAGAGAATGGCGGAAAAAATAAAAAAAGCCCTCAAATTACGACTAGCAGAAGATAAACTCACCTCAACTTTAATACCATTTGTACTATTTTGTGTGCACTGTGACGATAACTCGTGTGATGCAACGGTTAGTAAGAGATTCATACTTGTTAGTGATTCATTGTTTAATTTTCCCTGTGCTTCGTCTTTCACAACGACAGTCGATGTTGGTGTTGATGGTACTGGTGCTGGTGATGTCGCTGGTGGTTCAACAATCCAATAATTATGATCTAAAAGCACATGGTGATATGCTGTAAGATGATTCGGTTCAGATTTTTTGGGTGTTATTAAAAGCTGTGGCTGCATAGATGATTGATCATCTGTCGATGTCTCGAGTGGAATTTCAATTTTATTTACTACTTGAGTAGAACCATTGAATCTGTTATAAAATGAATCAAAAGAACGCTGTGAGATTGAACTGAGAATAAATGCTGCTTCCTCATCGTCGATATCATTTGGAGGCTTAACTTTTGCGCGTTTTGTATATTTTCTTGGTGTCTTTGGTGTTGTTGGCGGTTTCTTCTTTTTCTCAGCACTATCTTTCGGTGTTCGAGGCTTTCGTGGCTTCTTTTTTGGCGTTGTTTTAGTTTTGCCATTTTTAGGATTTTTGTTTTTTGCATTCTTTCGAACCTTTTTGCGTTTTGATGGTGAAAAGTCAAAAGAGTAATCATAATGAGCTAGCTTCGATTCAGCCAGTGAACGTGCTGCTTTTGCCTCGCGTGCCTTTTTCACCGTGTCGAAAATATTCTCAACGAAAATTTGTGTTTCGACAAAGTTTTCTGCTGACGGCTCTAATTGAGATTTGAACATTTTCTTTAACTTTTTAAACGTTATTTTTTTAATCTCAAGAATTATTAAATTAGTTTCTTATTTTTTTATTTAAAAAAATCTTTTTAAGGAAAAATGAAACGTTTCTTGTTACTTTTTTTTCTCTTCTTTTTCTTGCCTTAGATTCACTGTGGAATTTAATTTTTGTAGTTTTTTCTTCTCATTCACTCAACTGCAGAATTTTTCACTGAAAATCGACATGTAGCATTATGATGATGTGGATTTTTATCTTGCTTATCCATTCTCTTATGAGTTTTGATAAATTTTCTTTTTTTTAGACGCAATTTCCACAGTTGCATGCAAATTATTGAAGTTTTTGATTTGTGTGCCGTCGCGTTAACCTCTAAAAATAGGAAACTTGTTAGTTTTTGTGGGAATTTCATAAATGGAATCAATTTAGAATGTGATGGGAATCTGGTAGGAATTTTTTGTCTTGTTTAGAGTTGAAAAATATTATTTCTTCTTTATGAATGAATTTGACAGTTTGACACTGTCGTCTCGAAATTAAAGGATTGAACGCTCCTTAAAATTTGGTTAAAAAATAAGTAAAAAATTTGTTTTTAAATTTAAATTCATTGAAAAAAAATTTGATTTTTTAAGTTGAAATTCGTCATAAAATTTAAATTAAAATACAAAACTTCAAAAAACATTAAAAATATCAAATTAAATTTCCCGCACCTTTTTTCAAATCTTCAGCGTCCAATCCCATTTTACATTCACTTTATCTGTCAAAATTGCCACATCAACTACCCATTTGGACAGATTCTTAGTCCATTAGGCCAATATACAGCGTTTGAGGGCTTCGATTTATTTTCAATCGCAATAAAGAAAGGAAGAAAAAAAATTTTTTTCATGAAAGTTTTCAATCCCAAAAAACTTTTCAATGTTTTTTCAAAATTTCTCCATAAAAGTAGCTTGACATGTGGCAAAAATAGACAAAACAGAATGCCATAATTGGAATCCAATCAGATGCGACTGAATCATGTAGACACGAAAAAATGTTTGGGCAGTTGGAATCAGAAAAGAAATGAAGAGAGGAGGAAAAAAAAATCAAACATGGAGAATTTTTTTGATAGAAATCTATCGATTATGGAAAATATTGAAAATTTAATGAGAAATTCGAGACAATTTTTATAAACTTTTTGTCAATTTTGTAGGCTTTATAATTATGAGTTGGCTAAATTGGGAATCTTGGGACTTTTGAGTCACATTCAGTCAATTTTTGTAAACGTTTTGATGGCTTAAAAGGAAAAAAAATCTATCATCAAATTTACCTTAATAATCTCCTTTCAATATCAAAGTTTAGCTTCAAAATTGCAAATTTCTTCAATTAATTCAAATGCTTCACTCCAATTAGAAGTTTAAATTCTTTTTGAGATTGTTGAAAAAATTGTAGTTGACAAGTTTTTCGCAATTTAATCTTGTTTTTGTCCTTATTTCCTCTTAAATCAATGTTCATCCACTGCACAATTAACTTATGTGATGCCTAAAAGCAATATATTCACTTTATATTTATTTTTTTGACGCTCAATTTATTATTTTATGTTAATTTTCAATCTTTTGAGGCCCGTACAAGAAAAAATCTTTTTCTTTCTAATTGCACTATACAAAAATATTTTTCCATTTGAGCTTGAGTCACTGGGGATGATGTACTTATGGACATTGCGCCATCTTTAAAAATGTATTTTTATATGTAAGCCAAATATTTTGATGTTTTTTATACGCTTTTGTGTGTGGGCTTAGAGAAGGTCTTTAAATGTGTTTGTGAATTTTTGTATGTGTTTGTGTCGAAATTTTTTTTATTTTCAATTCTTTTGAAATTTTCTGATTGAAAAATATCATAATTAAGTGCTTATTTCAATTTTTTTTACAAATTTATTTAAAATATTCTTTAAAACTTTAAAACTCTCATCAATTTTCTTAAAGCCCTCAAAAAATCATCGACCTTATTCCCAGTTTTGAACTAAAATATTTCAATTTTTCCGTCTAAAATTGTACAAGTGTTGAAACTTTTTTCTTTTTATTATTTGACTGTAATTTTGTTAAATTATATTTTGGTGGGAAAAGACGATGTTTTTTTTCGAGGATGCGTCTAAATTTAAAAATAATTTCTCTTCTTCTTAATATTTAGGTTTGTATGTCAATAGCTTTTTTTTCAGGAAACTGTCGTCTTTGAAATTAAGTTCTAAAATCACAAAACCTATGTTTGCTTGATGAAGAGGATTAATGGGAAATGAGGGTCCAAAGGGATTTAAAATAGTTCAAGTTTTTTTTACAATTTTCGTAACTTCATTCCTTGTTGTTAATAACATGAAAATTATGATTTATGATGGCAAAAGGATTATAATGAAATTTCCATGAATCTTAACATTTGTGTTAATACAATTAAGCTTCCTATACATAAATTGAATATCATTAAAAGTTTAAACTTAAAAACAATAAAACTCTGCTTAAAAACCCTTGGAATGTGCATTTTGAGTGATAAATTGAAGTAATACATCCATTTTATGCACAGGAGCCATCAAAAATCTTTAAGCTTAGCTATATACCCTGGTATAAAATTTAAAGTATATTAAAAAACAATTTCTCCTGGAAGAAAAACCAATTCTTAATCTAGTTTGATTTTAAATTAGGAAACACAGCCTCAAGATCGTGTTAGTGTCGACAATAAATGAAAAAGTCTTCAAACACAGCCAAAGCTTAATACACAGTGTTTAATACACAGAACAAGATTTTCAGTCTCAGACACTTTTTTCTTTTCTTTTTTATAAACATTGATTTACATAAAAAATAAATTGACAATACAAAAACATTTGGGATGTTATTTAATCTTTATTTACGGTCAAATACCGACAAGGTTGAATTTAAATTGAGAAAAGTAAAATATTTCAGTGATGTTTCAAAAATTATAATCAATTTGTTTTTACTTTAAAGATTGAATTAAATTGAAGTTTTTAAAATATTAAATTTATTTTAAATTGATAACAAGATAACATTGTAAAAAAATTTAAAAGGAGCTTTTTTAAATATTAAAAAAAAATAATATACTAATTTCAAATAAATATTAAATCTTAAATTTAAAATATATTTAAAAATAATTCCAAAAGTCTTTCAATAATTTCGCATATTTTCTTTTAACTTGAATGATACTTCTAATCATCTTCATTACATTTTCTACATTTCTTTTACTTTTACATCTGTATTACACGTAAATCATCTTATTTTTGTTGTAATAGTAAAGAAATTTATGAGAAAATTACAGGAAATGTGTAAATTATTAACCGTTAGAATTTTTAAAGAGCAAATATTTATTTATGGAATTAAGATTGACTCTTAAAATGAGCAATAAAATGCATTACAAGTTCGTATGTTTTTCTTTTGATGGCAAGCAATTTAATAGTTTTGAACCAAAGCATAACTTTGATTGCCAAAATTTGAAAAGAAGGCAAAATCTGGATTAAAATTCATGCACAGATGATCATATTCTGAAATATTTTATTTTTTAATTTCTAACATTCCAAACACTTTAAGGCAGATTTGAAATATGTGCCAATTTTTTTTTTTTCTAACTGTTTTACTGACTTTTTGCATTTTTTTTTCATTTACTTGAAGTTCATCGACTTGGTTTTGTTTTTGTTGTAAGTAGAAATTTTGTGTTGCCGGTTTCATAAAGAAACAAAAAGAGAATGTAAAGCACCAAAATCTATTAACTTTTACATTTTTCTGAGAAAAGCAAATTTAATGATTTTTAAATTTAAAAAATGTTTTATATTCAAGTTTTTTTTAAAAAAATTATTCAATTAATTGTCATTATTGTAAGATCTCATTATAAATGTAGTATGTGTATACAAATGTAAAACAAGTCTTTTGATGGGAATCGAGGTGATTTCTGAGCACTCGATCAGAGATCCCTGCTACTCAGCTACCGAGGTACTTATATCACTTTGGCTATCCGTCCTTCATATATAACCAGTTTCAACGCGAGTTCATGCTATCTACCTAAAATAATATTGACAAATTTAACTAGATTTAAAAAAATTATTAAAAATAAGTTCATGTAATAAAAATTTGTCTTTTCTTTATAAAAAGAAACCTTTCATCAAGTAAAGTACTCAAGATTTTCATGTTTCTTACTGACTCTTTTTTTCTAGCAAAACCATGTACGTTTATCTCAATTTTTTTATAAAAAAGAACACATACATGTAAAATCAATTAAAATAATGTTTATTTTTCTCCACATTCTGTAATACAAGCAGTGATAATAATTCCATTCTAGTGTTGGTACTCATATTGTTTATTAAATATCATATTAACGCACAATTCAGAAAGAGAAAAAAAAGTTCGTCTGCAGTTGACAAGTAGAAAATCTTTTTGGGTGGATAAAAAGATTTCAAAATTGAATTTTGATAGTTTATAGAACAAATGTTGTGTGGATTGATGTCAATCGGTGAGTTTTTCCAGACTTGCGGAAAATCTATTTTCATTTAAGCGGAATTTATTGATTAAATAATATAAATTTAACTTTTTAGGAGTGTTTTAATTCATCAGACGGCGAAAATTCGCTGTCTTAATTGAATGATTAAATAATTAAATTAGCGTGTGGGTCCACAGAACAAAAAAAACGTATTTATCACATCAAAGATTTTTAGACTCATTATTAGCACAAATTACTTCTATGAGATCTTAAATTTTTCTACCTTAAAAATCACCTCTAGTCTTCAAAGTTCCTACATCTCATGAATAGCAATCAAAAATGGAAAATAGTCATCAAGAGTACTGCATAAGCATTGTAAAAATGCTTAATTTTGTTGGAATTTTCTTATCAATCCTCGGGAGCGCAACATGTTTACTGGATGTCATAATTTGTATTTATTGTGCAGCCTACAATGTAAAAATAACAATTTGTAAGAGCTGAAGGTTTGATAAAATATATTTTATGATATTAATTACGATTTTCATTTTTAGTTGCTGCAATTTTTCCAATTTTTGCTATTGGAATCTATTTTTACACAACATTATTGAACATTCGGCTTGTTAGGATTGATAAGACAAAGGTTTGTTGATAATAGAATATTTATTAATGTCATTAGGCGGTTTATTGCTGCTTTATGCGATTGAACTGTTGCTGGTCACGGGATGGAGTCAACGTGTTTCCCGAGTGGACACAGCTAGTTAAAGTCCATTATTGGACAAACATTTACCAGTCTTTAAACTTGCCAAAATTTATAAGATATACAGAACTAGCTGTTAACTAGACATATGTGCGATACATATGTCGAGTTAAATGGAACCTGTAAAATATGTCATTTGTTGTCCGTAAGTCTAATTGCGAAGGCAAGTCAATGGAACCTTATTCGTCATGAATAGGCAAGTCAATGACAAGATTTTAACTAGTGCTTTGTCCACTCGGATTTTATACTTTATATCTTAACTTATCAAGTACTTTGGACATTAAACAATTATTCTTTAATATTTTTAGGACAAAAAACATTTCTACATAATTTACAACATTTTCGCATTTTTAGCACTAACCAGTGCATTCATTGATGGATGCCTAAAAATCTTCATGTTCAATTTTTTTATTTCATTTGCATTTTTCATGTATTTTATATTTGGTTCTTTAACACTGTGCATAACATGCACAGCAAATGAAGATTTGCGACGGGAGAGGGAAGGTGAGCCTGATGATGATGATCAATTGACGACAGTGTCAACTCAGGACTCAATGGTCAATAAAAAAGCAAAAAAGATAAATAATAATAAGCAAGTTTATCAAAAAGTACCTACAGAAGTGCCAGTTATCTCAAAAGAGGTGGCGATTGAAGAAGCAACTATAACAAAGGATCAAAATAAGGAATACACTGGAAAAGTCACACATTTATAAACAAATTTATGATTTGTACAAATTTTTTTGATAATAAAATTCTAAAAGATTTTTTCAATCAATTTTATTTTTTTCAACTCCTGGATTTGTAGTAAGAAAATTTGAAAACAATTGTCACAGAGTTGTGATCTGTCACTTACCTGTTAACTGGCAGTGCCAGTGACTGACTATATTTTTTTATCTACCCACAGTTTTTTTGAATCTGTGTGCAGATTTGATAGAGCAAAAAAAATATATTGCCTGTAACAGTGCCTGTAAAAATTTGCCATGTCTAATTTTCGTAGCTCTTTTTCCATTTCACCGTTCTAGTTACGAAGCTCGGTTCGTGTGTTGGGTGTAGTATTGATGTCTTTGGCATAGAATATGCCTCCTTTGCTAGGTATACAAGGATATACTAGCATCTGGATGACTTCCTTACGGCATCTTGCGCACACGGATTGTTACTAGGTACATTGCAGGGTACATCAGGTCTTATGACGTACTCGTGTCTTTGCAATGTACAGAGCTTGCAAGTGGTTCGGATCCCACTATAAACTGTAGGTCTAAAGGGTGTGGTACAATAGATTCTGTTCTAATTTGAATCGCAGTGCCTCCAGCTGAAAGGCTGGGCCCTTCACACATTATATATATAACAGTGCCTGTTAACAGGTTTAATCTGTAACAGATCTGTCTCATGTACCTGTGACAGGCGACCTGTTTCGCAACTCTGGTTTCGATTGCAGTTTTTTTTAAAAAGATAAACTTAAGCATTTAGATTGTCTATTTACAAAGCCTTTCATTGTAGGCTACTGAAAGAATGTTATCGAAGGAGTGGTTCGGATCCTACTATAAACTGCATGTCTAGGTTTGAGCGGGAGGTTTGGCGAACCCTCTTTCATTAAACTATCATTAGCATTGAAACGCATACAAAGCGCAGCTATGGATCTTTAGGTTTACACTGGTTGTCTACAACAAAAAGAAAGAATCTGAATCAGACTAGACTAGAGACCAATGAACTCTAAAATATGTCCATGTCCTTTACGGCAATACTTTCTTGTTCACCTGTTCCGCTATAACAATTTTGATTTGTTGTTATCAAATAAAGTTTCTATGTGTAAATAGCAGTTCCTATCTATGTCTTAGTATTACATGGTTCGCCAAATTTTCCACTTTTTTTACTGATGTAAAAAACTGTTTTGTTTACTATATTGCGTAAAAATATTGTTGAAACTATGTTTTCAATTGTTTTTTTCTGTATAATAATTTAAAATGAATAATTCTTAAATCAGGAAATATTGTTGAACAGAAAAGAAACTTTATCGAAGGACAAGCTTTAGTTTCTACAATCAAAACACTCCAAACTTACTTGTTTTGATATATTTCCTCCCGAATCATTAAAATATGGCAAAAAGTGAACAAAAGTACTGCACAAGTACATCAAATATGATCATCTTAATTGGAATTATTTTATCAATTCTTGGTATAGCGGCAACTGTAACTGATTTCTATTATTATTTATATTTCGCAAGGAACCGCTTACCAATCTCAACTGGTGTGAATCAATCAATTAATTTATAAAATTATATAAAATTTAATTTTATTTGATTTTAGGTCATCTATTCTTCATATTTACTGCAATTGTAATGTATTTCCTTGCTGCCATTTATAGCTCCTGCCTTCTATGCCTTGACGGTTTAAGAGCTTCCAAAGTATTTGACTCTTACAACTTTTTTACAATTGTATCTGTCATTTGTGCCTTATTTGATGGATTCATGAAAATATCCTTGAATCCAATAGTGTCACTAATGTTTTTTGTTTACTGTGGACTTGGTGCTTTGAGTCTTGTGGTCACTTGGACAGCAGAAAATGAATTAAAGAAGGAAAAGCAAGCAATTTTGAATCAGTTCAACACTGGTCAACTAGTTTCACAATCCGGGAATTCACCAGAGCATCAAATGTTGAGTAGTATTGGACAGGATGAAATGCCGAAGTTTTCGATGAATCTTGAAGCTGTTAAAGTTGAAGATTGAAGTTAAATGTGTCTGTAAATTAATCTAAGTCAATGGATCTTAATTAAAATTGATAGAAAAATTTGAATAAACTTTTTAAAATATAATCTTTGTCATTTTATACATTTTTGTGTTGGCGCCAGATTTTCTGACTATAAAAATGCGTAAATTATTACTTTTTACTAAGTAGAAATGATTTTGTTTTCTACTTGCATTTAAAAAGCTTTTGAATTAAAAAAGTAGTAATTATCAGGGATTTTTAATAATTATTTAACTTTTTTTTTAAATAAATGAAGTGAGTATAAAAGCTGAAATTGTGTTTAAATTACAAAACATGAAAAAGTTAAATAAAAAATCAAAAAATTAATTTTTTAAAATTTCTAATTCAAGAGTGACTATGTTTGTGGCCTTGAACTGTAATTTCAATTTATAGGACATTTTTAATAAACAACTAGCTTTGAAAATTATCGCAGATTTGAAAAACTTTAAAAATTAATAATTTATTCGTACATTTTCTTGAATTTTTGATTCTAATCGTATTTTTTTCACATTTTCTACCTTTTAAAGCACAACCTACCTCAAAAATGGGAAGATATGAAAAATACTTTTGCTTAAGCATTCAATCAACACTGATCTGTATGGGAGTTATTATGTCAATTGCCAGTATGTTTGCTAATCTTTTAAATCTAAGAATTTTTATTTCCATGATGGATACAGACCATCTTAAGGGTAATTTACTTGCACCAGGTGAGATAAAGAGTCTTCATAAATTGCATCACAAACCAATTTTTTGTCACTTTTTTCAGTCATTGCAGTTTTGACAATCGTTTTCCTATTCATCTATACAGTTCATGCAGTTTTGCAGTGTTCACTTTGTTGTAGAGCTTGCTACAAAGTAAGCTCCCGTTACAATTAAATTACACATCAGGCTGAGTCAGGATGTCTAATCCCTGAAAGTTGGAAGACTAAGCGCGTTGCAAGGAGGATCTTGTCCCCCACTTAAGCGTTTTAGGCCGTGCTCTCGCTGCGGTTCAAAACGTTTAAGGGAGGACAAGATCCTCCTTGCTACGCGCCCGAGAGAACATTAAGATTTTCTATTTTATTTTATTTTGATAATTTATTATTAACTTTTAAACTTTATTTTTAGAATCCAGTTGTTTATTTCAAATTGTACATCATATGTTTATCTATCGTCGCTTTATGTGCCTTAACTGATGCAGTTTTAAAGTTTATGTTGATTCCAACTTTGTCAATATTTTATTTTATATTCTTCATTGCTCTCGTTTTCTGTATAATTGTTGCTTTAATGGCAAGACAAGAACTTATGGAAGTACAAATAAAGGAATTGATTAAATTCAATTCTGGTCAAGGAGGTTCAATTATTGCAACCAAAGATAGCGTTTTTCCAAAATATGCAATGCCACTTCAGGTTGAGAAACTTGAAAATGGAAGTTCAAGTAGAGCAGCTTATGGAAATTTACCTGAAGCACAGCCTTTGAATAAAGCTTACTAATCAAAAGTCAATTGTCAATTTCTTAAAAATATTGAAGTGACTTAAATAATAATGTGAGAAGGTTCCAGCAAAGCGATGTGTTACTTCAAGTTGCGACGAGCTGGAGGTACTGCGATCCTGATCATCATCGATAGAATCTTTTGTACCGTACTCTGTTGATTTAAATAATAAAAATTTGCCTAAATTCAATACTAACTTAAAACATTTTGTTTTGTTTTGAATTCTTTTAAGTTGAATTAATTTTCAGATTAGAAAATAGCAATTGTTCATTGCGTAAGAGAAACGTAAAGTAATATTGAATATTTTACGTAAAAATGTAGAAAACAACATTGTTTTTTTAAAAAAATTAATTTCTTGCATTCTGATTATTTTTCAAAAAATTGCTAGTTTGCCTTAATTAAAAAAGATACTAAGAACAAAGATAAAATGTTATTACTAGTGTCGTAAATGTAAGGAATTTTGAAGCTCAAGCATTAAAATAAGTGAAAATAAAACTGAGTGAATAATTAGAATAAGTTTAACTTACAAGATAATGGGAAATATCGAAGAATATTGTAATGCAGAAGCTATGCAGTCTATCGGGACAATTTTAAGTATTTTTGGTATGATGGCAATGGTTTTTAACATTTCAACTTTTATCGTCTTAATTATTGGCAGTCGTAGTGAAATTATATCAATCACACTTGGTAATTTTATTATTCTTTAAAAATAAACAATAAAATTAATTTAATATTTTAAATCTAGTCCTGTATGAACTTGTCTCATTACCTATTTATTTCATCATTATTGGATTCTATATAACATTCTATTGTCTTCAAAGGATCAAAGTAAGAGCTTTATAAATATTAAAAAAATCTTTAAATTAGCATTAAAACAATCATTTTCTTTTAAGGATCTCGAAAAGTTTTTTAAATACTTCAAAATATTTGCAATATTAAACATTATTTGTGCCTTAATAGATGGAATTTTAAATTGTACAACGACTATAGTAATTGCAGCATATTTCTTTATTTATGCTGTCTTTGCCATATTTTCATTCATTGTTGGAATAATTTCAAAAGAAGCTATAATAAAGGGACGACAAGAGAACATGGAACAACTTGAAAACGATCAAGGCAAAACAACCATAATCTGTGGACAGGACAGTCTTCCAAGATTTGATATGCCAATTCTAGTTAATCGAGCTGAGTTCAGAGATGAGCATGAAGAGTTGCAATCTAAATAAATTTTGTAATTAATCTTAGTGTCTTGTAAATGATTTATTTATTTTATGCTAAAATATACCATTCAGCACCACTTGTTTTATTTATTAAAATGCTTAGAATTGTTGTCTTTACTGTTATTATGATTAAATGTTTATGTTATAAACGTATTAAAGTAAACAAGCTCCGATGGGCTGGACATGTTATGAGGAGACCTGTGGAAGCTCCATTAAGTAGTGTTTGTGGATGGAAAAAGGCTGTTGATAAAGACAGTATTGCATTTGGGATTGTAAATTGTCAATAGAGCCAGTTTTAGGAGGGCAAAGATCAAAACTGATTTGTAAGGTCATCGATGTAAGTAAATAAGTAAGTCAGTTTTTAATTTGAAACTAAATTTCAGCATTGAAATATTGAGCGTATCCCGCCAAAAACCTATCTATAAAGAAAAACATTGGGTATAGTCTTTTAGGGCCTTAGCCCTAATCGATTCTAGAGTTATTTTAGAAGAGTTATTTATCATTATCTTAAATTAAATGTTTTAAAGTGGCTCGGTGGCGGAATGGTTTAGTCCTTTCGTGTAATCATGTTCCTTTGTGGAACTTAGGTTAAAACAAAAGTACTTCAATCTGACTCTGTTGCTGGCTCTGTCACCTAGTTTGTACAATTTGTCTGTCTGCACATTAAGCTGACATTCTTTCATCGCTGTTCTGCGCCTAGTAACTTTAGGAGCTCCAGGGCGTCTTTTCACTTGCGGATTCCATCCAAGGACGTTGTAACAAACTTGTGTTTTTGTACCAGAAATGACATTCTCTCTCGCAGGTTTAGTACTTCAGTACCTCATAGGTTCGAAGCTTGGCACGTGAAATTAATGCATGTCCTTTTTCGAATTATAAGTACTGGAAATGAGGCTCACAGCCTTCGTTTGTAGGATGCAGGCAAAAATGTTATCAAAAAGTGGTTTGGATCCCACTATAAACTGTAAGTCTGGGTTTGAGCTTGAGGTCTTGCGGACCCTATCATTAGCTTATCATTAGCCTATCATTGCGTTAAACTTGCGTTAAACTATCATTAGCTTTGGAACGAGCAGCTATGGATCTTATGCTCTCAATAGCAAAAGTTTATTTTTTATTTTTATACATTAAACCAGAATTTTTTTGACTTTTTTACATGATTTCTTGATGTCTGTGAAATATATGTTGGATTATTTAACTGTATTTGTTTCAATGTTTACAAAAAATTTTTTTAATAAATTGAAATCAAGTTCAAATAAAATTTATTTTTAATTTGGTTTTACTATTTTATTACAATACTTAAACTTAACATTGCAATTAGTAAAGTATAAAAATTGTGATAAAGCATATGAAATCTTAAAACTAATTTGAGAGAGTGTAAAATAAGAAAAATCTTTATTGTCAATATTTTAAGATAAATAAAACCCGGCGGACTTCGCGAATGAACTTTTAGTAATAATTTAAAAACAAAGGGGTCGAATAAAAAAACTTAAAAATGGGAAAGTATGGAAAATATTTCTGCATGAGTGTCTCACACGTTCTAATCACAATTGGAACTTTTATGGTCTTGCTAAATTTGATCGCAATTGGTTTGAATATTTCTTGTTTTTACGCTTTGATTGATAAATTGCAAATATCAGATGTCGAAACACAGCCAGGTAAAAGTAAAAATATTACATAATATACAGATTAAAAATATTTATTTATCTTCTACTTAGATTTTTTGGTTGGATATGTCGCAATATCAACATTTACATTCTATATTATGAGTGCATTCTTCCATTCTTTTTTGTGCTGTAAAGCATGTTATCAAGTAAGTTATAAAAAAATAGAAATTTCAAAATCATTTTAATATTAAGAATTTCTTTTATATTTCAGAACACAAAAAAGTTCTTCATATTTTACTTAATACTTGTGTCCATTAATACTATCTGTGCCTTAATTGATGGAATCGTTAAACTCGAAACATTTTTATTGGTTGCAATGTTTTTCTTCTTATTTTTCACATTAAACATTTTGTGCATTATCGCTGCTATAATGGCGAGACATGAATTGTTGTTGCAACAGCAACAAACTTTAAATCTGTTCAATACAGGACACGGAAATGAAGCTTTTACAAGCGGTCATAAAGATCTACCGAAATTTTCAATGACAGTTAATGTTGAAAAAGTTGAATCTCAAAATGGACCAGAAGCTGAGCCTTTAAATAAAATTTAAACCATTTTGTTTACTTTTCACACTTATTGATATTAATAAAAAATAAATAAATTTTTTTATGTTTAGTGCAGTGTTGTCCAACCTTTTTCCAACCACTTTGAATTTTGATAATTTTTAATGGCACACCTATCCTAGATCTGCCTGGTTTTATTTGGTTCTACCTGGTTCTGCACTCCAGTCTATTTTATCTAGTGTAAAATCTACAAACTTCTGAAAAACTACCTATTTTTGGGATTTTTAATATTTTTCCATGACTCACTTTAGGATGTCTTACGGCAAACAGTTTGGACAGCACTGGTTTAGTGCAAGTTTAATTCAAAACACAAACAGCTTCTGGAATTGTGCTAATAATATATTTAACGGTAATAATGATTAAACAATTAAAATACAAACTTGAGACATTTTCAATGATTAAATAGTAAGTAAAAATGTTTCACCAATCAACTTATGTCGAGATCAAACAATAATGGAGAAAGTTCCTTAATCAAGCCTGGTAAACTAAAAAAAACGTACTCGAGAAGTGGAGATCTTCAGTGCACCTTAGGTAAGAATAACAAGCTAAAGCAAATTACAATTTCTAAACCTGCTTCTTTCCTGAGAAATCATCGTAATGACGAAATATCGCCCCATAGTTGCTGTGGTGTCGTCCTGGCGTAGGATTTAGTCTCAATTATCCGATCTGTGCTACTCGAGAACACCAAATAAAGCGAAAAACAACAAAAATAATCTAAAACTTGGCACATAATTAAGTTAAATAAGAAGTTTAATTTTATAAAAAAAAGAGTCAATTTATCCACTTTTCCACATTCTCCCTTAAAAGCGAATTAAACTAGTAATTATAAATAATAATGTAATAATTAAAACCATAAAGTTATTTTGATTAGCTGCATTAGTTTTAAAATTGTAGTCTACATTGTCTTTAAATAAATAACATTGCTCGTATGAGGATCCAACAAGTCCCGTGAATGTCAATGGGAAGTTATAAATAACATACGAATCCACAGTCATTGAGTCTTTAAATTTATGGTTGCTCTTTCTTGCTTGATTGACAAAAAACTGCGAAAAATATTGAGATGCTTTGATTGCATTTGCAGTATGCGAAATATTTTTGTTTTGAACCCATTCATAGAGATTCTTTTCTGGATGGAATTGGACACCATAAAAAGGATATGCTTTATGCTCAATTGATGAAATAAATTCTAAATTATTCCAGTCTCTGTTGGTTGAAATTACACTCCAGTCTTTATCAATCTTAAAGGTTGTTAGATTCTGGGGAAGAAATTAATTCATAAAGTCAATTCACAAAATTGATAAGCAGTTAGGAACTTACTTTCTCAGTAACGCAAAACTCATGAAAATTTGAAGTCACATCTTCATGCTTTAAAATTTCTATGACTTCATCCGACGCATCCTTAAACATTCTACTAGATCTGAAATTTTCTTTAAATTCCAAAGGTAATGCCTGATTTGTTGATGAACAAATTGCTCGATGTTCAGATCGATTTGCTGACAAATAAGTTAAAAGCTCAAATCCCAAGCATGTGCCCCAAAGTGGAAAGAAGTCGCCATTGTCATTAAGCTTTGTAGCAATTTTATAAATTATTTCTCCAGTGTCAGCATAAGCACTGTCATTAAACCAAACAGTACCGCCAGTTAATAGGATTCCGTTTAGTTTAGCCATTATGTCCTCATAATACCGAAGTTCTTTTCCAATCCTGGTTTTAAAATAATAATTGGTTGATTAGGAAATTCTGATTTATTTCCGTTAGGGGCCGTTCATTTATGACGTCTCACATTTATGGGAGGGGGCGGGTCTAAGATTTTGTGACAGCTCAACAAAGGAATTTTTTCCACAGAAAATTTGTGACACTTATGACTTCAAAAAAATTATTTCTAGACCCCCCTCACCCCCTCGTCACAAATTTTCTGTGGAAAAAAATTCCTGTCTTGAGCTGTCACAAAATCCTAGATCCGCCTCCTCCTTTAAATGTTGAACGTTAAAAATGGACGGCATAAGCATAATCATCAATTGTTTTATATTCTTACCAAACAGGCACAACACGTGCACCACCACCTTCTACGAATTTCACATACGAAGCTGATATAAAACTAAAATATTGTTCAGTATATTTTGATTGAATATAATAAGACATATCAATTGCCATAATTCCAATAATTGGCTCGTGATTGACTTGTGGTAATGAGAAAATGTCAAGGTTCTGCTGATCTGAGTTAATATTGCTCACAAAAAATGTTAAAATTGTGCAAATATTGACGAATTTCATGATTTGTAATTTTTATTCAATGTTTTTTTTTAATAGAACAATAAACTTAACTACTTGAATTACACTTAATTACTGACATAATTGCTCTCTTACAATAATATTTGCAGATAAAGAAGAGTTTAAATTACTGATAAAAAGTGATAATAATTTAATAATTCCAGAGTGAACTACCGGTAAGTGTCTAATTTATCAAATCAGCTGACTTTGCCGAAACGTTGAAAATCACAATCTGTGAGAATTTTCTCATTTATTGCATTTTCTACATTTTCTACATTCAAAGCTTTAAAACAGTTATATGTGTTTACAGCTCTCGATTACACTCACAAGTAAAAATTAAACTTTCAGATGTGTTGAACTTTTGTTTACAAAACAAACGTAAGTTTTAGTCGGTTGAAATTAAAACAGTATTTAACAATTTACAATTTCATTATGATTATCGGCATCTTCCAATAAAGCTACAAATTGTGACAATTATACATATTAAATTAAAACACACTGCCTTAATTGAAAAGATCTCAATCAAAAGTAAAATTATGGGAAAATGGCACTGCTGGTGTGATTGTTTCTTTGGGTTTGACCCAAATACATGTTTTTACATTATTGGATTTACAATGTCGATTTTTAGCTTGATTTTGGGTATCATTGACTTAGTATATTACGTTTATTACTTATCAGGTGCTATTTCTGGATCAAATGGTAAATATGCTGAGAATTTAATTTAAATGAGCTGACTAATTGACTCATATTTAACTAATTCTATAAAAAAATCTATCTTTAAACTTTCAGCTTCCGCATATTTTTTGTACTTTGCTATGACCGTTTATGTTGGAAATTCAATCAAAAGCTGTTGCCTTTGCTGCACTGAATTTGAAGGTGTAAAATATAAAAACTTAAATTTCTTTATTTCTTCATTAAAACATAATTTTCTCTGTTTAGAATCCAGGAAAAGATCTCGACACCTACAATGGATTAGCATTCCTTGTAATATTGTTTGCCTTAATTGATGGAGTTTTAAAAATTAACATTAGTGTTCCTACATCAATGATATTCTTTGCCTATGTAATTCTTACATGCCAATCTAAAGATGAAGTAACAGGATTAAGAACAAGATCAAATCAAGCTGAAGATGGAATCAGAACATTTTTCCTACCAATCGGGATGAAGCACCACGGTTTTCAGTGCCTATTCAAGTTGAGAGGATGGAAATGGGTGCTCCTAAATGATTCAATGATAATGATGCTGTAGACAAGCTTCATGTTTATTTAATTGCTAGATTTTATACTTTATTAAAGACTTATGCTAAACAATAGTTTAGAAGAACGATTAGAAGATTTAACTCTTAAAAGAATTGTTTATACAGCCATCAAAATCAAGCCTCAGTACCACAACTCACGCATCAAAACTTTGTAAGCACATGTTTCACAATAAAATCATACGAAAAATCACGAAGAATTTAATGTGTTGATATTTTACTTTACTTTTGACGGCAGATATCCGTCGAGTTTTATTATTTGAATGTGTTTGTTGCATCCTTTACAGTAGCTTTTGATTTATAGAAACAATTTTTTAAAATCAAAATATTAAATTTTTCCAAAAGATTGAAACAATTTTGTTAATTTTTCAATAGGTTTTGAATTTAAACAATAAATTGATCATTCTGAAAATTTAATTTTGAATAACGGAAATGGTTTTTTAACAAACTTTTACGAAATTGGTTCCTGCAGTCTGTCTGACGCCTGTTGCTTTAAATTGAAAAAGTAAAAATTGTCATGGATAAAAATAAATCAGAATTTTATTTCAAAATCCCACAAATTCTCAAAATAAATGCAATTATTGTTTGTTTTGTGAGCTTTTTCGTCATTTTAGTCTGTTTATTACTATCAACAGATTATTCTAATCGTAAGAACTTAAAAGACATTTAAATAAGTTTAAAACATTTAAAAGATTATTATTTCAGAATACCGATACATTCAAGTAATGCTTTACATCACGGTTTGTCTTCACAACATCTTCTTGTGCTCAGAAAGCTTCCGAAGGGTTTGTTTTAAAAATTATCCCACTTTTTAAAATTAAAAAATATATTTTTTTCTTTGTAGGACCCAAAAACAAGATTTTATAGTTCATTTATGGGTATTTCATCAATTGCAGTTCTTTTTTCAATTTTTGATGCTTTTTATATGTGGACAAGAGAACCCTTTGTCACAATTTTAGAAGGAATTTATTCAATTGTAAATATTATATCGATCCGAATTGTATACGTAGCCAAAAAAGAAGAAAAAATTACTTTTGACATTACTGTTGCTGTGTCTTCCTAGAAGAATTGAATTTGAATTTATTAACTGATTTACTGAAAATTTTACATTTCAAATTTATTTGATAAAAATATTTTTCATTAATATTTATCCCGTTGAGAACAATTGAATAAAATCTAAATTTTATGTGATGTTTAATAATTGAATTAATAGTTTAGTGGATTGTATGTGTTGAAAAAGACACTAGAGTCCGGAATATCCCGAACTGGTAGATGATCTCTAAGGATAGAGCTGTCTTCATCCAGGGGAAAAACTACTTTTTCGGTAAAAAAAAAGAAATTTTCCATCAAAAATGGTGAAAAAGGGAAATTTTCTATCAAAAATGGTAAAAAAGGGAAAAAAGGTTAAATTCTCGTTTTAACCATTTTTACCATTTTTACCATTTTCCATTTTTTTACCATTTTTCTCCATTTTTCCACTTTATGATTTCCACAAAAAAATCGGAAAAATCACATCAAAATTTGTATCATGCAAGGAGTTTCTCCCCCTGTCCATCGCTATTTGCGGCAATGGGCTCATGTGCACCCCAGCAAAGGAAGTAAGTAAGTAATAGTTTTATAAAATCAGCAAAAAGTGCGTCTGCTGCACAAATTCACGAGAAAGTCTGTACTTATTTTTTATAGTTCTTCCAATAATAGTTTTCTGGCAAATATTTACGCATGTCTCTTGATTTATCTGCGAACAATCGAAACCAGCCAAAGAAAGGAAAATGAACAATCAGTTCCATCAAACTGAGTCTCAATATTTATTCAAGTTTTTAATAATTCCATTGGTAGCTTTAACAGTACTTACAACTTTTATTTACCGGACATCTGGAGAGCTTGGTATTATTTTTTGACTCATCTTCAATCTTAAATTATAAAATCTATTTTAAATTTCAGGATTAATTACTACAGTTGGTCAAATAATTAATTTTATTAGCCTCATTGTGTTTCCTTTGACAATTTTTCGAAGCTGCATTAAGGTATGAGAGTTAAGTTCAATCTTTGGCTCTTTATTAACATTTAATCAGTGTTGATACCTAGCATTTGACTTTAGCAAGGTGAACTTAAGTGTAGGCAATTTGAAATCAAAGTCAGAAGCCTTTGGTTGTGCCAAAATCTATGGAAAGGCAACTTTGTATCAACACTGCATTTAATTGGAGATTTAATAATGATAATTTAAATCTTTACCTATTTTAGGCAGAAAGATACCTCGGACCTGTTTTTATACTTCTAACATTTCTATCAACAGTAATTTCACTCATTGGAGGTTGTGTGCTCCTTTACTATGCAATATTCAGTAACATTGTGTCATTGTTCACAATTCAAAGCCTAATCTTGCTTGTTTACTCTATTTTATGTTTAATATCAATGTGCTTGATGTTCAATATTGACGAGTTTGAACAAAAAGAACGAGAATTCGAAGGAATCCCAAAATTTTCTGTAGAGATTGTCGTCAGGAATGAGTACACCGAGATTCCATAACTTCCAAAATAAAGGATTCGATTGACAATAATTTATATAAAAAAAAACATCATCAATTAATAATTTCTTGACAAATACGGTTTAAAATAATAAAACAAAGTTTTAAAAATAATGCGTTGTCTGTATTGTGACGTTCGGAATTCCACTTTATAAGATTGTGTGCGTTAATTTTTTTCTGTGTTTACATTTTTATTGTCGGTGTAGAAAACAGAAAGTAGAGTATAAAAATCCACAATAATGGGAGATTCATGTACAAATTCAGAAATTTTATTCGCTATTGTGTCAATTCCATTTGTCATCTATACTGGAGCTTCATTTCTGATCAATGCAGCCACAGCTGACGAAGGAAGTGAGTTCCTTTTTTAAAAAATGAAGAAAATACATTAAATTTAAATGAATTTTCTTTTTAGTTATAATTGCTATTCCAGCAACATTAATAAGCTTAGGAAGCTTAGTGTTTTTCCTTGCAGCCATGTGCAGATGTTCAAGGGTAAGTAATTGTGGTTTATGATCCAGGATTTTTTTATCTGGATGTCAAAATTCAAACCCAATTATTTAATTAAAATATTTTAATTATGAATTCTTAGAGAGATAAATACATGTTCAAAACATATGTGGTATTAGCAATCATCTTAGCGATTTTATCAACAATTGTTGGGATCATTCAACTAACAAAAGTCCATCAGGGTGAAAAGTATATCTTCAGAAGCATTGTTCAGCTTACTTATCCATTTATGTGCATTTTGTGTTCAATTTTATATTTTTATGTTGAGCAAAAAGATAGAAGGGAGCGGAAATATTTTGGAATACCAAAGTTTCAGTTGGATATTAATTTCGAAAGAGAATTCATACCAAATTAAAGTTTAAGATTCTTAATTCATAACTTTTCACACCAATACAAGACAACGAGATTTTTTTCGTTATTTTTTCCGAAATTTTTAATTTTCCGCACTTTTTCCATGAGTGTTTCCAAAAAAGTTATGTTCGAAAAACATTCGAAATACAGAATTACAAATTTTTCTTCAATTAATGTTTTTTGATGTTCCAATATGACTTTAATAACATTATTTAAAAGCTAAAACACAAGAAATAAAGTTTAAATTGGTGGAATAAAATATTAATTTAAAATGTAAACAAATCATTTTCGAACACAATTATTCTAATTTCGAAAAATGAGAGACCGTTGTCCTATATTGGTTTTCACAAAAACAAATGAGAATTATTAGTAAATTATTTATGAATTTTTGCAGATCTTTTTGTAATCAAACTTTGAGTAAATTACATCCAAAATTTAACTTATAATTAATGTTGAAAAATTTATAAAATTTAATTTAATTTAAGTTTATTAATTTTTGATAAAATTTACATTTTACAAGTTCACAATATATATTTTCGGCTGTTAATGTTCACAATATTTTCGATTATTATAAAAATAAATAATGCGTTTATTATTTTAATTATTTACGGAAATTATTTGTCAATGAAAAATTGCTAATTCAGGAAAATGTGCTGTTTTTTTTCTAATAATTAATTTACAAAAAAGCTGGCTCAAAAAAAAATCCAGCAGAAAAATTCTTCAAAACATTTTAAAAGTTCGCACCACAAAAAGTAAACAAATTTCAGATCTATTAACTCATCTTCCACAATATCCACCCGTACACGATCCCCCAGCAGGTTGTTGATTCTGTGAGTCGCTCATCCCCGTAAGCCTTATGTCACTCTTTGCCACACCATTTTGGTCATCAAAAATATTATCTTCCAGAATTTTCTTTACCAATTCCTCAAATGCTGTCTGAACATTAATATTATTAGCTGCTGATGTCTCGACAAAAAGTGCTCGTTGCTGTTTTGCGAATTTTTTGCCTAACTCACGATCAACTTTGCGCATATTTTGTAGATCAATCTTATTGCCAACAATCATTTTTGTGATGTTTCTGTTTGTGTTAATTTCAAGCTCTTCTAACCATGTCTCAAGCTTTTGGAAACTAAAATTAAAATCAAAAAGACTTAGTAAATTACAAATTTGAATTTTACAAGATTAAATCGTTCACTTATGACGTCCTGTTTTTTCTAGAAAAAGCAGGTCAAAAAGACATCAACAAGGAAATTCAGATGAGGACAAATGGCTTGATTGGACATACACTTCGTAAGAAAAATCCCAGAGAGAATGTCATTGATGGGACAGAAACACAAGTTTGTTACACCGTCCTTGGTTGGAATCAGCAAAGAAAAAGACTCCCTGAAGCTCAGAAAGCTACTTGGCGCAGAACAGTAATGAAAGAATGTCAGTTTTATGTGCGGACTGACAAATTGTACGAACTAGGTGACAGAGCCAGCAAAAAAGTCAGTTGAAAGGCCCCTTGTTGTAACCTAAGTTCAACATAGGAACATGGTCACAGTAAATAAGTAAGTACTTATAACGCCTCATTTTTCAAAAAAGAACAATGGATTTCCTGGAATTTCTCCTGTTCTTTTCTCACTGACCCCCCTTAGACGTCATAAGTGAACGGACCCTTATACAATTGTTATCTACAAGTATTTTGAACAGTAAATATCACTAAAAGACATGCTTACCTGTTCATTTTTGAGACATCATAGACTAGAATGGCACCTGTGGCATCCCTGAAAATAGTATTTTTTTAAGTCAATTGTTTCAATTTGATGATGAATGTTTAATGATTGTTTTGCACCAATAGTTTAAAATTGAACGCAAAACTTTAAAGTCTGCAAAATCATCTGATGATTTCTAAATGTCTGATAATTATTATTTGCCTGAAACAAATCAGTTTTCTTTTTAATCAGCTCAACTAACTTAACCTTCAGATTAATTTTGTGACGTCAAATTCCAAATGCCTTGTTTATTGCGTTATAAAATGACAAATCAGTTAAAATGATGTGGAATTAACTATATTTAAGGTGTAAAGTTTACAGGCGAAGAGTTTCATTATTTGAGCTCTAAATGTATTGAAAAGTCAAGACTTTGATTCAATGATACTTAATATGAGAATTACAATCGATGCGAAAAACACAGGCAATTTAAGTAATTACTCATTTTCCTTAGTTGTTCTTTATGTCTGATGCAATTTTTTTTAAATCCAATTTCAACATAAAACAATTAAATTTCAAAAATATCCTCAAACTTCAACTGAATAGTTTTAATCTCACCTATAGTAGCTCGGTATCAAAGTTCGGAATCTTTCTTGTCCTGCCGTGTCCCAAATTTGTAAATAAATCCTTTGTCCATCAATTTCTAAGTTTTTGACTTTAAAATCAACGCCAATTGTTGGTTGTTCATTTGGATCAAATTTATCGTCCGTAAATCGAAGCATAAGACTAAAAATTATTGAAGAATTTTAATAAAAATTGGAAAACTTTTGAAAATCACGAAAAAGTTTAAACAATTTACCTCGATTTTCCAACTCCACTTTCGCCAATGACGAGAATTTTAAGTTTTATTGTGCTTGTAAGCATTTTTAATGAGCAATTAAATTATCGACTTTAATTTTTTGTATAAACTTTTTGATAAAAACTATGAAAATTTAAATTTAAATTTTTTTCTCTCCCTCGGATGCTTTGTTTTGCTTTTAGTTTTCGTATTTTTATGATTTTATTCTTTTTTTACAGGAGGAAATTTTTATCTGTTTGGGCAGTGAAACTATTTGAATTTCAAATAACCGTTAACACATTTTATGGAAAACTTTTTGGATTTATTTTTATTGTGGTAATTTGAATTATTTTAAAGAATTTTCCAAAATCATGCTAATTAAAATAGGTTTTAAAAATCAAAAGTTTTAATTTCAGGCAACAAATTGTGATTTTAATAATTTTTGTTCAAATATGGAAATCAAATCAAAAAAATTCTCTTGAAAAATAATTTTTGCTCTCTCTCAATTCTCAAATAAAAATTAATTCTCAGCTAATTTTGAGTTTAAATTGAGCAAGTTCTCTCAGAAATTTTTATCGATAATATTTTGGTGCTTAAAGATCAACCTTTGTAACTTTGAGTTGACTTTTTCGGAACAATTGTTGTTTTCAATAGAAATTAGCAGTAAGTTGTAGGTTCTTGTAGATTAAAGTAGCTCATTACTATTACAACATTTTTAACTACCAAATAGTAATAGAAGAAGTAAAAACGCCACGTAAAAAATTGAATATTTGAATATTAAGAATGATCAAAAACAATAAAGTGCTTAATACAGGGTAAGCCTACAGATTTTAAATTTGAGTAAAGTGTAGCCAGTGAATTCCAAACTATGCACTTTGGTGTGTGTAAACTACTATATGTAGACTGAGAATCTAAGATCTTTATATCTTTTGAGTGAAATTTTAGCATATTCAAGTCGAATTTTGGTCTTCCAAATCATAGAATGTCCAATCCCGTTTACCTTATATTGCTTTCTTTGTAAATGTTGATTTTGGAAATGGTTCAATGTAAATCCCAACATCCCTAGCCTGAAAGTGGGGCTGCTGGATAGGCTTTTAATCTATCCTTTCAAGTACATATTCCGGCGCAGGGCTAGGTCACCAGCGGTATCAAGGGATACCACGAGAAGGTATGCACTTGACATTTGGACAGTTTTGGAGTCAGACTTCGGCTTTCCCAATCCCTCAAATCAAAGGATGTATTAATTGTTCATATGCAGGATTAGGTGGTTTAGCACTGGTTTATGATGGATAGTGCCTTTCTATATTGAATTAGCTAAATCGAAAAAAAATCAAAATGTGTTAAAGGAGAATCAACTCAAGTCGACTCGGTTTTGAGTCGAGTCGAGTCAACTCGAGGTCTACTCGAGGATCGTTCATTTATGACGTCCGAAATTAACGGTCATTTTTAAAAAAGAACAACGGCTTTGCAGGAATTCCTAATGTTCTTTACTTGCTGACCCCCCCCCCCCCCCCTCCCTCTTAACGTCATAAGTGAACAGCCCATAATTATTACTCAATATTGCTAGTTTTCAAAGTCTAGATAGTTTTGCTTTTTTATCATTTTTATTAAAAAACAATGAATTAGTTTATTTAACCGTGAATGATTTATCGTATATTTTTACTGATAAGATAATACAACGTAATATTAAACGATAAGTTATTTTTGATTTCAAGTATTAAATTTCTTCTTGCATCTTTATGTCAGAACAATTATCTTATCTGATAAAATTATCCACAACATGCAAATTGCTGACTTTATATCAACGTAATGTTTAAAATAATACTAGCACCGGTTGCGTAGCAAGTGAGGAGTTTAAAGACAAACCAGCATATTTTTATAAATTTTTTCTCAACATTTAGGAAGCTGAAAGGCAAAACTCTATTCATAACTGGTGCATCACGTGGAATTGGAAAGGCAATAGCTCTCAAAGCTGCTGCTGATGGCGCTAACATTGTGATTGCTGCTAAAACTGCAGAACCGCATGTATGCCCTTCTTCTTCCTTAAAGTTAATTTAAATAATATCATCATAATTTCCTATTCAGCCAAAACTTCCAGGAACGATTTACACAGCAGCTAAAGAAATTGAAGCAGCAGGTGGTAAAGCACTTCCATGCATTGTTGATGTCCGTGATGAGCTTCAAGTACGACAAGCCGTTCAAAAAGCCGTCGAAACTTTTGGTGGAATTGACATTGTTGTCAATAATGCATCAGCAATCAGTTTAACACCAACAGATAAGACTGATATGAAGAGATTCGACTTGATGCATCAAGTTAATGTTCGTGGAACATTTTTGGTTTCAAAGGAATGCTTGCCGTACTTGAAAAAGGCTGATAATGCACATATTTTAAACTTATCTCCTCCACTGTACATGAAACCACACTGGTTCTCAAGTCACGTTGCTTATACTATGTCCAAATACGGAATGTCAATGTGCGTTCTTGGAATGGCTGAAGAGTTTAAAAGCTTTGATATTGCTGTGAATGCATTGTGGCCAAAGGTGGCGATTTCAACAGCTGCGATGGATATGCTTCAAGGAAAAGATAGTTCAGATTTCACCAGAAGTACTGATATTATGGCTGATTCTGCATATTGTAAGTTTACCTCAAATTGAAGATTAAAACTAGTTTTTGTATAAGGCGGTAAAATGACATTTGAGACCAAGGAGTAGAGACACAGATGTCGAAGCCGATGAGAATGAGCCGGCGCTGACTTTATTTTGGCTTGTTTTAGTCGATTTTTTTCATGGACTAAATTAACCACCTTTTTGGTTACGAGGGTCGGTTCAGGCTTTGTGTGTGGTTTTGAGGTCTTTGGCATATAAAGTGCCTTCTTTGCTAGGTATACTAGGATAAACTGGTTGAGTTCATTTTAGAATGTTATGCCCACGAACGATAAGTGTTTGTTGCTTTGCAATGTGCAAGTAGTTCGGATTCCACTATAAAATGTAGGTCTAACATAGGGTTTTCAATCCCTGGATTGAAATGTATGTAATCCAGTCTAAAGAATGTGGTGCAACAGATTTACAATCACAGTGCTTTCAGCTCAAATGGCAGTATGCAAGGCTCAGCATTATGTATATTGTTGTACAAACTTTGAACTGCAAAACAAGTTTTATATTTTTGCAATCTCAACCTTAAAAGCAATGCGAGGAAATTTAAGATTATTCCTCTAAAGTCCTAAATATCCTAAAAGTTATTCATCAAATGCATCAGGGATTTAAAAGGGATTTTACATTTCCATGTTTATTGGCTCAGGGATTTTTTAGGATTTTTGGGATTTTTAAGGATTAATCCTAAGTTTCCACGCCTTGCATAAAAGTTTGAATCAAAATCTAATATCAATTTTAAAAGTTTACCTTACCTTATAATAAGTATGCTCAATGATACACAGAGAAAATGCCCAAGGCCAGGGGCGTAGCCAGGGGGGGGCCATAGGGGGCCCGGGCCCCCCCTACGAAAATCTGATAATTGTTTTATTAAGTATTTATAGAGAAGAACCAGTTAATGTAGAGGAAGTGATGAAAATAATGTCAAAATCAGCACGAAAAATTAAATTTAATGTATGAATAATGAATTAAATATTTAAACTTATGAAGAATGAATATAGATTTAAGGAAACAAAATAACGGTTTTTAAATTTTCAAAAATGGGCCCCCCCTTCAAAAAATTTCTGGCTACGCCCCTGCCCAAGGCTGTATAAAGCAAAACTTAAAAATCCGATTATCTTTACAGACATTCTTACAAGAGGCTCACAATGTACCGGAAACTTTTTCATTGATGAAAAACTTTTAAAGCAAGTAGGAGTGACCAACTTTGTAAACTATGCATGTAAACCAGAAAATGCTGATTCACTCTATCCAGATTTTTTTGTTGAAGAAGATGATGCAGTTTATGCAAAACTTTAAAAGTTTATTTTTGGGGAACCTCCAATTTAAATTTAGAGAATGAAACTTGATTAAACTGTTTTAATGAAAGACTTTTTATAAAAATTTCCTAAAAAAATAATAAAATTCTACATTTATAAAAAATGATTTATTTTTCAATTTTGTGTCGTTTAAGTTTCTATATCACTTTGAAACTCTTTAAGTCTCAAAATTGTTAAATTTACATTTCTTAAAATTTCGTCTTTATACTTCCAAAGTGTTGTATCTTTTATAGGATTTTGTAAGGACTCTTGACATTCAGGATTAGGACATTCCCCTCTATAATGCACATTCTGTCCAATTTCTGGTGGAAATACATACCATTTGCAATGTTTTGTTTCCAAACATTTTTGTGGAAAATGATTATGAACAATTTCAACTCGATCTAATCTCATAAATGATTTTGCACCTCCATTGTTAGGAGTAAAGTTTGCAGCTCGATAAATATTTGATAAAAATCTCAAATTTTTAGGAATTCCAGGAATTGTTTCATTTTCATGAACTGATTTCAAAAGAAAATACATGTTCATAGATGGAAATGCATCAATAACTTCATTCTTTAGTTTTGCTCCTTCAATCAATCTTCTAATCATGTCTGACCATGTTCGATCCTCAATATGTTTAGGAATAATCAATTCATCAATATCAAGTGGAATTATGTATTCATAAAGGTTCAAATTCTCATAAAATGAATCATGATATCCAACAAGATCACTTTGTATCCATTGATAATAATTTTCGCTTGCATGATTTGGGAATTCATGAGGAAATTTTAGAAATTTTATTGTTACAAAATGTTCAGCTTGATACATTTTAAGCGTTCGAATGACATTTTGATGAGCTTTGACTATGAAAATTTCAACTTTGTTAGCACCGAAAATTTTCAAAATTTCCAGCCACTCAATTAAAAGCAGCGAAATGTCAGTTTGAAATTCAAAACTTTTCACACTAACCAAAAACTTCTCTTTATGTCCATTTTTGGGTCGTTTGTTCCGAATTTCCAAGATGTTGTTGGCATTTCCACATTCCTGCTCAACAAATGATACAAATTGAGGCACTAAGCTGACATTTGAGAGTGGATTTGGGCAAGTTATGATGTATGGAGTAGCACCTTTATCATTAGTGCCCCATGCTTTTCTCCAAGTTGCTGTATATTGTTGTACACTAACAGGAATTGGTTCATTCATGCCTTCATACCATAATTGACAGTATGCTTTAAGAGACACATCAATTTTGTTGATTAATGCCAGGATTCTGATTACTGATTTATTTTTCAGCGCCTCTCGATCATCAAAATAAGCATTATAAAGGTAAAAAGTTCCATTAGATGTATTTGTAACTTGCCAGTTTGTATCACTAACATTTAAATCTGTCAACATTGGAAACCGACCACAAAGTGGATTTGTCTGAACTCTTAAAAGCTTACTAATTTGCTTATCAACTCGATTTTCTTGGATATCAATCAGCTCATAATATTTAAAATCAAGATGTTTTGACAACTTTGATAGTTTATGGATGAGAAAATAAACGACAATGCACAAAGAGAAAAATCCTAGAAACTTTTTTGTTTTTGAAAAAGTTGACATCATTTTTTAATATTTTTTGGTGTAGTGCTCCACAGCTTAAAAGCGCAACTGTCAGCTATACAGAAAGACTTAAAAAAATTTAGAAACAAAAATTATCGAAATGTGAAAAACAGTTGTTCGAGTCTTGACATAAAGATAAATAATTTTTAAGATATCTCTTCGATACTGTTGTTTATACAATGATTGAATGTCAGTATGTTTTTAAAAACTGGCAGAGAAAAATTGACAAAGTTTTATGAAACCTTGATTAAGATGTTAGCAGTTGTTACATTGTTACATATTTTGATTTTGGTTTGGACAGCTTAATTTAAACATTTAATGTAAGTGACTTGCGGGAGTTGTAGGCATGTTTGGAGATAAGGTTCCAATTTTTAAACATAAGTGCCTTTTAACTATTTTACAACTCATGAGATAAGTTGAATATGATAGAATTATAGCTTTTAATTGAACATATTGATCCCTTGGGCCAAAAGCATGGTTAATCAGTTCCACATCTTTGATTAGTACAAATGCTCAGTGACTCAAGAGCAATAAGATTAAATAATCTGAAAAATTATACTTAAAATCTGAGCTATTAAGAGAGTTGCAAGAGGGGTGTGCTCCAAAAGCTACTTGGCGCTGAAAATATGTCAGCTTAATGTACGGTCAGAGAATTTGTACAAACTAGGTGACAAGGACAGCAACAGAGTCAGATAGAAAACCTTTTGTTCAGAGATCGAAGCCGATTTTTTCGGCTTAACTCAATTTTTGATTTTGTTTGATAGAAAAAAACCAATTGCAAGTATTTAAATTAAATTTAACATGCTTTACTATGATTCTGTGTAATATTCTGTAAGCATGTAGCTATAGTAAACTATAGAAATATGTAAAGTTCAATTTAGCTACTTGAAATGGGTGTTAAAGGGCTTTTTTTCGATCAAAAAAACTCAAAAATTGAGTTGAGTCGAAAAAATCGGCTTCGATTTCTGCTTTTGTTGTAACCTAAGCTCCACATAGGAACATGGTTACAGTAAGTAAATAAGAGGGGTGTGCAACTGGAAACTTAACTAGGACCTCTACAAATAAAAAGACAAAAAACACCTTAGCTACGACCTTGAAACTATAAAGTCATTAAGAGAGCCAAATTAATTTTTATTAAATCAAAAAAATGATGGCAAAAATGATTTCAGAATCGTTCCAACCAGAGCTCGAAGTGGACTCGACTAGGTTTTTTTTTTGAGTCGACTCAACTTTTCTCAACTAAAGTCAAGTCGACTTGGAGTTGACTCAAAAAAAAAATGAAGTCAACTTGAGAAAAGGAGAGTCAACTCGAGTCGACACGAACTCTATCAATTTCGAGCTCTGGTTCCAACTGAGGATTTTACTCAGATAAAAAATATTTAATTTTAAATAATTCTAAAAATTTACTTTCAAGGTTATGTCAATTTTATATCCAGTCCTTCAATATCAATATCAGATTTAAATTCTTTTAGTCTTTGAAGCGCTTCTTTCACATTTTTCAAAAGTTCATCTTTATACTTCCAAAGTGTTGTATCTTTTGTTGGATTTGGCTTGGCAAGTTTACATTCTGGATTGTCACAATCAGTTCTGTAGTGAGCTAAATGACCGTCTTCTGGACGAATATCAAACAATTTGCAATTTCCAGAGTCAAGACATGAAAATGGAAAATGATTGTGAACAGTCAAAACTCTATCCATTCTCATAAATGTTTTGGCATTTCCACCACTTGGTGTAAAATTCGCTGCTCGATAAATGCTTGACAGAAATCTCAAGTTTTTTGGAATTCCAGGAATTGTTTCATTTTCATGAACTGATTTAAGAACAAAGTACATGTTCATAGTAGGAAACGCATCAAAAGTTTCATTCTTGACTCTTGACTTTTGAATTGTTCTAGTTAAAAGATCCGTCCATGTTCGATCTTCTGTTTTTCGAGGAACAATAAATTCATCGACATCCATAGGTATCATGTACTCATATTGATATAGATTCTCATAAAATGAGTCATGGTATGGAATTAAGTCATTCTGCGTCCATTGATGCCAACTTTCAGATGCTTTATTTGGAAGTTCGTGAGGGAATTTCAGATATTTTATAGCAACCAAATTTTCAGCCTGATACATTTTTAATACTCGAATAACATTTGGATGAGCGTTGATGATGAAAATTTCGATTTTATTGACACCAAAAATTTTCAAAATTTCACACCATTCGACTAGAAGCAACGAAATGTCAGTTTGGAAGTCCAAACTTTTCACACTGATTAAAAAATTTTCTTTGTGTCCATTTTTGGGTCTTTTGTTGCGAATTTCGAAGATATTGTTGGCATTTCCACATTCTTCTTCAACAAATGATACAAATTGAGGCACTAAGCTGACATTTGAGAGTGGATTTGGACACGTCATTAAATATGGACCAGCACCTTTTTCATTTGTACCCCAATACTTTGGCCAAATCATTAAATACTCTTGAACTTTAACAGGAATTGGCTCATTCATTCCTTCATACCATAATTGACAGTATGCTTTAAGAGACACATCAATTTTGTTGATTAATGCCAGGATTCTGATTACTGATTTATTTTTCAGCGCCTCTCGATCATCAAAATAAGCATTATAAAGGTAAAAGGTTCCATTAGATGTATTTGTAACTTGCCAATTTGTATCACTAACATTTAAGTCTGTCAACATTGGAAACCGACCACAAAGTGGATTTGTTAAAAGTTTCAAAAGTTCATTTCTCTGAGGAGCAATACGATCCTCTTGCTTAAAACTGCTAATGTCATAATGATCCAAATGTGTTTTGGCAGGCACTAGAGTTATGTAGATGTAAAAAAGGTAGATTGATATGCCAATCGCAAATGCGAAGATGAATAGTCTTGAATTTGTGATATTTTTTGATTGCATTTGTAGATTTTTAATTTTTTGATATTTTAAAGGTTTGTAGGTTAGGAACTTCTTGATTTATTAGCATTTAATTGAAATGCCACTTTTTTTATTCGTTTCTGTTGAAAATTTTCAGCTTTGGTTTTCTAAAAAATATAATTTTAAAAATTAAAAAGAATTTTGAGAATATAAAAGTTTATATTTTTGATAAATTATCAGTTCTCTCAGTGCTACTGAGGTAAAGTTTATTCTGTAATAAAATGAGCAACCATCCTATCAAGTTCCTGGCCCGTTCCTTAATCCAATGTTTCCCAAATGCCCAATTATAGCTTGATCTCGTACATTAAGCAAAGTCAAAGTTTTTACACTTCCGAAAAAGAGCAAATTTGGAAATGGTTGGATTCAAACCGACGACCTTCGAGTTACCAAATTTGAGTAAAGCGCCCTCCCTAATCGACCAGCAAGGCACTTAGCTGCTAAACTATTCGGTGTCATTTAAAAAATTATTAAATGGTAGTCTTAAATGAACGAGCTTTGCTCCATAATTTTAATTACTATGCAAATATTAAAAATGTTTGAAAATGAACAATAAATAAATAAATAAATTAGGGGCCGTTCACTTATGACGTCCGACATTTAAGGAGGGAGGGGGTCTAGGATTTTGTGACAGTTCAAACAATGGAAATTTTTTTCTATAGAATTTTTGTGACAGAGGGGGGGGGGGGGGGGGGGAAGGGGGGTCTAAAAATCAGGTTTTTTGATGGACGTCATAAGTGAACGACCCCTTACCCAATTAATTTTAAGCGATACAAATAATTGAAATACAATAGACTAGAGTATCATTTAACATTTCACCGTTTTAGCTCAGTTTGTGTTTTGAGAATAGGTTTGAGGTCTTTGACATATAACATAGCATTACGTCTTTAGTCATATTTTCGTCTTTGTAATGCGCACTGCTTGCAAGTGTTCCAAGGTAAACTGTAGGTTTAAAACGTGCTTTACAATAGATTCTATGCTAATTAAATCGCAGTACCTTCAGCTCAAAAGAATTTACCCCTCGCAAAAAGTATAATTTATTAAATCAAGCATAATTAACGAAAAATGTGTTGAAAATGATGAAAAGATATAAAAAGAGTCGCTTATAAAAACAAATCATATCAGCAAAGCACCTGTTGTGAAATACAACTTGTTTGATTACTTCAAACTAGAAAGCTTAGTAATAAATAAAATTGATAAAATTCTTATTCAAGTTAATGACTCACGTTTAAAAATTTACTTTTTATAATTTTAATTTTTTGTTATTTATTATTTTAAGCTTTTATTTTTTAAAAACAAAAAATGCCCTAAAATTAAATCAAAAAGCGATAAAAATGAAGTTTATAGCCATTTCTAAACAATGACTTTTATGTGCAAATATAGTAAAATTGAAGGGATTTGAATCCACTCAACCTCAAATTTTTTGTTTAGTTTCTGTGGTGGAATGGTTTAGTAATTCGGTACCTAATTATTGCAATAATGATACAGCAATCATGGGTTCGAGAATCAGCATGAAATTTTTTTTATCCTTCCTTTGAAGACTACAGACAGAAATGTCATCAAAGAAGTGGTTCGGACCCCACAATAAACTGTAGATCTAGGTTTGAGCAGGAAGTCTGGCAAACCCTCTCTCGTCAAACTATCATTAACCTTGAAACACGCATATAACGCACAGCTATTGATCTTAAGGTCTGAACTGCTAAAATTTATTTTTTTAATATCTTTAAACCGATTGTTCAATGACTTCCAATTAATACTATTAACGTAATTTTTTTAAGTTATACCTACCTAAGAAATATTCATACCTGCCTAAAGCTTCCTAAATAATATAAAAATAAAAAATTCTTTTAATACAAAACTATAATAAAACAATTGTGTAAACTTCAGCAGTCAAGTGAAAACTAAGTCACATATTCAGGTGATTTTTTTTTCTTGTAATCTATTACAAAAAATTATTTTTTGCTATTTCTGATAAAAATTTAAAAAATTAAACGTTTTTAATTATTTCTTGAATTTATGGCGTTCTTCACATGCTTGATTTTCTTTCCTGACTAAAGTTGCCTTTGCGATTATCGAGTTTCAGCTTATCAAACGTTTTCGAAATCGTGAAAATATTTTTTTCCTTTGTATTTGTTTAATAATTATCGGTCGTTGATAAGAAAATGTACGGTTTTTGAAAAATTATGGTTTAAAATCTATTGAATTTTGAATGAAGATTAGTTTTCTTTTTCAAAATATAAAATTTAGAGAGCGGTGGAGGGGGGAGTAGATCCAGGACTTTGTTACAGCTCTTAATTTTGACTTGATTTGAAAAAGCGTTTCTATTTGCAGAAACCAATGAAGACAACACATCAGGAACAGAAAGACAACTATCCAAGAATGGACATCGACAAAAGAGTGACACAATTTGAATACGTGACCAATAAGACTCACACCTGTTTGCCATTATCAGCAGGAACTCACATCTCGACGTACGAAACAAATTTCTCAACTACAGGCTAGCCATCAGACCAATATGTTTTAAGTACTGTAAGAAGAGAAGAGATTGAGTTTAAGAATCATTCTCAACAAATCAAGACATGAAAGGACCACCGATCTTCATACAACAACGAAAATACCGTCCATTGAGAACTTTGTTGGAAAGTTTATTTGACTTCATTATTCAAGTGAAAACTGAGTCACATATTTATGTAATTACGTTTCATCAAATACAAAAGTTTATTTTCGTAAGTTTAATAAATAAACCCGCGTGGACAAAGTACTAGTTAAAAGCTTGCCATTGACTTGCCTGTTCATGGCGAGTAAGTACCCATTGACGTGCCTTTGCAACTAGACTTACGGACGACTGATGACATATTTTGCGCTTTCCATTTAACTGGACATAGGAATTGCACATATGTCTAGTTAATGTCCAGTTACAAAAAAAAAACGAAATAAAATAAATAACACGTGTCTTTTTCTCCATTTTTTTTTTCTTTTGTAAAATTTTATTATTATATTAGTGTAATTAATTAATTAAAGTACACTAACACTTATGTAAAATCTCTAGTAAAAATTGAGTCTCGAACACTTGCGCGTGAAACAATTATATTTACTTAAAATTTTCATACAACTTTTGGTAGACCTTATATAAGTGATTTCTGCAAACGCTTGTGAAGTATATGGCCAAAAAAGTAAGGAAAATTATTTTTGAGTTTCGAGCACTTGATTGATTAGCATGAATGTCCAGTTAAAGTCTAGTTAAAAGGCAAGTTAAAAGACTGCTAAATGATTGTCCAATAATGGACTTTAACTGGCTGTGTCCACCCGGGAAAGATGATAGTGTATTAGATGCGTATGGTCAAATCATGAACTGCTTTGAATTTTTGTCAACTTTTGACAAACTATTGAAAAATAAAAATAAAAATAACGATTATGTTTGATTTTTAAGTGCCATTTCTGTACTAATAAGTCGACTTTATTTTATAGAATTTCCAAAAATAGAGAATAAAAAGAAGAAATCGATAATATTTAATAAAATTAAACGATTTGTCATTTTTGTTCTAAATTCTTCAATTATTTAAGCTACAATAGGATCATTAAATTAAATAATGTTCAACATCTAACAAATAGAATATTCAAGTCATCATAAATTGCTTTTAAAATATTAAAAGATATAATAAATCACATTATGTCGAAATCAAGTTCAACACAACCACGAAGATTTCGAATATCCATGTCTTTTCCTGGAACATGATTCAACATTCGAATCCTATAATGTCCTTCCTCAATTGTCATATAATTTTCAATATAAGTTCCATTCAAATGTGCTTTTGTAAATTGATAAGTTCCAACGAGTTTTGCACATAAATTTTTGTTATCCATAGCTGGTGCAAAGACATACCAAGGTCCACTTTTGTCTTCCAAAAATCTCTTGCAAGTAATCGCTTCAATATATTCCTTTAAAACATCTTTACATGGACCAATTGTACCCACAGGACATTTATAAAATGTGATTACTAGTTCTATGTCAATATGATCGATTTGATGGACATGAACTAAATATTTTCCATGTAAAGTGTCAAAAAATCCTTTCTCATTTGCCTCATAACTCACGTCCGCAACTTCGATTTCAGCATCTTGAGTATAATCGAGGGGAATATCAGCGCAATTACTGAGATTTGTTATATTAAAATTCTGGATTTGAAAAGAAAAAAATTAATAAATTGGCTTTGAAAACAAAGCTGCATTGGAAAGTAAATTATTTCACTTACCAAAGCTGATGCTGCAGATATTAAAATTGTCAAAATAAATATTGGCAATATTGATGATTTTTTTAACATTTTATGTGAAATTTAACTTATTTTTTCAGTACTAGAAGAATATTCAAAACTTTTTGAGAAATTTTATTCAAATGCAATCGAATTTATACAAAAAAAAAATGATTTGATGACAGAAAATTTGTCAGAGTCACAACGAAAGTATTAATTATATTTTAATTTCTAGTTATGACATTTAGCACATCATCATGCTATTACAATGCTGTCATCGAGAATTAATTTTATGTTGGTAATTTGATATAGCAAACATTCAATGTTATTTATAACTAGTCTTATTTTGGCGGAAAATCCGCATTTAAAGGTTATTGATATTTTTTTGACAAATCTTAAAGTCAATTTTATCCTTAATATTCACTTAGAGCAGTACTGTCCAACCTTTGTTCCGCGGCATACTAGTGTTTCGTAGAAGTTTTTTGAAAACAACACGAGCCGAATGCATTGTGCGACTTCGATAATGACTTAAAACTAAAGTGTGCCGTGGCCGAAAAAGTTTAAATCAAAACAATGTGAAAATCATGATTGCAGAAGCCTTAATTAAGCTTTATTTTACTAATATTAAATTTAAACTTTCAAAATCCCCAAGCTCGAATTAAACAATTCGAGTATAAATGTAATTATTAGTCACAGTTGCATCAATAAAAAAATTTAATAAAGATTAGATTTCTGAAAAAACATTAATCATTTAATGAAACCTTTTTTGTAGAACCTTGAGGGCGGTTTAGTAAGATAAAACACTGATTAAGCAAGAAAATGAAAGCATTTGAATAAATTATTTTAAACAAATTAACACAATTCCAGATATTCGTATTTTTAGCGCATTTTTGACCCTTGTTTCGAAAAGGTAGCTTAATAATTCACTTTGATCGGCTGCTCGGCTGGTTCTGAGATCTCATTAACCAGACATCGTAGAGAGTAGGGGTTCTAGAATTCCCGTTCCCGTAAGATTTCGGGAATCGGGAACGGGAATGATGTTCGGGAACGGGAATATTCCGGGGAATCAACAAAGAAAAAAAAAGTTAAAAGCTACACTTACACCATGTATTTTATTTAAGTTTTTAAATCAAATTTGAATTCTATTTGATTTGATTGTCAAATTGATTCTTTTGACAATAATTTCCGTTTAAAATTCAATTCATTTTAGTTTTAGAAGAATTCTTAAAGTACGATTTTAAAAACCTGATTGCATTAACGTGCTGGTCTAGCAATCTATAACTGTAAAATGCTTCCAAACCCAAGACATCCTAATTTATTGACTTCTGATAATCTACGAATTTGTACATGATTAAATTACAGCTTATGAACTGATTTTTTGATTACTTACATATCCAATATTAATTTCAAGCACGTTTTTTTATTTTGGAAAAATTACTTTAAACCAATGTCAATTAAGTTTATTATTTATAATTTTTTTCTTTAAATTGTGGTTTTTTCACGGAAAATACAAAATAAAAAAAAAATCTATTTTGAATTGTCGGTTTTTTTGGAATGAAAACGGGAATTTCGGGAATATTCCCGATTTTAGAACCTCTAGTAGAGAGCTATAGTTTGTTTTATTAGCTCTGGTCCATTGTTTTATTGGCTTTAAGATTATTTTCGAACCGTAAAACAATGGATAAATACTATAATTAATGATTTTTTTATTTTATAAACAAAACCACGTGATGAGTACGTTTAGAAATTTGAATTTTTTTCTACCGCTTTAAAAATTGTTCAGGGTATGTTCAGAGATTCAAATTTATTCCTATCATTAAATATTTGAATCTCAAAAAACCGGTAAATAAAAAGTTCATTTGAATTCAAGAAAATGGTTTATTGACAAATCCCATTGAATTCAAGAGTTTTTTGTTGTGAAAATTAATTTGTTTGGTTAAAAAAGAATTGTTAATTATGTTATCTCTCGTAAATAATATAAAAATGACGGGATAATTTCAAAACTCGTTAAAGGACAAAAAACTTTTTTGCTGTACGTAATGCTTAATATTTATTGAAAAACAACGACTATGCTTTGATAAAGGCAAAAATTTAGAGCTGTTTGCTAATTGATTTGCTTTTTGATGCTTATCAAAAACTGATCGCTGCGTCAAAAATGCGCTGAAGTCCCTCGATGAATAACACGAGGACTTTTGTTATTTTTTAATGCTTTTATCAAAAAATCTTGATCTGAAAATTGATTCTGTAGATTTGCCTTTATAGATTTCTAATCAAAACGGTTTCATTCTTATAAAAACAAGATCATGACTGATAGCAAGGTGTCGTCTTTATCTACATAGTTATCAGAATGCTTTACTTTTCTAAAACTTCAATTCTTTATTTAACCTTTTTTTTAAATATTACTTACAACCAAAAACAAAAAAATAATAAATAAATAATAAAGCCAATTTTAAATGTTTTTATACAGTTTTAAAATAAAATAAATTTTTCAGTGCCGCTCATTTTTGACATAACACAAGAAAATATTGTAAAACATGGTAATCATGTTAATGTAAAGCACTCGATACTGTAACGGCACAAACTGGAAATTTATAAATTGTGTGGCTGGCCAAACAAGCCAGTCGGCAACATAAACCTTTAGAAATTTATCCTTCAAAAGCTCATTTGTTTCTGTCACTTTTCGTCCTTCGAGGAAATATGATGTGTAGAAGTAATGCAAGATGAATACTGGAGAAACAATGAACTGAAAGGAAATTTGAAAATTTATTTTCTAATCCGAAGATTACGAAATTTCCCGCCAATTTTTACTTATTCTTCATTACCAACCTGATCACTCATAATTTTTTTTACAATAGTTGATTTTGCGTTTCCTGGCAACAAGCGTTCCATCCACATATACGTATAATGATGCAATGGACCCTGACTTAATCCAACAACCGCCAATTGCTTCATTTTTTCCCTGTCATATCCATTTTCATTCATATTTTTTGATTTTTGGATTCTTTGCGCAAAATATTCACCAATGTACATTAAAAATCCACTGGAAACTGTGTTTGTCAAAAGAAGATATTTTCCAAATAATGCTGTATGTTGGTCATTGACAACTTGTGCTGTTTTTTTATAAAAACTGATTAGAAGCTTCCTCATCTTTTGATTTAGGAATTTTGATAATAAAATAAACTGAATTTAAACTTTCACTTTATTACATCAGATGATTTTTTTTTCCATTCGTTTGTTTACAAAATATTTCAATGCAGACTAAGGTTGACATTTTCATTCATATTTTTTGATTTTTGGATTCTTTGCGCAAAATATTCACCAATGTACATTAAAAATCCACTGGAAACTGTGTTTGTCAAAAGAAGATATTTTCCAAATAATGCTGTATGTTGGTCATTGACAACTTGTGCTGTTTTTTTATAAAAACTGATTAGAAGCTTCCTCATCTTTTGATTTAGGAATTTTGATAATAAAATAAACTGAATTTAAACTTTCACTTTATTACATCAGATGATTTTTTTTTCCATTCGTTTGTTTACAAAATATTTCAATGCAGACTAAGGTTGATATTGTAAAATATATTTTTTAAAGCATTGCTTTCAAAATCTTAGTTTGAATTTAAATTGTCAGTTTGTTTTGTAAATTTTTGAGGAAAATCTCATTTCTTAAGCTGAGTTCAAGAAGGATTTATGTTGATCAAAAATGACCAATTAAAAAAAGGAAGAAAATTTAATTAAAAAATTTTCTTTGTTTAAAACAAAAATAAATAAACTGAAAATTGAAAATTTAAAATTGACAGTCGAAAAAGTTTAGATCCACAAAAGTTCTATGCGCCAATTTCTACAGGTAGTAGATCAAATTACACAGTAGATCAAAAGACAAACAAACATAAATTCTTTTAAAAATTTCGGCATTATTTTTCCAATATTTAATAAGAATCTACATTAATTTTATATGAAATTCCGGGCATAGTATGAAAAGAACGAGGCAAAGTGAAAAGAAAGACGAGGAAAGCATAAAAGTAAGCTTGTAGAATTTTAGCTCAAAAATGTTTTTAATAAAATAATTTTTGTTTGTAGAAAAAAGTTGAATTTCTTCGTGTCATTGATTTGCATTCAATACTAGCTCTCTATAAATATCCCAAAAATTCAAGAAAGGATGCTTTACAGGCACGACTTTTACAATTGTTGAAAGGAAGAGAAATTAGTGAGACTCAAAAGCAGGAAATAAGGAAACAAATCGAAAAATCGTTTGATAAAATGTAAGTTTGAGTTTGATATTTTTGGTTGAATCTTTGATCATAAACAATATGTCTAATAAAGTTTCGCGAAAGATTTCCATATTTTTGAGATTTGGACACGAAACTTGTAATTTGATGTGAAACTGAACTAGTCACTTGCTTCTTGAGAAACAAGATTAATACTCAAGATTCAATTATTTTAGTCACAAATCTGAACTTGCTAAAACATTACCAAAAATTTAATTCTTTTCCTAAAAAGCTCTCCTATAAATTATTTTAGACAAGCACTTGCACGCTCAAGATCAAAGACACCGGAAAGGAACGAAGTTTCCAATATGTATGGTCAACAGCAGTTCAATACTAATCCACTTGTAAGTATTCATCAGTTCTAAGCATTCCCAAAATTTTTTTAATTCAAAATCAACATCCAGGCACCACACAATGTTGCACCATTTATTACATCAGGATTTCCAATACAACCAGATGTAAAACTTAAGAGATTAGCTTTCTATGATGTTCTTGGAACACTTCTGCAACCATCAACATTGATGCCAGCTAGTCAGGCTAGGCAACAAGAGGGAACTTACTACTTCCACCTGACTCCTCAACAGGCTACAGATATTGGTAAGTTATTGAAGATCTCCCTATAACTGCAATATGTGTATACTAATGTAAAACAAGCCTGGTTTGATCGGAATCGAGCCAACGAGCTCATAAGAGGCGATCTCTGACCACTTGATCAGAGATCCCTGCCACTCGCCCACCGATGTACTTATCTCACTTCGGCTATCCGTCATACTCATAAAATCAGTCGCAACGCGAGCTCTTTGCCAAAGTTATTGCATAATGATCATTATTAAATAAGAAAATGTGTTGAAATTGGATTTAGTTATGCCTTAGGTTATAGCTCTTAGCTCTTAGGTTATGCTAAAAGTTTAATCAAACTATTTAATAATTTCAGCTATGAATCGAGATGTTCGTAATCCAGCCAAGCCAGAATATTTAATCCAAGTTCAACTACGGTTTTGTATGCTAGAAACGACTTCAGAACAGGAAGACAGCTTTCCACCTAATGTTCAAGTTAAGGTCAATGGAAAATTATGTCAATTGCCGGTAAGATTTTGTATGATCTATTTGATGGTTTGGCTGATTTTGATTTTTTATTTTCATAGAATCCAATCGCAACAAACAAACCTGGAGTTGAGCCAAGACGACCACCTAGGCCTGTTAATATTACACCACATGTGAAAATATCTCCAACAGTTGCTAATGGTAAAAATTACTAGTTTACTGAAAATCTTTTAAAGTTTTTTAATAGTGAAATGTTTTGCAGTAATTCATGTTCAGTGGCAGACAGAGTTTAACAGAGCTTTTGTCATATCTTGTTATTTAGTTCGGAAACTGACATCAGGTATGTATTGTGTCTGCAATCTTTACCTTGACTTTACTCTCGAACGTCTAATTTCAGACTGCTTGCTTCAACGTATGAAAACAAAAGGAAGCAAACCATCAGAATACACTCGTGGATTAATAAAAGAAAAGTTAAAGGAGGATGCAGACTGTGAAATTGCAACAACAATGCTTCGAGTCTCTCTAATATGTCCACTGGGGAAAATGAGGATGACAACACCTTGTCGGTAAGTTTATAAAAATGAGTTTTTGGTTCAATTATTAGGAGTAAGGTTGCGATACAGGCACCTGTATACAGGTGAGAGCCGTACCATTCCTTGATAATTTGCGAGATTTTATTAGAATTTGTATGGTTTTGATAGATAAAACCTTATAAAATTCCTAGGAATTGTACGGCTCTCATCTTTGCTGGATTTTCAGCTGGAATTCTGATTATTGAGTTTTTAATAGTTTCAATTATTTAATTTTAGTGCTTCAACGTGTATGCATCTTCAATGCTTTGATGCATCACTTTACCTACAAATGAATGAACGCAAGCCAACATGGAACTGTCCAGTTTGTGACAAACCAGCACTGTATGAGAATCTTGTAATCGATGGATATTTTCAAGAAGTCATTGGCTCTCAAAAGCTTGGTCTTGATGATAATGAAATTCAGCTTCACAAAGATGGAGAATGGAGCACATTAGACACAAAAGAGGAAGCTAAAGAACAAATTAAAAGTGTCCAGAAAGTTGAAATTATTTCCGATGATTTGGAAGTTGTGACTGAAGAACTACCAAATTCAAAATTATCAGGATCAACAGGAGCTACTAAACCTAATGCTGATACTGTTGATTTGACACTTGATAGTGACGAAGACAAATGAAATGAAGAGAAAATTTAAATTATTTTTTTCAAATATTAACAAAAATTGGACATAAAATTGCGAAAAAATTGTTTTCGAATCACAAAATTAGTTGAATTATTTAATCTGTAAAATTAAAATTTGACAAAAAAAATGTAAGAAATAAAAATAAAATAAATGAAAAAATTAAATTCAAAGATGAAAACTTTATCAAAATTAAAAACAAATTTATTTCCAAAAAATTTGGTTTTATTACTATATTAGTTTTTATTTTAAAAAAAAGCTGAAAAAACTTTTCAAAAATGTTCCCGATTAGCACAAGTCAGTTAACAGAATAGAAAGCTGGCATGACTCCGGTTAAACTCTGTAGGGGTCTGAAGCTGCGTTATGATCGAGGGGATGAAGCTTCATTGAGCGGATAAATAACGGTCACTTTTTGAATAGATATTTAAGTAGATAAGAGTCGAATAAAACGATTGATTATATTAAAGTATATTTAAACTGTGTTTAGATTCTACAAACTCTGGCTTTGATTCAAATCCAGCACTATGCCAGAGTCATATCAGATTGGTGCCGGATTTCTGATCGATTAACCGACTTGTGCTATTCGGGATTTCTACAATAACAAAATTATTTTAAATATTTCACAGATAAATGTTTACAGATTTATTTTTAAAATTCCTGTCAGTACAAAACTTAAAATTGTGCACCAAAATTTAAACAGAATTTTTATTTGTCCTTTTTGTTTTCTTTTATTTCCTCTTTAGTTTCTTCGTTATTTATTGCTTCATATTCATCATTATCCACCATTGAGGATCCCATATCAATTCTAGTCTTATCAACTGGATACAACCATCTTTGATACAGATAAATTAAAAATATAATATCATCTCTGAAGCATGCAATACGATGTGACGTTGGCATTGTGATTATAAATGCAAAGACATCATCAATAAATGTATTAAATGCTTTGTACATAAATGCACGCCATGGAAGTGCTGCAACAGATTTCATTTTATAATTGATGAATAGTTGAGGACACATGAATAAGAATCCGAATGCATAGACACCATTAACAAGAGAATGAAGAGTCCAGCTGTACCAACTTTTATGTGGATGATATATTAAGGAGTATACAGCATAACCAATACACAGGGGATACAGGATAAAGCTTAAATATTTCATTCCTTGCTTGTCAATTTCATTTGTCAGTGCTTCAGCTTTTGTGATTTCTTTATTCTCATTTTCAACACTTGTTCTTAGTTTCACACCCCTGAAACTTATATCCATGTGAAGGATTTTCTTGCATTTCCATAACTCAATCAGTGCTCCAATACCCGTTGGAACTAAGATTAATAATGATGATTTCTCATCCATTAGATAAAAGAAAATGATGATTGTGCTAAATGCGCGCCAAATTGTTGTTCGAACTGACAATCCAGCATAATTCTTCTTCTTTCTCCAGAAGTTTACATCATTTTTGAAGGATAAAAAGTCGAAAAGGGTCTGAAAATATTTTGAATTTTTAATGTTACAAATTTTTTAAAATTAAGGATCTTTTTGTTGATTGGACTCGGGAACGGAATGGTTAATTTAAATTTAAAGAGTTTTAAATTGATGAGTCCATTAGTGTCCAATTCTGCCTAAGTTCAAACTATTAAGAAATCCAAGAACCGGTTTCCCTGTTTGCGGATACCCTACCCTATCCTCTTTTTAAATTTTCTAAGTCAGTGTAGGGTAGCTTACCCAAGAGAGGGTATGGTAAGTTACCCTACCGTACCCGGGTAAAAGTAGGATGTTGAACCGGATCACCAAAGATATCCAAGGTTATCATAAAACACCCTAGGATATCCTAGGTAAACATTGGTCATCCCCCTACCAACCCGGAATAGGTAGATGCTAGGTGATCCGAGACAACCTCTTATCCTAAGATATCCTTCTCTAGACAGTCTATTGTACCCTTGAGTAAGATACCACATCTTACCATTCACTGCCTAAGGAGACTCAAGGAGAGAATAGGATAGTGAATCCTAGGGTCAACTACCTTCAAAAGGTAGGGTAAAGAAGGTACCCTGGGTAGCCATAGAAACCGGCCCCAAAATACAATAAATTTTCAGATACTCACATGAATACTTCCAATAAATACAGTTCCTAGTAACAAATACAAATTAGCCTCTGCAAATATTTCCTTAACTTCATCAATGTCTTTTGATGAAAATCCTAATCCAGTCAATTGTTTCATTGCATTGTCAATATGAGCAATAAGTCTGAATTTTCCAACTGATGCTGGTGAATAGTTGAATTCCAAATCGATTTCAGTTATATTTTTAGTGACTTCAAGCATGTAAACTGCTCGTTCCTTAAGGATATTGCTTTGAACCATTGGCAAAAATTCATTAGTTTTTGTCATTCGTGTCATTCTAGCAAGTTCCGGTGTGTTTTGGACATCTTGAGGTGAAAGTGATGCAGCTTCAGTCAACATTGTGAGAAAAACTTTTGATTTTATATGAGTTTTGGGTTTCAAATTTTTTGCTGCATTTTTTAAGTTTTTTGATTTTTTTTCAGCTTCATTGTCTTCTAAGAGATTAAAAAGTTCATCCTTTGGAATCATATAAGTTGTAAGAGGGACTCGTTGAATAACTGTTGGACCTTCTCGCTGAAAATCTTTCCAGTTAAGTGAACCATCATTAAGTGCAAGTGCAGCATAAAGGTATAAGGTGCCATTTCGGCGGGTTTTTAAAGGAACATCGATGTGGAATGTACTAAAAAAGACGAAAAAGATGAAATTTTAACTGCAATTCTGCCAAATCTTTATTAATCTGATTGCACCCGGCCCATCCCAAACTTACTTTTGATAATTATCCTGATAATCAAAGTTTCTAATGTTAACAATCTTTGTCACTTCCGATGATATCGGATTTGTTGAAGGACTCGTAAACAGAGCCAGCTGAAGTTTTGGATTTTTGTTCAAAAAACTTTGATAGCATCTAAACTTATCACTACACTCAAGTCGGCGAAAAAGTGTTGCAAATGTCAACATTGAGTAGATAATATAACATACAAATACTATACTGAGGATGGACGTGACTGATGGCCTCATTTTGATGATTTTTAACTCACTTCTTAATTTAACTTATTTGAATTTCATTAATAATTTTTTTTTTATTAAAATTGAATTTACTTTTTTCAATGTTGACGTGTTTACACACTTACAAATTGAGAAACTTTTTGATCTACTGATGAAGGAATGGTAGTTGAGACATTATAATTTTATAAAATTTTCTTAGTTATTAGCCCTTGATATATGAGTATGAAACGTGATTTGGGTGATTAACATTATTTTTAAGGGATTTTAAAATTTAAATGCAATAATTTTGGTTTGCATCAATTTGCTGTATGGATACAATCTGATTTTTGTGCAAATACGGGACACAGAGGAAATTTTTAAAATTTCTAGGGCTCAAAGGGATTTATATCTTTAACACAAACTTTTAAACTTATTAACGAACCTCAAACTTGATATTTAATCAATTAGGATTTTTTATCATAAATGCATACATCGCTGGTTTACAGATCAATTGTGGTCCATAGCCTCACTTATTTTGCATCTACAAAAGACTCTGTTACTGGCTACTCTCCGCCAGTCATCAATACCAAATGCTATGCTAAATCTGTCAACAGCTTCCTTACAAGGAAGGTTAGGGTTTTATTAAATAGATTTATTCTAGTTGACTCAACTTTTCTCGAGTTGACTTCATTTTCTCCGAGTCTCCTCGAATTGACTCGAAAAAAATGAAGTCGATTCGAGAAAAGTTGAGTTGAGTCGAGTCAACTCGAGTCTACTCGAACCCTTTCGACTTCGAGCTCTGATTTTTAGTGAAATAAGTGAAATTTAAATTCGCCAATAAAAACTTTGTCACGATTTATAATAAATATTATTCATGACTTTTTGTTTTCAAAAAATCATTTGGTGAATTTTAGTTCAGATTAAGTTATTTAAACTTTAAAATAGATCATTTTATGTCTAGATTCATTAAATAATAGTATTCACATTAATTATAGTTTTTATGCGTTTCGTAAGTGCTCAAAGCTATTGTAATCCAGAACTTTGTGATCCTGGATGGATTTATAGTGCAACCAATTGTGTTTGTTATAAAAATGGTTAAAATCTTGACTTTGCTTGCAAAATAATTTTAAAACTAGATTAATGGAAATTTGTTTAAAATAAATTTTAAATATGAAAGAAAAAAATTATTAAAAATTGTGAAGTTCCTTAATTTTATTTAAAGATATTTTCTTATCATTTTTCTTGACTTTGTTGCTCTGACTTGAGCATTCTATAAAAAATATTACAGTTTCTATTAATTAATTTATTCATGTGTAAAATTTTCTTAGATTTAACAAAAAATTCCTCATTTATGCACAAATTAAATGTTAAATTTACAAAATCTAAGTTTTCAAAACTTCTCGGTTCTATGAGGAAAATTTCATTTTCAGCCAAGTCAAACCATTTTAGTTTTAGATTTTTATAAAACCAATTTTTACTAACAACTCTTAATTTATTTCCTCTGAGTCGAACGTTTTCAAGATTTAAGTTTTTTAAAAAATGTTCTGATTTGAGATTTTTTATTTGATTCCAATTTAAATGAAGTTCTTCAAGGTTTAAATTTTTATGAAAAGTTTTCAATTCTAAGAATGTTAAATTATTTCTATTGAGATTAATAATTCTTAGCTTTAGATTTTCAGAAAAAGTGTCTTCAGCTATGTAGAAAATTTCATTTTCTTCGATATTAAAAAATTCCAATTTTCTTAAATTTTTAAAATTAATTTTTCGTAAGATTTCAATTTTATTTTTGTTGATGAAAAGTCTATCAATTTGTCCACGTAAAATCGGTACATCTTTTATTGCATTTCCAGGAATATCAAGTGTTTTAAGTTCTGGCGAATTTTCCAAAAAACTAATTGAGTTTAAGTGTGAATTTGTAATTTTTAAAAATTTTAAATTTGGAAATTCATGAAGTTCCCTTTGAATCCCTTTAGTTAACCAAGACAACTGAACTTCGTCAATATTTGATAAGCTGCAATATTTATTAATAAAAACTGTTGATTCATCGATTATACGACTGATGATCTTCGATGAATAGCAAATTGATGATTTATATTCACAATCACAATCCAATTTGACTTCGAAAATGCTGCAATTGCAGATTTTAATTAAAAAAATAATAAGGATGATTTTACTCTGCATCTTATTGTTATGAATGAGAAATAAGAACTGAAAATACTTTAAAGTAAGTTTGGTTTGAATTTTGTCCTTTGAATGACGTTTTGCTTTCAAATATAAGACTTCAAATACTTCATTGTAGACCTCTTATTACTTTACTAAAGTTGCTTAGTTTCTGCAAAATTCAATTACATTACTTTGTGTTTGATCAACATCCATTGACGAATCCTTTAAAATTTGACAAGTTCCATTAGTTTTCACTTTAATGTTCACTATGGTTGGTAACTTTTTAAAATCCACATTAATACGTTTTATTTTTGTATCACTAAAGTCAATTGATGTCAAATTTTTATTATTTCTAAACAACTGTTCTTCAATAATTTCAATTGGATTACCACTAGCTGAAAAGTCCTTCAAAAGTCTCAAATTTTTCAATAAATCAATGTGAAGTTTTTTGATATTATTTTTATCCAACCTTAGTTCTATCAGCACAGACAAATCTGCAAATGCATCTCCAGGAAGTGTTTCAATCTTTCTATTATTTACAATTTTCAGCACTTCAAGTTCCGGCATATTCGCAAAACTGTCTCGAGTGATCAGACTTAAAATTGTTTGATCAAAAATTCCAAATCCTTTAAGTCGATGTCCACGACTTTTAGCAATAACTCTTCCAATTCCTTTAATCATTTTTTCAGGCAATGATGGATAGCTTATATTAAAGCTCAGCGACATTAATAAATCATCATATTCTCGATAAAATCCAGTCATATTTGCCACTTCTAATTCTTCATTTGATTCAAAAACATCTTTTATTGAACAACACATGTCAGCTGTAGCTGAATAAATATAACCGTGACTAATATTCTCAATTAACTCCTTCGGCCAACATTTTAACGTGACTTGAAACGCGGAAATTGAAACTGATAAGAAAATTATTGAATAAATTCCGATTGACTTCATTGCTCTTGGAATAGTTGTTTAAAACTGATTAAGGGTGATCATGAATAAAAATTATTTCAGAGATATCAGATCAGCTGAGATTGTTTTTTATGAATTCTAATGTATTATGTTTTTTTGTGAGCTCTTTACAATTGAATTGTCGTTGATTATCATACAACTCAGACTTTCTCGATGATCTTACAGATCAATTGTGATCCATGGCCTTCCTCAGATGCCGTCTAAAACTAGCTCTATCGCTGGCTACCGCTTGCCAATATCCTATACCAAATGCAATACTGTCCTAAAAATCACACATAATTGGAAAAATCTAAGCTATGAAAAGAACTAATAAGCATTTATTTTAAGAAGAATAAATAAAATTATCATCAGAACCACTAAAAATGGAAAAGAAATTTTATTTAAAAAAATAATTTTAAAAATACGCCTTAAATCATCCCAATTTAAAAATATCAGATACTTTATGCCTTGTCAATGTAAATGTTAATATGTTAATATCATTTTGTATTTACTCAGGTGTCGGCTTCTGTAACGAATTTTTCTTGTAGTTATGTTGAGCATGGTTCGTTGAAAATAATTGTAGATTGGCTGATAATCAGCAACTGATTATGTGTTTTACAATTTTCTGTAAATTATTGAAAAGATAAATTTTCATTTTAATCTTATGCATCATTAAGTTACGACTCACCACATTAAACAAATTGGAAAACACAGAAATTTCTAAAATCATGAAAATTGCCACAAGTGTTGTGACTATTTCATCTAGGAAGCACATCACAATCATCATCTGATTACGGATTATTTGCAAATTACAACTGATTAGAAAATGTAAATTCATTTGGTTTCGTTCATTTTATTTTGTCTCTATAATCAACATCTACACATTTGAGATCACAATTGATTGAAAAGTAAAAGTTTTGAAAACTTTTTCTAATAATATTAAAGAATTTGGTAACATTTTTGAAGCTGTTTATTAAGTTAGCAAGTTTTTTGTATTGTGATGTTATATTTAAGTTTTATATAAATTATAAATTGAATGGTTTAGTAGAATTTTCTTGAAATTTGGCTATTAAGGACTTTAATTAAAGTTCCCGCAGATTATAATCGCTAAGTAATCCCAAACAAAGATTATTTTCTTCGTTTTTAAAAGATTATAATCTGTGTGAGCCTTGATTACACTATTTGTTCATAATTCCTGAATGGCACAAATCGGTTAATCGAATAAAAATCCGGGGTCCAGCCGGAAAGACTCTCGCAAGGTGCTGGCTTCAATTTAAATCCAGCACCATGCCAAAGTCTCACCAGTTTAGTTCAAGATTTCTGATCGATTAACCGACTTGTGTCATTCGGGATCAATCCTTACAAAGACGTAAAAACTCAGGATTAATCCTGAAAAATCCCAAAAATCCTAAAAACAATCCGTGAGCGAATAAACATGATTTTAAATCTCTGATGCATTTGATGAATAACTTCGGGATTTAAAATGGATTTCACATTTTCATGTCTAATAGGTCAGGGATGTTTTTACAGCTTCATGAGATTTCTCATGATTAATCCTGAGTTTCCACGCATTGGTTCTTTTATTTTATTTTACACTTGAATCATTGATAAGATCAGTTGGTGGATAATAAGATTCATAAGTGTAGCCACAATCGAAACAAAAAAGGGTAAAAACCAGCACAAAAGCAGCCAGAAGCTCTTCCAAAACATAATTTCTAATATTTCATGAAAACTCACTCAAAGTAACCTCAAAAAAACTAACCTCACTGCATTTGTGCCTCATTTGATTCTCTCCATGTTCTATTGATCATTTCAACAATTTGAGTATAAGTTCTAGATTTACTGAAATAGTAAACAGCACAAAAGATGATAAAGATCCACGACATCCATAAATATGGATCAAGTTTCTCTTCTTGCATTGTCATTTTTAATGGACTCGTTGGACTAAAGTCATCAGAAGTAACAACGACATTGCTGGTGTTTGGTCGAAGATTTGTGTGAGATGTGATAAAATTAACAAAATTTATAACTGTTGCCGGTAGTGTGATGTTAAATTTGTGCAACATTCGTCCATTGTGAAAGAGGACAATTGTCGGAAGTCCAATAATTCCAAAATCTGTGTTCAGACCAGGATTCTCATAAGCATCAAGTGCTGCAACTTTAATGTCTGGAAAATTTCTAGCTAAAGAATTGTAATGTGGAATCAAAGCTTGACATCCAGGACAGAATTTTGTGTAAAAAAGAATAACAACGCAATTTCCAGGAAGCTGATCGTTTCTTGATGTTCCAGAAACTGGTGAAATTAAAGCCATCACTTCTGATATTGAGTTTGTAAGGTACAAAGTGCCATTGCCTTTAGCTCTGATGCATTTTGCTCGTCTATCTCGATGAGTTGCTTCATATGCTTCATAAGGGAAGCAGATTTGATTGTCAAGGTATGTGATGTGATCTAAAAGTTTAAAAAGTTTACTTTATTAATGTTTTTGCTCATATTTATTCAACAAAACTTTATTTTACAATTTTTATATTAAACTATAGAAATTTTTGATAAACTATCTCAAATTATATGATAATCTAGAGAAGGAGTTCATCTCCAATCCCAATTAAACCATGACAAGTGTTCTTTATATTCATCCTTACCATAGACACTCGACGTCTCATTTCTCACTGCTAATTTTTCCAACTTTTCTCTCTTTTTTAAATCCATAAAATCACCAGTAAATATCTGGTACAAAAATTGGAACTGCTTAAGTGTAAATCCTTTAAGTTCATGACTTTTTCCGCATATCGCAAGACTTAAAATTAAGAAAATTGATAAAAATTTCATTTTTCAGCTTGAAAATAATTTAAGATTTCAGAATGTAAACAAAATCTGTATTTGTATTGGTAAGTTTCGACGGAAAATAAAGTAACAGCATGCCGCATGCATGCAAGTAAGTTTAAATTCAAATTTTTAAATTTTAACAATAATATTCAATAATTATATTATATGAGTCACAAAAGGAGTCTTGTTATTATTCAGAAAAAATTCAAATTTGCTTGATTTTTGTCATTATTTCCTCAAAATGTGTTTTAAGGTGCACCAGCTCCGTTTAAAATTCACAGCAAAGCAGATTTAGGAATTTAGACAAATTTTTGATACTGTAAAACAAAAGGAAGTTTTTAAAATTCGCAAAAAAATATATGGGAAAGTTTTATAAATACCTAATGTAAAAGTAAGCTTTGTCCAGGACGTGGAAACTCAGGATTAATCCTGGATAAATTCCAAAAATGTTAAAAATATCAATGAGCCTGGAAAAATATTTTTAAATGTGAAATCCATTTTAAATCAAATACACCAGGGATTTAAAATCATGTTTATTGGCTCAGGGATTATTTTTTGGATTTTCGGGACTTTTTAGGATTAATCCTGAGTTTATACGTCTTGGCTTTGTTTTTTCAAACAAAAATCAATCTATTTTTATTTCAATTATTTTTATTTAAATCTAAAACTAAAGGTAAAGTTAAAAATTGCCACATTTTGATTTTCAAATTTTCAATTTCAATTTATTTGATTTGAATCCACCACCAAATTTTTTTTACTAGAAATCTCAAAAATTTAACAGAAAACAAATTTTTGGAGACATTTTTAATAGTGCTCATGAATTTTGATATTTTTCATATTTAAGAAGAATATTTTTGAGCTTTTTAAATTAATTGAAATATAAAAGAAACTTTTTAATTGAATTTAATTTCGAGGTTTTTTTTTAAAAATAATTTCAAGACTTAAAACAATTCAGACTATTCCTAACAACAACTGAAATAGTTTCTAGTGCTACCTGAAAGTACTCTACCCAAAACATTTGAAATCAATGTTCTACATTTTCGTGTTTAATGAATAAGGTAAGATTGGCGTTGAATAGTTTGAATTCAAATCCACGCTTAACAAAATCAAAAGTTACCAAATTTCGGAACGCTAAAGTATCAACAAAAAAAAAAGTCAAACTCAAATTTAACAGAATCAAAATTTATGCACTAAATTTTATTTGAATATTGCTAGCGCGCTCTTTCATCAGTCTAAGAATGTCTTCACTAAGTTCCTCTACTGTCGTATAACGGACCTTTTGAAAATTAAAAATATCACTCAAGAAATCAACAACTTGCGTCCTAAAATAATGACAAACTTCCTTCAAATTTTCATCATTTCCAAAAAATCCCCAACACATTACTGGCGAAATTTGTTCAGTAATTTGGTAAAAGTAAGCCATAAATCCATCAGAAAATTTCAACATTCTCTTTTTAGCACGCACCACGCTCCAAACAGCCGTAGCCAATGCAGTTTCCTTGAATCCATTTGATAAAAATCTGTTATTGACCACAGCCATGACAGAGCCTGGTGGACTTTCTAGATCCTTAAATGCATCAAGAATAATAAAATCCAGCACAATGTCATAAAATGTCATTGCCTTTACACCACGTTCACTTAATTCCAATTCAGCTTGCTGCCATCCAAATGGTTCTTGCATGAATGTTAACATCCTCTCATATCCAATAATAAAATCTTTTGGATCCTTATCATTAAGACAAAGCAAGTCAGTCAATATTTGACGACCAGTGTCTGCTACCCATTTTGAAACATTTTGGTCACGGAACATGTGATGAAATGCTAGTCGAATACAGTGAAGCTTTGCTAAATATTCACTATCACTGGCAACATGTACGAGGTCACTTCTGATATGTCGGCATGGAATTGGATTTTGTTCCATTCCACGGACTGTATTTATATATAATGGATGTTCAATTTCTTCCTCATTTTCTGGCTCAAAATCCTCAAATTCTCTTAAATCTGCTATTTGATCTAAAGCTGATGCAAATGATTCAGCAGAGTCAAAATTTGCATCAGCATAATTTTGGTCATCGTCGTTTTGTGTACGAAACAGACAGGAACGCTCATCAAGGAATAAAAGTTCAGATTGTTCCTGTAATCCATAAGCTATTTCGAGTAAGTTTTGAATTTCTCGGAAAAATTCAGCATCTTCGGGATGACTTGCAGAATTTCCAAGGGAATGTGCAGCCAGTGCATCCTCCCAAATGCTAATGACATCCTCTAACTTTTCCATTCCCATCACACCGAGTTGCTGTGGTGAAAGTGGGACTGGTGGTTGACCAGATGGACCAGCACCTCGTGTAGAGCCACTTGCATAGGAAACAATATCTGTTGTTGTGTAGACTGAGCCACCTGGAGAGACAGAACGAGCACTGGCACGTGAACCGGCTGTTGACAAGGCATCTTAAAAAATATAATAAAATAATAAAATATTTAAAAACTACGTTGAAAGTGGATATTTACCATTAGGGCTTCTGATAGAGTTTCTAGTCCTTCTACCGCTTGCATATGCTCGAAGCCTCGCATTTCTGGTTGGTCTGATTTTGCGACGACTCAAATATGACGCTAGAATACCTAATAAAGCCACACCGGTTGTCACAGAGATTATGATGATCTAAAAATAATAACAGAAATTGTATAATTTGTTTTTTAATATTTTGATGTCGCATAATGACATCGCTGTTGTTGACAGACAACATTAGAGAAACTAATTTGTATTTAATTGTCAATCAATTGTCGCCTATGACCGACTTGACCTGACTTCAAATTACATTTTTCCAGTTAAAGTATATCCAATATATTTCAGGTAAATAATTATTTTAGCTTCAAATTCATAAGTTTATTTAAATATTGATAATTCTGTGTCACATAATTATGCACGTAGTCAGTAAAATTATCTAAAAATAAATTTTGATTATTTCACTTACCTTGTGTGACGTTGTGACATTTACAGGCATAAATTTAAAGCTAAACATTTTGAACTACCCGACTAATTTAATTACTTATATTTTGATTAAAAAGTTAAAGACGAAAAAAATTGCATGAACGAATTTTTATTTGTACAATTAGGTGAAATTCTTATTGGAATTTGGACACTTTTGATTACGATTCACATCTTATTAAGTCATTTATCTTGTTGTCTATTTTCTGGTTATTAATATTTATAATTTTTTTGTGGCTATTAAGAAATGGAATTTTCAAAAAAAATATTTTTTTTACGAAGAATGTAGAAAAAGTTTTCAATGTTGTGACTTGTTATGTATTGAAAAGTTTCAGGCCCCTTGTGTGGCTGATGAAACTTGCTATTGAATAACATTTTGTAAACAAAAACAAACGTAAACTAGTAAATACAATTTTTTGCAGGAAATTTAAAACGTCTTAATTTTTTTAAAAAATCTAATTTAATTCAGAAACAAATTCAAGTATTTTATACAATGTCTAATGACCTGCTGAGTAATCAAATATGGAACTGGCTTCTTATTACTCAAAAATATCCTTAAATCGAAATTTTTAAAAATCGATAGGCCTGTTTCACTAAGGTAGATTATCCTCATTTTAGGATTTTCTATTTCTTCGATGCAAGGAAAATCCAAATAATTTCTTTCTGATGTAGAATTAATTGGTTAATAATAATTAAGCTAGTTTGAGAAAAATCATTTTTCTTGTAAAGTGAATATCGCGAAAAAATAATTTTAGTATATGGATTATCCTTAGATTTTCCTAGGATAATCCTGAAGATTATCCAAATTTTCAATCTTGGTGGGACCCAGTTTTAACATTTTAGAATAATTATGTAGATAATCGTAGAATGATCTTCGGATAATCCACATACTAGGATATTCTTTTATTGTGAAATCCATCGTCAAAAAATTATTTTTTTTCAAATCCATTTTTTCTGATTCACCGTGCAGTAAAACAAATCATTAGAAAAAGTAGCTAAAATCAAAATTTATTTTTTTAAAATGAAACCTCATCAAAAAAACCAAGATTATAAAAGATTATAATTTTCGAGAGCCTTGATTCTATTATGGTAGGATTCTTAATATATTAAGGTAGGATTCTTACTACCATCAAGAAAAATAAGAATATACAAGATAACTTAAAAATAGTAAACATCGAAAACAATTGAAATATAAATTCTGAAATAAACTTTTGTTTCAAAATTGATTGAAATTCTTCATAAAATTATTATGAATAACTAAAATAAAAATGAATCAAAATTGAATAAAATTCAAAACCAATAAAAACGAAACAAGATTTTCAATTGTTTATTTCTTATCCTTGATTTTTGACCTTAAAACACTAAGAATATTAAAATTGTTTGAAAATTCAATTTTATTTTTAAGGTTCAATGGAACATAGTTGCTGAACTATGGATGGTATTTGAGTGAGTCCTATAACCTACATCTCATCATGTCCCAATGTCAAACAGCTAGGATTACCCTTATATTCTCCTTTATCTTCCAATACAGCATGTGGAGCACATCTCCATGGATCCTTTGTATCAACCAACCAGTTCCATAATTTCTCCTCCAATTCCTTTCTTATTTTTGCAAAATCTTTCCGATATGCAAGGTTTTGCATTTCAGCAAAGTCTTTTTTCATGTCATAAAGTTCAAATTCAGGTCGATTGTAGTAAGTTCTTAAATTTTTATACCATGGAAGTTTTGTTTTGCTGATTGTTCTATTTAAAATGTCCTGGAATGTCCATGAAACATAAAAATCTTGATCAATTGGAAATTTTGAGTCATAATTGATATTGTGTATTAATTTGTACTTCCGATTCCTAATTGTTCTCATTGGATATGCCATAGTGACTTCATGAAAATTATGACTACCAAAAATTGTGGTATCGTCTGTGACTGGAGGTTCTTGGTCGAGTAATGGAAGTAATGATTTTCCTGTGTAGCTTGTTACGTCATTTGTGTCTGAACCAAAATGTTGTGAAATACCAAACCAGTCTAAGAAAGTTGGCAATAAGTCCAAATGAGATGTCATTTCATAAGTGCTTTGATGCCAACGCTTTTTGTCAGGTGATGACATCATTAATGGTACATTAAATCCTGGTTCATAGAAATTTGTCCTTCCACTTGGAAATGGAGGTCCATTATCACTTGTGTAGATCACTAAAGTGTCTTTGTCAAAACCAGAATCTTTTAATTCTTTCAAAACCAATCCAATTCCTTGATCTAGTCTTGAAATTGTCGTATATTGTGCTGCAACTTCTCGTCTTGCTGGTTCAGTATCTGGAATATAAAATGGAAGTGGAACTTGCTCCCATTGATAATAAATTGGCTGCCAATCGGGTATCAATCCCATTCCTTCCTGACCACTTCCATATTTTTCACAAAATGGACCAAATTCTGGTGTTATGTGGCCACATCTATGTGGATCGTGAAATGCAACCATTAAAAAGAATTGTGAATCATTATTTGCTTTCAGGAAGTCTCGAACTAGCAACTTTATTTGTGTTATATTCCTTCCTACTTGATTAATTGAATGTTCTTCCTCAGTTACTTCATAATCAAACTTAAAAACGCTTGACGGTCCGACATGCTTTTTGCCTATCAATCCAGTTCTTATTCCATGATCTTTGAGAATATTCGGAAGTGACTTAATCCCATCAAAACTATTAAAATGGTTTTCATTATTATGCAATCCATACATGCCATTTTGATGTGTTGGTTGACCAGTCAAAATTGCAGCACGACTTGGCGAGCATGAACTTACAGATACGAATGCATTATTGAACAAAAGTGAGTGACGTGCAAGATCGTCGATATTTGGAGTTTGGACGATTTTGTTAAGATATGCACCGCTCTCGAATCCAGCATCGTCAGCTAATATATAAGAGATTTAGAAAAATTTGTTCGATATTTAAGGAAGTTTCAAGGGGCTCATATACACGTAAAATGGGTTAAAATGGGCAAAAATTAATTCTTTTTCATGATATTTGATCATGGAAACCCATTTTACATGAAAAAAAGCCATTCGGGATGTTTAAAGTTTTTATACCATACAATCAAGGCGTGGAAACTCAGGATTAATCCTGAAAAATCCTTAAAAATCCCTGAGCCAATAAACAAAAAAATGTGAAATTCCTGAAGCATTTGATGATTAATTTTGGGATTTAAGAAGGATTTTACATTTTCATGTTTATTGGATCAGGGATTTTATTAGGAATTTTGGGATTTTTCAGGATTAATCCTGAGTTTCCACGCCTTGCATACTCATGTAAAAAATAATCAAAGTTGTCACCTATCAAAAGCAAAAATCTATACCAAGCATTACCTTTGGAAAGGCATCAAAATTAAGCTTCGTCAAGGCCTGCCTAGCCAAAGGCACTGCCTAGAAAGGACAAAGACAAGAGCTACTATGCCCTGGTCAAGCATCTTTCCAAAGGTTAAGTCTCAAAAAATTTCTTTAAACTGATCTTGAATAATTTAAAATATTAACGAAAATTGAAAAAACGTAGTAGGGTAAACCATGTTGAAATTTGTGCGCTCAAATAAAATGTAAAACATCAAAACTAAACCATTTATAGTAAAAATTTGTATGCAGTTCTTTGTAAAACAATTGCTCAAACATTTCTATTTCATTTTGGATTGTCTTGAACGTTCTTCCAGCTTTAAATTTCAATTATTCAAAGTCCCATACAAAATGAAAGTTCTCATCTTTTTAATTCTTTGGACACAACTAATGATTCTTCTTACCTAATCAGAGTTAAAAAACTTATTTTCTTTATTGCTTTATCGTTTAAAAAAGTTTTTGTTTAAGAAAAGTCATTGGAAGTGCTTTAAAAATTGATTTAAAAATCAGTTGTTTTCAAATTTTGAAATTTGTGTGAAATTTTTTGACAAATTTTAAAATTTGTGTGCTGCACTATGGGGCAAAATGAAAAAAAATCGATGATTCAAAATTTTTTTTGACTTTTTCGAGTTACGATCTCTGGGTGATTTTTTCTTATAAAGGACATAAAAACTGGATTATGTTCCAAATTTCAGGTCATTTGTTGCTGTTTTTGCGATTCTGTAGCTGTTTGAAGTTGGAAAATGACGAAAATTTGAATTTTTTCATGCATTACTTAAACTGCAATTTCTCTACAATGGCTAAAGATATTGAAAAAAGGTTTTCAGTTCCTAATAGAAACATATAAGAGCTTTATTTTGATGTAGCACAAAGTTTGGAAATATGTAGTTGTGGTTCCGATATAGTACAAAGTATATAAAAATCCTATGAAAAATATCTTTAAACGTGCCGCAACTGTCCAAAACGGCCATTTTCCCCCCCATAAACCATATATCAGTGCAAAGTTCTTGTTTTCTAGTTTTCAAAACAGTAATAACATTGTAATTTTGTAGAGGACTAGAAAAGTTATCGCGGTTTAAGTGAGACGACAAATATTTTGCCAAAATTAAAATTTTCTCATAACTGTATAGAAAAAATAACCACAGATAAGGTTTCTTCTGTTTTTCAATGCCAAATGTTATTTAAAGATGACCTGCGAAGAAATTTTTTCAAAAAGTTCAAAATTTGTCGATATATAGGGTACTTTTGATATCTGACGACTTGTATGTTTTTTTCATCACTCAAACCACTAGTACTCTCAGAAAATTAAATATTTTTGAATTTTGTTTTCAGTTTATTGTAGCTTAAATTAGTACCTTTCTAATGATGTATAATACTTGATAGTTGACTTTGAACTTGATCATGAATATGAGGCTTGTTTGTGAGCGACCCTAAACTAGAAAAAATCTCAAAAATTTCATTTCTAGAAATACCACTTGGAAACAAAATTATGTATTGAGTTTTGGTTTTTTATGTAATTTTATGATAATTATGACTAAAAACACTCAAAAAATTGTATTTTATAAACTTTTGGATATCTCAGGTAGCTTGTTTAAGTACGATCCTAGTAGTCTTTATTGGGTCAAAAATTCCCAAGTATTACACTATTTCTTGGATGCTTATCGGTTGATATTTCATATTTATACAGATTTTAAGCAAAATAAGTCAGTTTAAAATATTTTTGTTTGATAAATTTTGGTTTTTGACTATTTTGTTGAAGTTCAGCTTGCGTCGGTCACATTCAATTTACTCCAGAAGCAGATTTAATGATTTTTCATACAAGTATTATACATCATTTTAAAGGTATTGATCTAAACTAGCAACAACCGAAAACAGAATGTAAAAATAGTTTTCCTGAAAAAGGTTACAGCTCTTTATGTCCATCTAAAAGCCTACAAAAGCGCAACCAAAATAGGTAAATTTACAAAAATTGAAAATTCGATGACTACTATTAAAGCAAATTGTTAGAAAAAGGTTAAATATATTAAAGGAAATAATAATAGAATAAATTTTGCCAAAATAAGTGTGAAATTATAAATTTTTGTAAATTTACCTATGCTGGTTGCACTTTTGTAGGCTTTTTGATGGACATAAAGAGCTCTAACCTTTTTCAGGATACATATTTTTACATTCTGTTTTCGGTTATTGCTAGTTTAGATCAATACCTTTAAAATGATGTATAATACTTGTATGAAAAATCATTAAATCTGCTTCTGGAGTAAATTGAATGTGACCGACGCAAGCTGAACTTCAACAAAATAGTCAAAAACCAAAATTTATCAAACAAAAATATTTTAAACTGACTTATTTTGCTTAAAATCTGTATAAATATGAAATATCAACCGATAAGCATCCAAGAAATAGTGTAATACTTGGGAATTTTTGACCCAATAAAGACTACTAGGATCGTACTTAAACAAGCTACCTGAGATATCCAAAAGTTTATAAAATACAATTTTTTGAGTGTTTTTAGTCATAATTATCATAAAATTACATAAAAAACCAAAACTCAATACATAATTTTGTTTCCAAGTGGTATTTCTAGAAATGAAATTTTTGAGATTTTTTCTAGTTTAGGGTCGCTCACAAACAAGCCTCATATTCATGATCAAGTTCAAAGTCAACTATCAAGTATTATACATCATTAGAAAGGTACTAATTTAAGCTACAATAAACTGAAAACAAAATTCAAAAATATTTAATTTTCTGAGAGTACTAGTGGTTTGAGTGATGAAAAAAACATACAAGTCGTCAGATATCAAAAGTACCCTATATATCGACAAATTTTGAACTTTTTGAAAAAATTTCTTCGCAGGTCATCTTTAAATAACATTTGGCATTGAAAAACAGAAGAAACCTTATCTGTGGTTATTTTTTCTATACAGTTATGAGAAAATTTTAATTTTGGCAAAATATTTGTCGTCTCACTTAAACCGCGATAACTTTTCTAGTCCTCTACAAAATTACAATGTTATTACTGTTTTGAAAACTAGAAAACAAGAACTTTGCACTGATATATGGTTTATGGGGGGGAAAATGGCCGTTTTGGACAGTTGCGGCACGTTTAAAGATATTTTTCATAGGATTTTTATATACTTTGTACTATATCGGAACCACAACTACATATTTCCAAACTTTGTGCTACATCAAAATAAAGCTCTTATATGTTTCTATTAGGAACTGAAAACCTTTTTTCAATATCTTTAGCCATTGTAGAGAAATTGCAGTTTAAGTAATGCATGAAAAAATTCAAATTTTCGTCCTTTTCCAACTTCAAACAGCTACAGAATCGCAAAAACAGCAACAAATGACCTGAAATTTGGAACATAATCCAGTTTTTATGTCCTTTATAAGAAAAAATCACCCAGAGATCGTAACTCGAAAAAGTCAAAAAAAATTTTGAATCATCGATTTTTTTTCATTTTGCCCCATAGTGTGCTGAATGAAGAGACAAAATAACGTAAAGAATATAAAGTAAGATCCAGGCATGCTTGATGAAGTCAAGTTATATAAATGTAAGCAGCAAGGCACAGAAGATAAAAAATCACGAATTGGATTTCGTATGAGTCAAAAAGCATGGAACCATTGGTTGTTGTCACCTTTATTAAAGAAATGATTGGATCTGAAAGATCCAGTTGCAAGATTCTGGCCGAAAAAGGATCAACTGCATTTTTACTTATGAGGAACTGCAACTGAAAACTGGTGATTTGAAAAATATTTTGAGAAATTGCATACAAAAAAAAAATCCCCAAAAAAATCCCTTCACAAAAATGATTTAAATCAAAATTCCCAAAAAAATCCCTTTGAAAAATGATCTAAATCAAAATCCAAAAAAAATCTTTGTGCAAAAATGATTTAAATCAAAATCCCAAAAAAATCCCTTTGCAAAAATGATTTAAATCAAAATCGAGAAAAAAATCACTTGGGTAAAATGATTTAAATCAAAATCCCTTTTTAAAATCATTGCAAAAAGATTTTGATTTTGATTTTTGATTTAAATCACCCACCCTGCTAGTAATACCAAATTATTTTTAAAAAAAGAGCACAGAAATCATTTGTATTTGTACCAGCTAGGGAATACAATCTGATAACAAAATTCATTCATGATAACAAGCTTAATAATAATAATTATATTAATAATGTAATAAAATTTTATATGAAATAAAGCCAAAATGGCGCTTAAAAGAAAAAAAATTCTGAATTGAAATATGCGAATGCTTGCTGTCAAAAAAACGCACAAATTTCAACATTTTTTCGCACAAATTTTAAAATTTTCCGCACAAATTTCAACATTTGATCAAAAATGTCTGATTTCTCTTCCTATAAGCAGCATAACCATAAAAAAGTATTGAAAAATGAAAATTCCAACAATTTATGATCATTTAAGCCGACAAAAATTTTTAAATGAATGCATTAAAAAGTTATAAACAAATGAAATCTTCAAGTGCAAAAACACACAAATTTCAACATGATTTACCCTAAATATAATTAACATATTGTAATGTAATTCCACATTTAAAAAGTGTTTGAATGACCAGCTACTAATTAGCAATCGTGACAGAACTTTCAATTTTTTGTAAAAATTTAATTAAATTAATTTTTTGATTTTTCAATTAAGAAAACAAAGAGAATTATTTAATTTACCTAGGAGAAATAGCACACTCGGCTTTTTCGGTTTGTCAGATAAAATTGGTGTCAAGAGACTTAAAAAGATCACGACAATTGTGAATGAGTTTTTGAATTTCATTTTCGAAGAACTTAGACTGTAATATGTTGATGTTCTCTAAGTTTAATGAACTTAAATAAAAACTTGATTAAAATTTTAAACTAAATTGATTTTTATATTTTTTGTTACTCCAAGAACTTAGTTTAGAGGTTCATTAGAACTTAAAATGTTCACAAATTAAACAAGTTCTTTAAAAACACTTATTTTAGAAATTTAAATTAAAAATATTTATTATTTGCTTTCCAATTTCAACTCTTTTGATCTGTTTACTCTCAATTCTTTATTGATCATTTCTCTCATTTTTTCTCTTCTTATTCCATTGTATTACCAAGTACCTTTTAAGAAATTGTATTGAATTATTTTAAAATACATTTCTTGACATAAAAACCATTTCATAGTACAAGTTGTTGGCTCGTTAAAAACCGTAAATCATGATTTTTAAAACCAATTTATTTCAAAGTTAAGCATGTTCAAGATTGTTGAAAAAAAAGAAATTCACCCGTTGCAATGGTTTATCCCAAGCGGGAATCAAACCTCGCACCTATCGATTGCCGGTCATGTGATCAGACCACTAAGGTATTGGGCTTTGCCATTGGAACTGGCAATTTGCCAATAAATTTGAACCATTCTTTTTCAACTTTCTGTTCTAGAGCTTATAACCTTAGTGTCTCATCTATTTCTAGTGTCTCGGCAACCGAGAGGTGCAAGGTTTGATTCCCGCTTGAGATGAACCTTTCCCAAATAGCACAAGTCAAATAATTGATAAGAAACCCTGCATCCAGTCGGCATGACTCTGGTATGGTGCTAGCTTTGATTTAAATCCAGCATCATGTCAGAATTACACTGGCTTGGTGCCGGATTTCTTATCGATTAACCAACTTGTTCCATTCGGGATTGGGTGAATTTCTTTTTTTCAACATTGTTTGATATTTGCGTGGAACAAGCAAATATCTTTTTCAACTTTAAAGTTCTTTGATTTAGTAGCTTAAGGGTGATCATCGATGTTGAACAAAAATTGGTTGGCTTTAATGCTTTTATTTCTATTGAATTCTAATGTTTAAATCTGATTTTTTGAAATGAATACCAACGATGAATAAAATCTTGTATATGAATTAATGCGACATGTAATCAAACTTCATAGATGAAAGATTCTTATAGCTAATACAGATACAAATGATTGTGACAACAAATTCCATCAAACTCAACAGTTTGTTTTGTACTCAATGAAAAAAAGTAAACAAAATCAACATTCGACGCAGCTATTTTCAATTATTGAGCGAATGCTGTCAGTTTTCGACACATCCAAAAGAAATAAAGTTTATCAAAATAAGAAATAGAAATTTTATACAAAATAAATAAAAAATAAATGAAATTAAAAATCAAAGAAAATCACGAAACATGACTGAATCAATTGAAGACTATCGGACATCTTGTAGATTTTGTCTGAAAACCAAATTCAAAACAATTTTATTAACACAATTTCACATTTTAAGTTATCAAGAACTGGCAGGTGAGGAACTAGATGAGAATGAGCAGCTTCCAATGACTATTTGCCTTGCCTGTAATCGTGAGATGAGAAAATTTCAAGAATATCGAACGAATTTAGTTGAAAATCAAAGGAAACTCAAAGAAATGTTAAGAAAAGATGAAAATTTAATAGTAATTGATTCGATGGCAGAAATTGTTCCTGAAATATTCAACAATGATGACGATGTTAGGTCATTGAATACTGACAGTACAATTAGTCAAAATGAGATAGAAATTTTAAACGATTCAGAGATTTTTACAACTGAAGTTTTACAAAATAATTCGGAACTGCACTCGAATGAAGTTCAAGTTCCTCAAATTGATATCAAAACAATTGAAATTCAAAAAACTATTCCCAAAATCATCAACGTCCCATCACAAAACAATCAAATGATCTCAAAATTATCACAAAAATCAACCAAAAAGAAAATTGTTTTGTTCCCTTCAGAATCAAAGTCTTCGAAACTCATATCGGAAATTTTCAGACGGAGTCAATTGGAAAAGGCAAAAAGATATTCGAATAGGCAGCTTAATGAACTTACTTAAACCATTTTATTGACTAACAAAATAGATTTAAGGATTAAATTGTATTTACATACAAATAGTTTGTTTGCATCAAAAAATTTCATTGTATTTTAATATTAATTTTTCATTCATAAGTTATTTAAATGATTAAAATTAAATAAAAATCAGCTTTAGAAATTTCTTTTTTAATTATGTTGGTCCAGTTACGATGCCAAAAGTTTGTCAAGTTGAGACTTGAAGTTTATTCAGCTTTTTGGTTAAATCTAATGATTTCTATCGTAGAATTTGCTATAAATCTCCCTCTGGTAAAGTTAATTTGTTTTCTAATGTTCAGATATTTTCCCGAGCGACAATTTAAGGCGATAGCAGCTGTGCAACTGCTTTTAAATAGCCTTGCCTTGAACAAATCGATTGAAAAGCACTTTTTTATACTATCTCGACATATGACTGCAACACCACATGTTTTTTGTTTTTCTGTCTTGCTAAGACAGTCACAAGTTTGTTAACGACTGCTACCGATTTCAGCAATGCTGCATACTTCACAAGTGCTATCAGAAATCACTAATATAAGTCCAAGAAATGTTTCCATGTATTTCAAAAGATACTTACTTACTTCTTTGGCCGTACAGATCAATTGTGATCTATGGCCTCCCTAAGATGGCACCAGAAGCTGGCTCTATCGCATGCTACCGCTTGCAAATTACTTTAGATATTTTAAAATAATTGATTTTGTAGCATGACACATTAACTGATGTTAAGACAGCCTTGCTCGTGGATGAAATATGGAGGTCAGGAGTTGCCATCAAGGCAACATGCATGCATAATGCTGATTCGAATGACTGCAATAAGGCTATTGAATGTCGCTAGGGTATATTTAAATCACACATTATATCTCTTAAATTAAAATAAAACTTCTTTAAAAATTATTTTAAAACTGAATTAGATTATCTAAAATTGAGAATTACCTGATTTGCACAAGATGCAAGAATAATGTTGAAATGATAGTCAAATTTTTTTATTTTAAATTTTTTAAATTAATTAAAAAATTATCAAAATAAAAAAAAACAAATAACCAATTCAAAAAATGGATAAAATTACTTAAAAATCTTGTCAGTTTTTTGATAAAATTTTTTTTAAAACTCTAAAACTCCAAATATTAAAAATTGCGAATTTTTTGACCCTTTTAGAAATATTTGAAATTTTTTTAAAACCATGTTAGTGAATAAAGAATTAATGAAAACAATAATTAACAACTGCTTGTATTTTTGTACCAAAACTTAGAAAATCTTTAAAGGAACTTTAATTAGAGAGTTGGAAACCGGTTAAAATGCAAACCGGACTCTAATAAATCTGCAATTTAAATTTCTAATAAAGTCTGTTTTTTTTAAATTGAAACCAAATAGTTTTAATTACGCTGCTGCAAACATTTTAGCTAAACTTTTTAAAGATTATTAATAGTTTGTGAATAAATTCAAAATTGTTTAGTTGATTAAAATTTTTATTGAATTTAAATTGAAAAAAATCATAACAGAAACAGAAACAAAACAAGAATAATTAACAATTTTCAGACAAAATTAATAGTATCAATATTCAAACAGTGCATTATAATTAAAGGTGCATCAAAACAAATGTTTATTGGTTACAAAGAATTTTGAAATTTGCACAATTTCAAGATATTTAAACTTTCAATCTTTTCAGCAAAACTCTTGATTTCTAGCTTAGACCATCTGTTTTAAATTTCATTACTAGTTTAGTCATCTACTGTTAAAATTATGAAAAGCTCATTAATTAAGAGATAGTTAAAAATCAACTCGATATTCCGAAATGCCAAAATTCTATTGATACCAATTTAAAATAGAGAAAATATGAGGTTACAATATTGAAAAAAGAATAATAACAAGTAAATTAAATAAAATATCCAGCATGTGAACGACCCTAAAATTAAACAGTTATATCGAATTTATTATCGATTGCCTTAATTTCCTTTTAAAAAATCTCACACTAGAAAGTCTCTTAAACTTTGATTTTTAAACTTTTAATAGTTGGCTTCACATGATTTTCTTTAAAACCCAACCAAACCAACTATTTACAAACGACGAAATAATTTAGAGTTTATGAATTTAATACAATGGTGGACAACCTTTTTTGTGCCATGGAACAGGCATGGGTTGCCAATCATTGATCTATTTAATTGAAGCCACCTTCACTTACTGGATTAAAAAATATTAAAAAATTTAAGGATATTTAAGAAAAAAACAACCTAGTCGTCAAAAAGATTTGAGTTCAAGGCATGCATTCCAATATTTCCTTCGCCAGTACTTGAACTAATTGAATGATCAGAACTTTCGTCTGAGTAACATTCAGCATCACCTTCCTCCATCGATATAACATTCTCGAGGCTACTATAATCATACTCATAGAAATATTCACACTCAGCACTTCCACTTGCATCACTGTATACAAGGTAATAATCAGAATCTAAGGAATTAGGATTAAATATGTATTTTCCAGATGAAGAGCTTGATAAAATTCCAGATGTCAAAGAGTCAGATGAATGTTCACTTGATGAAACAAAAGAACTAGGAGTTTTTGATGATAAACTAGAAGACGAATCAGATGACGGAATAGAAGATCCAGATGGAATTTCACTTGAAGTACTTGATTCCAAAGAAGTAATGGAATCTGATGGAACAAAGGAGGTTGAGCTGTAGAATTCTGATGGTGATGACGAGCTTGAGCTGTAAGACTCTGATGTAGGTGATGAGCTTAGACTATGAGTGCTGGATGAGATAGATGCCATCTCACTTGTAGAACTAGCTTCAGTCAAACTGGACGAACTTGTTTGAGCAGATGAGAAAGAGCTATATGATCCTGATGAAATGGTCGAACTTAAGCTAGAATATTCTGATGGAACAGTTGAGCTTGAGCTAGAAGATCCTGATGAAACTGAAGAGCTTAAGCTAAAAGATCCTGATGGAACAGTTGAACTTGAGCTAGAAGATCCTGATGAAGCAGTCGAGCTAGAACTGAACGAGCCTGATGGTGATGAAGAGCTTGAGCTAGAAGATGCTGATGGATCAGTCGAGCTAGAACTGAAGGAGCCTGATGGTGCTGAAGAGCTTGAGCTAGAAGATCCTGATGGAACAGTTGAACTTGAGCTAAAAGATCCTGATGAAACAGTTGAACTTGAGCTAGAAGATCCTAATGGAACAGTTGAACTTGAGCTAGAAGATCCTGATGGAGCAGTCGAGCTAGAGCTTAAAGAGCCTGATGGTGCTGAAGAGCTTGAGGAATAATCAATTGATGAGCTGGATGCGATTTCACTTGACGAGCTTGATTCCGTTGAGCTATAAGATCCTGAAGGTACTGAGGAGCTTGAACTATAAGATTCTGATGAAACAGTTGAACTTGAGCTAGAAGATCCTGATGGAACTAAAGAGCTTGAACTGTAAGATCCTGATGAAACAGTTGAACTTGAGCTAGAAGATCCTAATGGAACAGTTGAACTTGAGCTAGAAGATCCTGATGGAGCAGTCGAGCTAGAGCTTAAAGAGCCTGATGGTGCTGAAGAGCTTGAGGAATAATCAATTGATGAGCTGGATGCGATTTCACTTGACGAGCTTGATTCCGTTGAGCTATAAGATCCTGAAGGTACTGAGGAGCTTGAACTATAAGATTCTGATGAAACAGTTGAACTTGAGCTAGAAGATCCTGATGGAACACTTGAACTTGAGCTAGAAGATGCTGATGGAGCAGTCAAGCTAGAACTGAACGAGCCTAATGTTGCTGAAGAGCTTGAGCTAGAAGATGCTGATGGAGCAGTCGAGCTAGAGCTGAACGAGCCTGATGGTGCAGAAGAGCTTGAGCTAGAAGATGCTGATGGAGCAGTCGAGCTAGAACTGAACGATCCTGATGGTGCTGAAGAGCTTGAGGAATAATCAATTGAAGAGCTGGATGCGATTTCACTTGACGAGCTTGATTCCGTTGAGCTATAAGATCCTGAAGGTACTGAGGAGCTTGAACTATAAGATCCTGATGGAACAGTTGAACTTGAGCTAGAAAATCCTGATGGAACAGTTGAACTTGAGCTAGAAGATCCTGATGGAACATTTGAACTTGAGCTAGAAGATTCTGATGGAGCAGTCAAGCTAGAACTGAACGAGCCTGATGGAACAGTTGAACTTGAGCTAGAAGATCCTGATGGAGCAGTCGAGCTAGAACTGAACGAGCCTGATGGTGCTGAAGAGCTTGAGCTAGAAGATGCTGATGGAGCAGTCGAGCTAGAACTGAACGAGCCTGATGGTGCTGAAGAGCTTGAGGAATAATCAATTGAGGAGCTGGATGCGATTTCGCTTGACGAGCTTGATTCCGTTGAGCTATAAGATCCTGAAGGTACTGAGGAGCTTGAACTATAAGATCCTGATGGAACAGTTGAACTTGAGCTAGAAGATCCTGATGAAACAGTTGAACTTGAGCTAGAAGATCCTGATGGAACTAAAGAGCTTGAACTGTAAGATCCTGATGGAACAGTTGAACTTGAGCTAGAAGAGTCTGATGGAACTAAAGAGCTTGAACTGTAAGATCCTGATGGAACAGTTGAACTTGAGCTAGAAGATCCTGATGGAACAGTTAAACTTGAGCTAGAAGATTCCGATGGAACTGAAGAGCTTGAACTGTATGATCCTGATGGAACAGTTGAACTTGAGCTAGAAGTTCCTGATGGAACAGTTGAGCTTGAGCTAGAAGATCCTGATGGAACAGTTGAACTTGAGCTAGAAGATCCTGATGGAACTAAAGAGCTTGAACTGTAAGATCCTGATGGAACAGTTGAACTTGAGCTAGAAGATCCTGATGGAACAGTTAAACTTGAGCTCAAAGATTCCGATGGAACTGAAGAGCTTGAACTGTATGATCCTGATGGAACAGTTGAACTTGAGCTAGAAGATCCTGATGGAGCAGTCGAGCTAGAACTAAACGAGTCTGATGGTGCTGAAGAGCTTGAGGAATAATCAATTGATGAGCTGGATGCGATTTCGCTTGACGAGCTTGATTCCGTTGAGGTATAAGATCCTGAAGGTACTGAGGAGCTTGAACTATAAGATCCTGATGAAGCAGTTGAACTTGAGCTTGAAGATCCTGATGGAACTAAAGAGCTTGAACTGTAAGATCCTGATGAAACAGTTGAACTTGAGCTAGAAGATCCTGATGGAACAGGTAAACTTGAGCTAGAAGATCCTGATGGAACAGTTGAACTTGAGCTAGAAGATCCTGATGAAACAGTTGAACTTGAGCTAGAAGATCCTGATGGAACTAAAGAGCTTGAACTGTAAGATCCTGATGGAACAGTTGAACTTGAGCTAGAAGATCCTGATGGAACAGTTAAACTTGAGCTAGAAGATTCCGATGGAACTAAAGAGCTTGAACTGTATGATCCTGATGGAACAGTTGAACTTGAGCTAGAAGATCCTGATGGAGCAGTCGAGCTAGAAGTGAACGAGTCTGATGGTGCTGAAGAGCTTGAGCTAGAAGATGCTGATGGATCAGTCGAGCTAGAACTGAACGAGCCTGATGGTGCTGAAGAGCTTGAGGAATAATCAATTGATGAGCTGGATGCGATTTCGCTTGAAGAGCTTGATTCCGTTGAGCTATATGATCCTGAAGGTACTGAGGAGCTTGAACTATAAGATCCTGATGAAACAGTTGAACTTGAGCTAGAAGATCCTGATGGAACTAAAGAGCTTGAACTGTAAGATCCTGATGGAACAGTTGAACTTGAGCTAGAAGATTCTGATGGAACAGTTGAACTTGAGCTAGAAGATCCTGATGTTACAGTTGAACTTGAGCTAGAAGATCCTGATGAAGCAGTCGAGCTAGAACTGAACGAGCTTGATGGTGCTAAAGAGCTTGAGGAATAATCAATTGATGAGCTGGATGCGATTTCGCTTGAAGAGCTTGATTCCGTTGAGCTATATGATCCTGAAGGTACTGAGGAGCTTGAACTATAAGATCCTGATGAAACAGTTGAACTTGAGCTAGAAGAGTCTGATGGAACTAAAGAGCTTGAACTGTAAGATCCTGATGGAACAGTTGAACTTGAGCTAGAAGATCCTGATGGAACAGTTAAACTTGAGCTCAAAGATTCCGATGGAACTGAAGAGCTTGAACTGTATGATCCTGATGGAACAGTTGAACTTGAGCTAGAAGATCCTGATGGAACAGTTGAACTAGAGCTAGAAGATCCTGATGGAACAGTTGAACTTGAGCTAGAAGATCCTGATGGAACAGTTAAACTTGAGCTCAAAGATTCCGATGGAACTGAAGAGCTTGAACTGTATGATCCTGATGGAACAGTTGAACTTGAGCTAGAAGATCCTGATGGAGCAGTCGAGCTAGAACTAAACGAGTCTGATGGTGCTGAAGAGCTTGAGGAATAATCAATTGATGAGCTGGATGCGATTTCGCTTGACGAGCTTGATTCCGTTGAGGTATAAGATCCTGAAGGTACTGAGGAGCTTGAACTATAAGATCCTGATGAAGCAGTTGAACTTGAGCTTGAAGATCCTGATGGAACTAAAGAGCTTGAACTGTAAGATCCTGATGAAACAGTTGAACTTGAGCTAGAAGATCCTGATGGAACAGGTAAACTTGAGCTAGAAGATTCCGATGGAACTGAAGAGCTTGAACTGTATGATCCTGATGGAACAGCTGAACTTGAGCTAGAAGATCCTGATGGAGCAGTCGAGCTAGAACTAAACGAGTCTGATGGTGCTGAAGAGCTTGAGGAATAATCAATTGATGAGCTGGATGCGATTTCGCTTGAAGAGCTTGATTCCGTTGAGCTATATGATCCTGAAGGTACTGAGGAGCTTGAACTATAAGATCCTGATGAAACAGTTGAACTTGAGCTAGAAGATCCTGATGGAACTAAAGAGCTTGAACTGTAAGATCCTGATGGAACAGTTGAACTTGAACTAGAAGATCCTGATGGAACAGTTGAACTTGAGCTAGAAGATCCTGATGGAACAGTTGAACTTGAGCTAGAAGATCCTGATGAAGCAGTCGAGCTAGAACTGAACGAGCTTGATGGTGCTAAAGAGCTTGAGGAATAATCAATAGATGAGCTGGATGCGATTTCGCTTGACGAGCTTGATTCCGTTGAGCTATATGATCCTGAAGGTACTAAGGAGCTTGAACTATAAGATCCTGATGAAGCAGTTGAACTTGAGCTAGAAGATCCTGATGGAGTAGTCGAGCTAGAACTGAACGAGCTTGATGGTGCTGAAGAGCTTGAGGAATAATCAGTAGATGAGCTGGATGCGATTTCGCTTGACGAGCTTGATTCCGTTGAGCTATATGATCCTGAAGGTACTGAGGAGCTTGAACTATAAGATCCTGATGAAGCAGTTGAACTTGAGCTAGAAGATCCTGATGGAGTAGTCGAACTAGAACTGAACGAGCTTGATGGTGCTGAAGAGCTTGAGGAATAATCAGTAGATGAGCTGGATGCGATTTCGCTTGAAGAGCTTGATTCCGTTGAGCTATATGATCCTGAAGGTACTGAGGAGCTTGAACTATAAGATCCTGATGAAGCAGTTGAACTTGAGCTAGAAGATCCTGATGGAACTAAAGAGCTTGAACTGTAAGATCCTGATGGAACAGTTGAACTTGAGCTAGAAGATCCTGATGGAACAGTTAAACTTGAGCTAGAAGATTCCGATGGAACTAAAGAGCTTGAACTGTAAGATCCTGATGGAACAGTTGAACTTGAGCTAGAAGATCCTGATGGATCAGTCGAGCTAGAACTGAACGAGCCTGATTGTGCTGAAGAGCTTGAGGAATAATCAATTGATGAGCTGGATGCGATTTCGCTTGAAGAGCTTGATTCCGTTGAGCTATATGATCCTGAAGGTACTGAGGAGCTTGAACTATAAGATCCTGATGAAACAGTTGAACTTGAGCTAGAAGATCCTGATGGAACTAAAGAGCTTGAACTGTAAGATCCTGATGGAACAGTTAAACTTGAGCTAGAAGATCCTGATGGAACAGTTGCACTTGAGCTAGAAGATCCTGATGGAACAGTTGAACTTGAGCTAGAGGATCCTGATGAAGCAGTCGAGCTAGAACTGAACGAGCTTGATGGTGCTGAAGAGCTTGAGGAATAATCAGTAGATGAGCTGGATGCGATTTCGCTTGACGAGCTTGATTCCGTTGAGCTATATGATCCTGAAGGTACTGAGGAGCTTGAACTATAAGATCCTGATGAAGCAGTTGAACTTGAGCTAGAAGATCCTGATGGAGTAGTCGAGCTAGAACTGAACGAGCTTGATGGTGCTGAAGAGCTTGAGGAATAATCAGTAGATGAGCTGGATGCGATTTCGCTTGACGAGCTTGATTCCGTTGAGCTATATGATCCTGAAGGTACTGAGGAGCTTGAACTATAAGATCCTGATGAAGCAGTTGAACTTGAGCTAGAAGATCCTGATGGAACTAAAGAGCTTGAACTGTAAGATCCTGATGGAACAGTTGAACTTGAGCTAGAAGATCCTGATGGAACAGTTAAACTTGAGCTAGAAGATTCCGATGGAACTAAAGAGCTTGAACTGTAAGATCCTGATGGAACAGTTGAACTTGAGCTAGAAGATCCTGATGGATCAGTCGAGCTAGAACTGAACGAGCCTGATGGTGCTGAAGAGCTTGAGGAATAATCAATTGATGAGCTGGATGCGATTTCGCTTGAAGAGCTTGATTCCGTTGAGCTATATGATCCTGAAGGTACTGAGGAGCTTGAACTATAAGATCCTGATGAAACAGTTGAACTTGAGCTAGAAGATCCTGATGGAACTAAAGAGCTTGAACTGTAAGATCCTGATGGAACAGTTGAACTTGAGCTAGAAGATCCTGATGGAACAGTTAAACTTGAGCTAGAAGATTCCGATGGAACTAAAGAGCTTGAACTGTATGATCCTGATGGAACAGTTGAACTTGAGCTAGAAGATCCTGATGGAGCAGTCGAGCTAGAAGTGAACGAGTCTGATGGTGCTGAAGAGCTTGAGCTAGAAGATGCTGATGGATCAGTCGAGCTAGAACTGAACGAGCCTGATGGTGCTGAAGAGCTTGAGGAATAATCAATTGATGAGCTGGATGCGATTTCGCTTGAAGAGCTTGATTCCGTTGAGCTATATGATCCTGAAGGTACTGAGGAGCTTGAACTATAAGATCCTGATGAAACAGTTGAACTTGAGCTAGAAGATCCTGATGGAACTAAAGAGCTTGAACTGTAAGATCCTGATGGAACAGTTGAACTTGAGCTAGAAGATCCTGATGGAACAGTTGAACTTGAGCTAGAAGATCCTGATGGAACAGTTGAACTTGAGCTAGAAGATCCTGATGAAGCAGTCGAGCTAGAACTGAACGAGCTTGATGGTGCTAAAGAGCTTGAGGAATAATCAATAGATGAGCTGGATGCGATTTCGCTTGACGAGCTTGATTCCGTTGAGCTATATGATCCTGAAGGTACTGAGGAGCTTGAACTATAAGATCCTGATGAAACAGTTGAACTTGAGCTAGAAGATCCTGATGGAACTAAAGAGCTTAAACTGTAAGTTCCTGATGGAATAGTTGAACTTGAGCTAGAAGATCCTGATGGAACAGTTAAACTTGAGCTAGAAAATCCTGATGGAACAGTTGAACTTGAGCTAGAAGATCCTGATGGAGCAGTCGAGCTAGAACTGAAAGAGCCCGATGGTTCTGAAGAGCTTAAGGAATATTCAATTGATGAGCTGGATGCGATTTCGCTTGACGAGCTTGATTCCGTTGAGCTATAAGATCCTGATGGTACTGAGGAGCTTGAACTATAAGATCCTGATGAAACAGTTGAACTTGAGCTAGAAGATCCTGATGGAACTAAAGAGCTTGAACTGTAAGATCCTGATGGAACAGTTGAACTTGAGCTAGAAGATCCTGATGGAACAGTTGAACTTGAGCTAGAAGATCCTGATGGAACAGTTGAACTTGAGCTAGAAGATCCTGATGAAGCAGTCGAGCTAGAACTGAACGAGCTTGATGGTGCTAAAGAGCTTGAGGAATAATCAATTGATGAGCTGGATGCGATTTCGCTTGACGAGCTTGATTCCGTTGAGGTATAAGATCCTGAAGGTACTGAGGAGCTTGAACTATAAGATCCTGATGAAACAGTTAAACTTGAGCTAGAAGATCCTGATGGAACTAAAGAGCTTAAACTGTAAGTTCCTGATGGAACAGTTGAACTTGAGCTAGAAGATCCTGATGGAACAGTTAAACTTGAGCTAGAAGATCCTGATGAAACAGTTGAACTTGAGCTAGAAGATCCTGATGGAACTAAAGAGCTTAAACTGTAAGTTCCTGATGGAACAGTTGAACTTGAGCTAGAAGATCCTGATGGAACAGTTGAACTTGAGCTAGAAGATCCTGATGGAGCAGTCGAGCTAGAACTGAAAGAGCCCGATGGTTCTGAAGAGCTTAAGGAATATTCAATTGATGAGCTGGATGCGATTTCGCTTGACGAGCTTGATTCCGTTGAGCTATAAGATCCTGATGGTACTGAGGAGCTTGAACTATAAGATCCTGATGAAACAGTTGAACTTGAGCTAGAAGATCCTGATGGAACTAAAGAGCTTGAACTGTAAGATCCTGATGGAACAGTTGAACTTGAGCTAGAAGAGTCTGATGGAACTAAAGAGCTTGAACTGTAAGATCCTGATGGAACAGTTGAACTTGAGCTAGAAGATCCTGATGGAACAGTTGAACTTGAGCTAGAAGATCCTGATGGAACAGTTGAACTTGAGCTAGAAGATCCTGATGAAGCAGTCGAGCTAGAACTGAACGAGCTTGATGGTGCTAAAGAGCTTGAGGAATAATCAATAGATGAGCTGGATGCGATTTCGCTTGACGAGCTTGATTCCGTTGAGCTATATGATTCTGAAGGTACTGAGGAGCTTGAACTATAAGATCCTGATGAAACAGTTGAACTTGAGCTAGAAGATCCTGATGGAACTAAAGAGCTTGAACTGTAAGATCCTGATGGAACAGTTGAACTTGAGCTAGAAGATCCTGATGGAACAGTTGAACTTGAGCTAGAAGATCCTGATGGAACTAAAGAGCTTGAACTGTAAGATCCTGATGAAACAGTTGAACTTGAGCTAGAAGATCCTGATGGAACAGGTAAACTTGAGCTAGAAGATCCTGATGGAACTAAAGAGCTTGAACTGTAAGATCCTGATGAAGCAGTTGAACTTGAGCTAGAAGATCCTGATGGAACAGTTAAACTTGAGCTAGAAGATTCCGATGGAACTAAAGAGCTTGAACTGTATGATCCTGATGGAACAGTTGAACTTGAGCTAGAAGATCCTGATGGAGCAGTCGAGCTAGAAGTGAACGAGTCTGATGGTGCTGAAGAGCTTGAGCTAGAAGATGCTGATGGATCAGTCGAGCTAGAACTGAACGAGCCTGATGGTGCTGAAGAGCTTGAGGAATAATCAATTGATGAGCTGGATGCGATTTCGCTTGAAGAGCTTGATTCCGTTGAGCTATATGATCCTGAAGGTACTGAGGAGCTTGAACTATAAGATCCTGATGAAACAGTTGAACTTGAGCTAGAAGATCCTGATGGAACTAAAGAGCTTGAACTGTAAGATCCTGATGGAACAGTTGAACTTGAGCTAGAAGATCCTGATGGAACAGTTGAACTTGAGCTAGAAGATCTTGATGGAACAGTTGAACTTGAGCTAGAAGATCCTGATGAAGCAGTCGAGCTAGAACTGAACGAGCTTGATGGTGCTAAAGAGCTTGAGGAATAATCAATAGATGAGCTGGATGCGATTTCGCTTGACGAGCTTGATTCCGTTGAGCTATATGATCCTGAAGGTACTAAGGAGCTTGAACTATAAGATCCTGATGAAGCAGTTGAACTTGAGCTAGAAGATCCTGATGGATCAGTCGAGCTAGAACTGAACGAGCCTGATGGTGCTGAAGAGCTTGAGGAATAATCAATTGATGAGCTGGATGCGATTTCGCTTGAAGAGCTTGATTCCGTTGAGCTATATGATCCTGAAGGTACTGAGGAGCTTGAACTATAAGATCCTGATGAAACAGTTGAACTTGAGCTAGAAGATCCTGATGGAACTAAAGAGCTTGAACTGTAAGATCCTGATGGAACAGTTGAACTTGAGCTAGAAGATCCTGATGGAACTAAAGAGCTTGAACTGTAAGATCCTGATGAAACAGTTGAACTTGAGCTAGAAGATCCTGATGGAACAGGTAAACTTGAGCTAGAAGATCCTGATGGAACTAAAGAGCTTGAACTGTAAGATCCTGATGGAACAGTTGAACTTGAGCTAGAAGATCCTGATGGAACAGTTAAACTTGAGCTAGAAGATTCCGATGGAACTAAAGAGCTTGAACTGTATGATCCTGATGGAACAGTTGAACTTGAGCTAGAAGATCCTGATGGAGCAGTCGAGCTAGAAGTGAACGAGTCTGATGGTGCTAAAGAGCTTGAGCTAGAAGATGCTGATGGATCAGTCGAGCTAGAACTGAACGAGCCTGATGGTGCTGAAGAGCTTGAGGAATAATCAGTAGATGAGCTGGATGCGATTTCGCTTGACGAGCTTGATTCCGTTGAGCTATATGATCCTGAAGGTACTAAGGAGCTTGAACTATAAGATCCTGATGAAGCAGTTGAACTTGAGCTAGAAGATCCTGATGGAGTAGTCGAGCTAGAACTGAACGAGCTTGATGGTGCTGAAGAGCTTGAGGAATAATCAGTAGATGAGCTGGATGCGATTTCGCTTGACGAGCTTGATTCCGTTGAGCTATATGATCCTGAAGGTACTGAGGAGCTTGAACTATAAGATCCTGATGAAGCAGTTGAACTTGAGCTAGAAGATCCTGATGGAGTAGTCGAGCTAGAACTGAACGAGCTTGATGGTGCTGAAGAGCTTGAGCTAGAAGATCCTGATGGAACAGTTAAACTTGAGCTAGAAGATTCCGATGGAACTAAAGAGCTTGAACTATAAGATCCTGATGAAGCAGTTGAACTTGAGCTAGAAGATCCTGATGGAGTAGTCGAGCTAGAACTGAACGAGCTTGATGGTGCTGAAGAGCTTGAGGAATAATCAATTGATGAGCTGGATGCGATTTCGCTTGAAGAGCTTGATTCCGTTGAGCTATATGATCCTGAAGGTACTGAGGAGCTTGAACTATAAGATCCTGATGAAACAGTTGAACTTGAGCTAGAAGATCCTGATGGAACTAAAGAGCTTGAACTGTAAGATCCTGATGGAACAGTTGAACTTGAGCTAGAAGATCCTGATGGAACAGTTGAACTTGAGCTAGAAGATCCTGATGGAACAGTTAAACTTGAGCTAGAAGATTCCGATGGAACTAAAGAGCTTGAACTGTATGATCCTGATGGAACAGTTGAACTTGAGCTAGAAGATCCTGATGGAGCAGTCGAGCTAGAAGTGAACGAGTCTGATGGTGCTGAAGAGCTTGAGCTAGAAGATGCTGATGGATCAGTCGAGCTAGAACTGAACGAGCCTGATGGTGCTGAAGAGCTTGAGGAATAATCAATTGATGAGCTGGATGCGATTTCGCTTGAAGAGCTTGATTCCGTTGAGCTATATGATCCTGAAGGTACTGAGGAGCTTGAACTATAAGATCCTGATGAAACAGTTGAACTTGAGCTAGAAGATCCTGATGGAACTAAAGAGCTTGAACTGTAAGATCCTGATGGAACAGTTGAACTTGAGCTAGAAGATCCTGATGGAACAGTTGAACTTGAGCTAGAAGATCCTGATGGAACAGTTGAACTTGAGCTAGAAGATCCTGATGGAGTAGTCGAGCTAGAACTGAACGAGCTTGATGGTGCTAAAGAGCTTGAGGAATAATCAATAGATGAGCTGGATGCGATTTCGCTTGACGAGCTTGATTCCGTTGAGCTATATGATCCTGAAGGTACTGAGGAGCTTGAACTATAAGATCCTGATGAAGCAGTTGAACTTGAGCTAGAAGATCCTGATGGAGTAGTCGAGCTAGAACTGAACGAGCTTGATGGTGCTGAAGAGCTTGAGGAATAATCAGTAGATGAGCTGGATGCGATTTCGCTTGACGAGCTTGATTCCGTTGAGGTATAAGATCCTGAAGGTACTGAGGAGCTTGAACTATAAGATCCTGATGAAGCAGTTGAACTTGAGCTAGAAGATCCTGATGGAACTAAAGAGCTTGAACTGTAAGATCCTGATGGAACAGTTGAACTTGAGCTAGAAGATCCTGATGGAACAGTTGAACTTGAGCTAGAAGATCCTGATGGAGCAGTCGAGCTAGAACTGAAAGAGCCCGATGGTTCTGAAGAGCTTAAGGAATATTCAATTGATGAGCTGGATGCGATTTCGCTTGACGAGCTTGATTCCGTTGAGCTATAAGATCCTGATGGTACTGAGGAGCTTGAACTATAAGATCCTGATGAAACAGTTGAACTTGAGCTAGAAGATCCTGATGGAACTAAAGAGCTTGAACTGTATGATCCTGATGGAACAGTTGAACTTGAGCTAGAAGATCCTGATGGAGCAGTCGAGCTAGAACTAAACGAGTCTGATGGTGCTGAAGAGCTTGAGGAATAATCAATTGATGAGCTGGATGCGATTTCGCTTGACGAACTTGATTCCGTTGAGGTATAAGATCCTGAAGGTACTGAGGAGCTTGAACTATAAGATCCTGATGAAGCAGTTGAACTTGAGCTTGAAGATCCTGATGGAACTAAAGAGCTTGAACTGTAAGATCCTGATGAAACAGTTGAACTTGAGCTAGAAGATCCTGATGGAACAGGTAAACTTGAGCTAGAAGATCCTGATGGAACTAAAGAGCTTGAACTGTAAGATCCTGATGGAACAGTTGAACTTGAGCTAGAAGATCCTGATGGAACAGTTAAACTTGAGCTAGAAGATTCCGATGGAACTAAAGAGCTTGAACTGTATGATCCTGATGGAACAGTTGAACTTGAGCTAGAAGATCCTGATGGAACAGTTGAACTTGAGCTAGAAGATCCTGATGGATCAGTCGAGCTAGAACTGAACGAGCCTGATGGTGCTGAAGAGCTTGAGGAATAATCAATTGATGAGCTGGATGCGATTTCGCTTGAAGAGCTTGATTCCGTTGAGCTATATGATCCTGAAGGTACTAAGGAGCTTGAACTATAAGATCCTGATGAAACAGTTGAACTTGAGCTAGAAGATCCTGATGGAACTAAAGAGCTTGAACTGTAAGATCCTGATGGAACAGTTGAACTTGAGCTAGAAGATCCTGATGGAACAGTTGAACTTGAGCTAGAAGATCCTGATGGAACAGTTGAACTTGAGCTAGAAGATCCTGATGAAGCAGTCGAGCTAGAACTGAACGAGCTTGATGGTGCTAAAGAGCTTGAGGAATAATCAATTGATGAGCTGGATGCGATTTCGCTTGACGAGCTTGATTCCGTTGAGGTATAAGATCCTGAAGGTACTGAGGAGCTTGAACTATAAGATCCTGATGAAACAGTTGAACTTGAGCTAGAAGATCCTGATGGAACTAAAGAGCTTAAACTGTAAGTTCCTGATGGAACAGTTGAACTTGAGCTAGAAGATCTTGATGGAACAGTTAAACTTGAGCTAGAAAATCCTGATGGAACAGTTGAACTTGAGCTAGAAGATCCTGATGGAACAGTTGAACTTGAGCTAGAAGATCCTGATGGAGCAGTCGAGCTAGAACTGAAAGAGCCCGATGGTTCTGAAGAGCTTAAGGAATATTCAATTGATGAGCTGGATGCGATTTCGCTTGACGAGCTTGATTCCGTTGAGCTATAAGATCCTGATGGTACTGAGGAGCTTGAACTATAAGATCCTGATGAAACAGTTGAACTTGAGCTAGAAGATCCTGATGGAACTAAAGAGCTTGAACTGTAAGATCCTGATGGAACAGTTGAACTTGAGCTAGAAGAGTCTGATGGAACTAAAGAGCTTGAACTGTAAGATCCTGATGGAACAGTTGAACTTGAGCTAGAAGATCCTGATGGAACAGTTAAACTTGAGCTAGAAGATTCCGATGGAACTGAAGAGCTTGAACTGTATGATCCTGATGGAACAGTTGAACTTGAGCTAGAAGTTCCTGATGGAACAGTTGAGCTTGAGCTAGAAGATCCTGATGGAACAGTTGAACTTGAGCTAGAAGATCCTGATGAAACAGTTGAACTTGAGCTAGAAGATCCTGATGGAACTAAAGAGGTTGAACTGTAAGATCCTGATGGAACAGTTGAACTTGAGCTAGAAGATCCTGATGGAACAGTTAAACTTGAGCTCAAAGATTCCGATGGAACTAAAGAGCTTGAACTGTATGATCCTGATGGAACAGTTGAACTTGAGCTAGAAGATCCTGATGGAGCAGTCGAGCTAGAACTAAACGAGTCTGATGGTGCTGAAGAGCTTGAGGAATAATCAATTGATGAGCTGGATGCGATTTCGCTTGACGAGCTTGATTCCGTTGAGGTATAAGATCCTGAAGGTACTGAGGAGCTTGAAGTATAAGATCCTGATGAAGCAGTTGAACTTGAGCTTGAAGATCCTGATGGAACTAAAGAGCTTGAACTGTAAGATCCTGATGAAACAGTTGAACTTGAGCTAGAAGATCCTGATGGAACAGGTAAACTTGAGCTAGAAGATCCTGATGGAACAGTTGAACTTGAGCTAGAAGATCCTGATGAAACAGTTGAACTTGAGCTAGAAGATCCTGATGGAACTAAAGAGCTTGAACTGTAAGATCCTGATGGAACAGTTGAACTTGAGCTAGAAGATCCTGATGGAACAGTTAAACTTGAGCTAGAAGATTCCGATGGAACTAAAGAGCTTGAACTGTATGATCCTGATGGAACAGTTGAACTTGAGCTAGAAGATCCTGATGGAGCAGTCGAGCTAGAAGTGAACGAGTCTGATGGTGCTGAAGAGCTTGAGCTAGAAGATGCTGATGGATCAGTCGAGCTAGAACTGAACGAGCCTGATGGTGCTGAAGAGCTTGAGGAATAATCAATTGATGAGCTGGATGCGATTTCGCTTGAAGAGCTTGATTCCGTTGAGCTATATGATCCTGATGGTACTGAGGAGCTTGAACTATAAGATCCTGATGAAACAGTTGAACTTGAGCTAGAAGATCCTGATGGAACTAAAGAGCTTGAACTGTAAGATCCTGATGGAACAGTTGAACTTGAGCTAGAAGATCCTGATGGAACAGTTGAACTTGAGCTAGAAGATTCCGATGGAACTAAAGAGCTTGAACTGTATGATCCTGATGGAACAGTTGAACTTGAGCTAGAAGATCCTGATGGAGCAGTCGAGCTAGAAGTGAACGAGTCTGATGGTGCTGAAGAGCTTGAGCTAGAAGATGCTGATGGATCAGTCGAGCTAGAACTGAACGAGCCTGATGGTGCTGAAGAGCTTGAGGAATAATCAATTGATGAGCTGGATGCGATTTCGCTTGAAGAGCTTGATTCCGTTGAGCTATATGATCCTGATGGTACTGAGGAGCTTGAACTATAAGCTCCTGATGAAACAGTTGAACTTGAGCTAGAAGATCCTGATGGAACTAAAGAGCTTGAACTGTAAGATCCTGATGGAACAGTTGAACTTGAGCTAGAAGATCCTGATGGAACAGTTGAACTTGAGCTAGAAGATCCTGATGGAACAGTTGAACTTGAGCTAGAAGATCCTGATGGAACTGTTGAACTTGAGCTAGAAGATCCTGATGAAGCAGTCGAGCTAGAACTGAACGAGCTTGATGGTGCTAAAGAGCTTGAGGAATAATCAGTAGATGAGCTGGATGCGATTTCGCTTGACGAGCTTGATTCCGTTGAGCTATATGATCCTGAAGGTACTAAGGAGCTTGAACTATAAGATCCTGATGAAGCAGTTGAACTTGAGCTAGAAGATCCTGATGGAGTAGTCGAGCTAGAACTGAACGAGCTTGATGGTGCTGAAGAGCTTGAGGAATAATCAGTAGATGAGCTGGATGCGATTTCGCTTGACGAGCTTGATTCCGTTGAGCTATATGATCCTGAAGGTACTGAGGAGCTTGAACTATAAGATCCTAATGAAGCAGTTGAACTTGAGCTAGAAGATCCTGATGGAACTAAAGAGCTTGAACTGTGAGATCCTGATGGAACAGTTGAACTTGAGCTAGAAGATCCTAATGGAACAGTTGAACTAGAGCTAGAAGATCCTGATGGAACAGTTGAACTTGAGCTAAAAGATCCTGATGGAACAGTTGAACTTGAGCTAGAAGATCCTGATGGAGCAGTCGAGCTAGAACTGAACGAGCCTGATGGTGCTGAAGAGCTTGAGCTAGAAGATGCTGATGGAGCAGTAGAGCTAGAACTAAACGAGCCTGATGGTGCTGAAGAGCTTGAGGAATAATCAATTGATGAGCTGGATGCGATTTCGCTTGACGAGCTTGATTCCGTTGAGCTATAAGATCCTGAAGGTACTAAGGAGCTTGAACTATAAGATCCTGATGGAAAAGTTGAACTTGAGCTAGAAGATCCTGATGGAACTGAATAGCTTGAACTATAAGATCCTGATGAAACAGTTGAACTTGAGCTAGAAGATCCTGATGGAACTAAAGAGCTTGAACTGTAAGATCCTGATGGAACAGTTGAACTTGAGCTAGAAGATCCTGACGGAACTGAAGAGTTTGAACTGGAAGATCCTGATGGAACAGTTGAACTTGAGCTAGAAGATCCTGATGGAACAGTTATACTTGAGCTAGAAGATCCTGATGGAACTAAAGAGCTTGAACTGTAAAACCCTGATGAAACAGTTGAGCTTGAGCTAGAAGATCCTGATGGAGCAGTCGTGCTAGAACTGAACGAGCCTGATGGTGCTGAAGAGCTTGATCTAGAATATGCTGATGGAGCAGTCGAGCTAGAACTGAACGAGCCTGATGGTGATGAAGAGCTTAAGCTAAAAGATGCTGATTGAGCAGTCGTGCTAGAACTAATCGAGCCTGATGGTGCTGAAGAGCTTGAGGAATAATCAATTGATGAGCTGGATGCGATTTCACTTGACGAGCTTGATTCCGTGGAGCTATAAGATCCTGAAGGTACTAAAGAGCTTGAGCTATAAGATCCTGAAGGTGCAGTTGTAAATTCGCTGGATGAGTTAGGTTCGCTTGTGCTGGAAATGCTTGATTGCTCTGAAGTACTAATTGATAATGACGAACTTTGAGTACTTGTTTTTGACAAGGATTCAGACTCTTCAGTTGAAGATTGTGAAAATGATATTTCTGATGAAGATTCTAGTGAAGAACTTGAATACGGAGTTGTTCTTGTAGAAGTTTTTCTAGTATACAAAGGCCGTCTAGTTTTAACACGTTTTCTTTTTCTTTTAACTGCGGCATCAACTTCTGTAATATCAAACAATACTACAGTTAGCAGTGTCACTATTAACACTGTTGATATCTTCATGTTCTATTCACTTCACTTTACTATTATCACTTTTATACTTCTTAATTTTCACTATCCTTTTTTGTAATGTATTATTGGGCCCTTAGGCTGATACTGTTGCCTTTCGTTGAATTCTTTGCTGCTTATATACAGTTTCAGCAAGAACTTAAAAGTAATTATCTTCGTGGAAAGTCATCATCATGAAAACTAATTTAAAAGTCACAAAATAGTCGTGATTAACCTGTCCTTAGTTAAAAATTAGTTTTGTTTTTCAATTGTTAAACAGCAACAGATGGTTTTCTTTAAGCATTTTTAATTAAAACTTTAATAGGTAAATTGTTTGGTTAATGATTTTTTTGCAATGAAAGTGGATCCTTTATAGTTTGTATTGTCTTCAAAATTGTATATTAATTAAATTTTTTAATTTTAAAATGTTTTAAGGTGGATGAACTAAATATTGAATTATTGAAATTTACTTAAATTTTTCGATTACAACAGAATAGATTTTTAAAATTATTATTATATTTAATTAGTCGAAATAGTACAATTTGTGTTTTATTTACCTTGAGTATTTGAAAATCATTTACAATTTTTTTTAATATCATATAAAAAGTAATTGTTTTAAAATGAATATCACATTCACTTTTAAGCCATAACTCTCATTTAAATGACTCGTCACGACTTTATTTCTATCAAATAATAATATTATGTAGTAGTGAGTAAACACAAAATTCAGAATGGTTTAATTTTCACAAAACCCATCTTAAATAGATTTTTTGCATCAGAAGTTCTCAAGATCCAAAAAAAGAACCTTCAGATTTTTATTAATTTATTTTACCTTAGTTAATTTTATTATCATATTGATATTTAAAGACAGGCACTGCCTTACAGACAAAGATAAAAAAAAAATTGAACAATTTGATCACGCTAAATTAGCGTACGCTTCTATATAAATGGGTATTGCAGTACGGTACGATAGAAATCACGCTCTCAAGAGGATTCAATTTTAACTTGAAAGTTAAAATTAAGAATTGTCAAAAAAGGATGAAGTTCTGTTTTTTGAAGATTTTTATATCGAATTGGAGGAAAAAATGTCAAAAAAATCAAATGTTCAAAATAGTGGAAGCAGACACTCCCAAAGAAAAAAATAGAACTAATGTAATTTGTTCAAATTATCGTGATTTTTGTTTTAAATGCTGTTCATTGGTAGGAAATAATCGAGGGAATCAACCAATGGCATTTTTTTATAATGTTCCTCAAATCACTAAAAGCTTCAATTGCAAATAAAAAAATTATTAATATCAGAGTTCAAAGTCAACCCGGATTTTTTCGAGTCGACTCAACTTTTCTCGAGTATATGATGAAATTTTACATATTCGATTAGGATCGCAGTTCCTCCAGCTTGTCGCACTGTGATTTGTACATTATCAAAATAAAGCTCTTACAAGACACTATTAGAAACCACAAAGCGTTTCCTATCATCTTTAACCATTACAAATATATAACAGTTTAAATAAGACGTGAAAAAATCAAAATGTTCACTCATTTTCAACTTCAATCAGCCACAGAATTGTAAAAACAGCATCAAATGACCTGAAATTTTGAAAAGAAGTTAATTTTGATGTCTTCTACAAGAAAAAATAGCCCCGAGAGCAAACAGTTCAAAAATTTTCTTAATTGCCTCTTTTTTTAAATTTCGCTTTATAGTGTAAAGTTTATTTTTGAAAAAATAATTTTTGAACCTTGAGCAAAAATTTTTTTTTGAGCTTGAAAATTTGCTCAAAGTTATAAGTTTTTGGATTTAAACAGAGTCGTACAAAAGAGAACATACTAAAATTTCATCCATGCATATGATATGACAAAAAAAAAACGTAAATATGGTTTTAATCTCTGTTTACATATTCTACAACTTAGTTCTCTTAAAAAATTGATTCTCACTCTCAAGCATTATTCTATAAAATAAGAAAAAAAATCAGTTCATGTTTAGAATCTCATCGGTCAACACACGAACATAAAAATGTGGTTTTGTGAAGGAATTTGTGGAACTTTGTCAAATATTCTGCTGATAATTGCAGTCATTTTAGCACTGCATTATGTCTATTTGTTATCAAACCGAAATTATTGGATCAATCGTGGAGTTTTCTCACCAAATTCTGGTGCATTATTTGGAAACTTACCAGGCCAAGTGAATGGAAAACGACACATTATGTATGAGTTGGACGAATTGTATAAAAAGTATAAAAGCAGCCACGCATACATCGGAATTTTCAATTTTAGAAGTCCACGATTTTTGGTTTTTGATCCAGAAGTTGCAAAAGATATTTTAGTAAAATACTTTAAGAATTTTCAAGGAACTGAATTGTATGGCAAGATTGATGAGAAATCAGATCCTCTTTTAGGTGGACATATGTTCGTTCATATTGGTGAGAAATGGAAAAATACTCGACAATCAATTTCGCCAGCTTTTACAAATTTGCGAGTGAGTTGCAGCTTCTAAATTACTAAATTAGCCTAATTCAAAAAATTATCAATCTATTTTAATTTAATAAAGTCTGAAAAAATCTAAATTTAGATCTCAATAAATTTAAATTGAACTTGAAAGCAGCAAATAATTTGCAAATATTTTGTTTCGTTTTGTTTTTAAATTTAAATGAAGATCAAGGCCACACATCCAATTTATGTAAATGTTTATGAGAAAATGAAGAATTTTATAAAGAATGAAGGTACAAAGAAGAACTTTAGTGGATTTGATGCAAAAGATGTGAGTAATTTTGAATAAATCAAAGTTTGTAAACGGCTAAGCCGTCTTCAAGCTTAGGAATATATTTTGAATATTTTTGGGTTTATTTTGTCTAATTTTTCAACAGCTGTGTGCTCGTTTTACGCTCTCAGTTGTTTCTAACAGCATCTACAATGTTGATCCAAAGGTTTTTGATGGAAGCGAATCTGAAATTCTTGCAAGAGCTCAATCGTTCCTCACACCATCAAAAAAATTCATGATTTTTTCAATATTGTACAGTATTTATCCATTTTTGACAAAATATTTTAAAATGACCTTTACTCAGCCAGGCTCTGAAAAGTTTTTTCTCAATCTAATGATGGATTCAATGAGGCAGAGGGAGGCAAGTGGAATCAAAAATTTAGATTATTTGGAATATCTGATAGGATTAAAGCATAGAAAAGAGATTGATGGTAAACCATTAACTGATTTTAATAATATATTAATTTATTTGAATAATGATTTTTAAAGATTTGGGAATTGCATCACATGGAGCATCTTTTCTGATTGGTAAGTGAATTATTTCTGGTTATCTTTATAGATCTCCATATAACTGCTATCTATCTTATACAAACCCAATTCACTGACTCTAAAATGGAAGCCATTTGAAGCCATTTGTGAAGTCGTGTGAAGCCAATAATTTAAGGAGTGTTGACAAGGTGGGTGTCAGGTGGGGGTAGGTGTCAGGTGTGGAATAAGGTGGGTCCGAATTTGAGGGGGTTTTTGAAGCCGGGGCAAGGTGGTTGTCACCCCCGAATAGCCTAGTATGTATACAACAAGTCGGGTTTGATGGGAATCGAACCCACGACCTCAAAAGAGGCGATCCCTCACCACTCGAGCAGAGATCCCTGCCACTCGACCACCGTGATACTTATCTCACTTCAGCTATCCGTCATACACATAAAACCAGTTTCAAGCCCTACGCTCAGGCCAATCTACTACAGATATGCTCTTGTAGCCATATCCACAATCTTGCTGCAAATAAGAAGTTTGAAATAATCAAATATGGATTTCCTTCCTTTTTAAGATGGTTATGATACATCAAGCAATGCAATAGCTGCAGCTTTATATGAACTCGCTCGTAATAAAAAGATTCAATCAAAATTACGTGAAGAAATCAAATCAAAGATGCCTAATGATGAAGACTTTACATATGATAATATTATGGCTTTAGATTATCTAGATCAAATTTGGCATGGTAATGCCTTAATCATTTATACAACCATAAAAAACTAATTTTTTTAATAATTTTAGAAACTTTACGTTGTCACAATCCAGGCAGCTACCTAGCCCGTTTATGCACCGACCCTATTACCCTTAATCTACCAAAAGAAAAGAAAGTTCATTTTATACCCGGTGATGTTGTATACATTCCAGTTCAATCAATTTTTAAGGATCCTGAATACTTTAACAATCCACTCAAATTTAGTCCTGAAAGGTTCGCACCAGAAAATGGAGGTGTTAAGGCTTTTATGGATCGTGGTGTCTTTTTTCCTTTTGGATTAGGACCAAGAATTTGTATCGGAAATCGATTTGCATTAGCACAAGGAAAATTTGGTATTGCAGCTTTGATTAGGGATTTTGAAGTTTCATTGAATCCAAAAACAGTTGAAGATAGTGAAATTCATCCACAGGCAATTATTGTTGGTGTCACTAATTGCTTTTTGGAATTTAAGGAGATTTGAAAGAAATCAAAATGATGATTTTAAGTTTTCAAAAAATTTATTTTTCATTTATTGCTGGAGACAGGACTGGAAACATTCAAAATTCATCTAAAAATCATACAATTTGCTGCTAATAACATAAAAATTAATAAAGCTTTGAATCTACATAATAGAGCACTCAGTGATCTTCTGCTGCTGTACAGATTTCAACTCTTTTCCCTCAAAACAATTTCTCACATTTTCAGCAACATCCTTGTACACAGGAAAAGCCAATGTTTGCATTTTTGAATGCACCAATGTTTCATTGATTTTCACCTCAAAACTTCCTCTTCTTCCAATTTGACATTCAACTTTTGCTTCCGGAATTGTTTCGTTAAGAAATTCTTTCAATTCATGACATTGACGCTTAAAATCGCAAACAGCACAATATTCTATATTGACCGATACTTCAGATGGTTGTGACATGATTTGGTGACGTTTGTGTTTTTGTGGCGAATATTTGGAATTATTTTCGACAATTTTAAATTTTAAAGATTAAAATGATAAATATTGAGTGCGTTCAGAAATTTTTTGTTTGAATGTTTGTAAAACACTGAGGGAGCTTTATTGAGGGAACTGATGGATTTAATATCACTTTATGTTTACACGAAAGAAGGAGATTCTAGTATGTGCAGGAGCAATGTAGAGTTGTATCAGCTCTTTACAGAAGCTGATATCATTTAGCGTATTAAAGTAAACAGGCTCCGATGGATTGGTGATGTTATCAGGAGACCTGTGGAAGCTCCATTAAGTAAGGTCTTTAAGTCGGACTTTGTGGATGGAAAAAGAGTACGTGGAAGACCAAAGAACTCATAGAAAGAGACTATTGAGCAAGCGGTAACCAGCAATAGAGCCAGTTTTAGGTGGCATCTGAGGGAGACCATGGATCACAATTGGTCTGTAAGGTCATCGATGTAAGTCAAGTAAGTATGTGTTTGCATGTCAGCCAGAGCTCGAGTCAACTCGAGTCGATTTCTTCATGCAAAAATAGAATTAATGAGTTGACTACGAGAAAAGTTGAGTCAAGTCGAGTCAACTCAAGTCTACTCGAACCCTATTGACTTCGAATTCTGATTTCAGCATTCCTTTAATGATGTTCATCACTTGCCTTCTAAAGTTAAGCCATGACTTCAATAATAAACTTAATATTACTTTTTAATAATCTTTATTAATATTTTAATTTATAGATATTTTGATACATTAAATTTTTAAAAGCATTATTTGTTGACTAAGAATAGAATCAACATTTGAACTCCTGGATTTCCTTCAATTACTAGGCTTAATAAATTCATCACGAAAAGCGATTGCTGTAAGTGCCTTTGAATGCCCTAAATATTCTCTCTCAATATTTTTTGTCTCAATTTTCCATAGTCTCGCAGTTCCGTCACTGCTAGCTACAAAAAGATATTTACTGTCGTTACTAAATGCCACATCCCACATCCAAAATTTGTCAATTTTCAGTTCTCTATAAAGTTTAAAGTCATCTTCACATTTATAAAGTCGAGCAGTTCCATCACCGCCTGTTGCAACCAAAAGCGTTGAATCTGGAGAGAACTTGCATTTTAGTCCATATCGCTGTTGTGACACAAATCTTAATCTAGCAAGTGTTTTTGTATATTTTTTTTCGTCCGCATATAAATCCCATATAAATGTTGATCCTTTGTTATTTATTGCTGCCATATACTTTCCATTCGGACTAATATCTATGGAACTTAATGAACAATTCGACTCGGGCATTAGCTGCTCATTATGATCAGTTTTTATATCCCATATGTAAATGCCTCCAATGCTCGTGCTGATTGCAACTTCAACTTGATTTGGATGCAGACAAACTGACGTGACTGGATTGAGACAATCAAACATTCTCTTACAGACAGGCTGTGGACAATTCAAGTCCCAGATACGAACACGACTATCTTCAGAACCAGTGTACATGAAACGATTGTCTTCCTGGAATCCAACAGCTGTAACATTTTTGCTAACTCCTTCGAAATTTATGAGTGGATTTGTACTGGCATTAAGATCGTAAAGACGAATTGATTGAAATCCACCAGCTGCAAGGTAATTTTTGATGGCTAAGGCATTGACCTGTCAAGAAGTTTGAATATTTGTTACATTTTGGCATGAAAACTTTTTAAGTTGATATTTACCTGAGAATCAGAATGCTGTAAAGTTTTTACTGTCGTGCCAGAGTATGGTGCCCAAATTTTGATTGTATGATCATATCCAGCAGTTGCTAGAATCGGTTCACCTTCGCTTTGAACCATTTTTGAGGTCTCAAATTCTCGCAAACTTAAAAATTCAAAAATTAAATTTCTCGATAATTTTTTTGTTTACTTTATTGAAAATAAATTTAAAAAAATTTGTAAACGCACTCTTTGATGAATGTTTTGATCGTTTTGATTTTTGGTCAATCTACTTTAAGGACTATTGATGTTTTGCACTTTTACTTTAATGTTTTTAATCTTAAACAGTCTAAGTTAAACTGAATTTTATAATAAATATTTCAGGATTTTATAGAATCCTTAATAGAATCTATTGTACGAAAGTTTCCGAAAAAAATTAATGTTTTTGGTGTCAATTTCTAAACGCATTCGCGAAAATTGCATCCAATTGCAGTTAAAAGTTATCAAATATTTATTCAGAAATTTGATCTGAAATTCAGAACTTTTTGATAAATATGTCCAAAGATCCAAAAGTATCAGTCAATATAGAATACTGTACAGTTTGCGGATTTAAACGTCAGTGCCAGGAACTCAAAGATTTCCTCAATAAGTTGATCCCGGAAGTCAAAGTTGAATGCAATATCGGAAGAAGAGGAAGCTTTGAAGTAAAAATTAATGAAACATTGGTGCATTCAAAATTGAAAACATTTGCGTTTCCCGACTATGATGATCTTGCTGATAATGTAAGAAACTGTTTGAATGGTAAAGATATGAAAGTACCGATTAAGCAACAAGAGCTGATTGATATTGAAACGTTTTTGCTTTGTTTGGATTAAAATTTCTTTATTTTTATTATTGAAAAATTAAATAGTGTTAAACATAGCTTTTTTAAGAAATTTATAAAATTAATATTTTGTATGAAATAGATAAAAAAATAAATAATTCTTTAAAAAAATCTTTTGTTTTTTACTCAAATTTGTTAATTGTTTTTTTGAAAATTAAGAACAGAAATCGCATTGGCAGTCAATCATTAAGTAAACATTAAGCATTAGTGTTCAGCAACATTCAAGAAATAAATTTTAAAAAAATACTTTAACGATTAAAATATTTTCAAACAACAACTTTAAAAATTTTTTTCATAGTTTCTCAAGGGGAATCTCAACGGTCAATAAAAAACTGTTTTGAAATTTAAAATTTGTTAGGTAGCCGAAAATAGTTTTTTAAACATTTTAATTGAAAACTTCATTAATTGTAGCAAACAAAATCAATTTTTAAAAGGCACAATAATATTTAATCAATTGAAATTGAAATTTCAAATGTTAAACAACAATTGAACAACAAAAATGGATATTAATCGATGGAAATTCATTCTTTTAGAATGGGTAAGTTTTTTGACTGATGTGTTAAGGAAGTTGTGATTTGAAAAAGGATGTTGTGGGATTATAAAGTGAATGTTGATTTTTTTTTTGAATTTAATTAATAATCTTGTCCATCTTGGAAAATTTGAAAGCTTAATTGAAAAATTTTACTTTTCTGAAATATCTGGCCATGAATTATTTTATTAATAATATTTTAAAGTGTGGATTAGTGCAATAGCCAAACAAAGCCTGAAAATGGATCGTGACTATAGCTTTAATTGAGTTATTATTTACCTGACTATAGCTTCAACTGAACAGCTAGTTTATTATCAAAAGTCGTTATTTTACTCAACTTACAACCATAGAATTTTTTGCCACACAACTTTAGGCTTAAGAATCAGATACTATTATTATAGGCTGTATATAGAATTTTATCTGAACATGTTTTAATTATAATTTTTGAAAATTTGACTATATTGTCAATATTAGTATAGTTGGATTTCCTAGGGGACCTCTATATTTAAAAAAATTTATCTTACAAGTCTGCAGACCTGAAATTGCTTTTCCTTAATTTCAACAAATTATTTACAAATTTTAATTTTAGATAAAATCAACCAATTTAGTTGAAGTAACTGGATCTCTTGATCATGTTGATCTTGAAAAATTTTATGAAAAAGTTTCACAACGCCTTTATCATAGCAAGAGTCATCAGACTGAAAGTATTGGAGCTTTTTTAGAAGGTAAGTTCAATTAAATGTACTAAATATGTAGCTATCCATTCAAAGCGATCGGTACCTAAAGGCGACTTACTGTAGATCTTCCAATAACTGCTATATGTGTATACTAATGTAAAACAATTCGGGTTTGATGAGAATCGAACCTACGACCTCAAAAAAGGCGATCTCTTACCACTCGAGCAGAGATCCCTGCTACTCTACCACCGAGGTACTTATCTCACTTCGGCTATCCGTCATACACAAATAACCAGTTTCAACGAGAGTTCATGCTCTAGCTTATCTGCTACAGATATGCTATTGGAGCCATATCCACGCTTATGTCTGTAGCGAATCTCAAATGTCACCTGAAGCTATCTCTATCACTCAAAATTGCTTGCCAATTACCTGATTCCAAATTTTAACTAAGAAAATGTTAATTCCTTTCCGTTTCAGCCTACTTTTCATCATATGAAGTCCTCAACAGTGACACAAGCAGTATTTTGCCACAAGATCATGTATATGTCTTCTCCATTCTTCTCTACCATTCTTGCGTTCAAAAATCGAATGATTATTTCCAAAAGTCCTGTAGAAATCTCGACGTTAAGCATCAAATATCAATTGCGAAATTTTTCAGCTACATTAAAGCTTCAATTGATAAAGATAAAAATGTAAAGATTACAAAGGAGTTTCTTCGACAAGCTGTAAAAGAAGCATGTCCAATGCAATCATCACCGCATTTAAACTTCTTGTCTCTTGGAAGTCCATTGAGGACACCGAAGGCAAAATCAACACCAACGTCAACCCCGAATAAGGAAGTGTTTAATGAAAGAATGAGGGAATTGAAAATGACAAAGGCACAGCTGGAAAATGAAAGATATGAGAAGAATATGCTTGAAATTGAGATCAAACAGAATCAGGATAAAGCTGAAAGTCTTGGTAAGTTGAAATGCTATTTTTTGAGGAAGTAAAAATAAGTAATAAAATTTTTATGTAATTTTTTAGCTCAAAAATGCAAAGTTCTGTCAAATGAAGTCCAAACCCTCAAAACTGAGCTTTTAATTGAACGAGAAAGTGAAAATTTCTCTCCAAATCGTAAGCAACGAGAATCCCAAATTCGTACAAAAATGGAAAAGGAAATTAACTCTCGGGAGGATAAAATCTCTGATCTTAAATTTGATATTGACAATTTGACTTCAACAAATGAGAAATTTCAAAATAAAATTTCCGTTATGGATGCTGAAATGAATAATTTAAGGAAGAAAATTGACAATCTTAATGATGTCATTAACGATATGGAAACAAAAATTGAATTGAAAAATGAGAAAATTCATGAATTAGAAGAGATTAACAAGGAATTGCTGGAAATTATTAATGAAAATAAAGGAACTCCAGACAAAGATGCAAGTTTAGACTTTTCGTATTACGCAAGCCACACGATGGGTTTGAATATGTCAGAAAGTGGTGAAAGCATAGCCAAAGGTGTCATCGACCTTCAACTTAAGGAAAAAGAAGTGGAAACTCAAGCTCTTAATGAGAAAATTCACAATTTGGAGATGAAAATTGAAGATAATTTACAATCAATTTATAAACTTCAAACTGAAAAGAAGGAGAAAATCAAGGAAATTGACTTTTTAAGTGAAGATTTGCGTGCTCTTCAAGTCAAAAACTTTGAAATTCAAACTCAATTTGAAGCAGAGAAGCAGATGTGCAGCAAGTATTTGGCAGAAAACACAAAACTCCGAAATGGAATTGAAAATTCTCAAAAATTGATAGAAAGTTTAGAAAATGATATCAAAAGGATTTATGTGGAAGCTGAGAAGGGAAAAGAGGAAGTTCAAGCAGCTAAAAATGCCCAAGAAGAATCAAATGAGCTATTAAAGCTTGAAAAAATAAATTGTGATGAGCTACAAAGTAAAATTTCTAACTTATTGAAGGAAATAACTGAAAAAGATATTAAAATATCAGAGATGGGCACTGAGATTTTCATGAAAAATTCTGATGTTTTAGATAAAGATGCAGAAATCACAAAAAAAGATGCTGAATTGTCTGAAAAAGATGCAAAACTATTCGAAATCGGCCAAAAGATGTCTGGGAAGGATGCAAAGCTGTCAAAGCTTGAAGAAATTTATAAAAGATCACTCGAGTCCATCAAATCCTTAAGTGAAGATAAATTGATGCTGGAAACTGTCCATAAAGTTGACATAATGAAGATTAAAGAGAAACATTCCAAGGACATTGAGCAAATTATCGCATCAAAAGACAAAATCCTTGAGTCCATGGAAGAAAGTCTTAATAGAAAGATCAAGGAGTCTGAGCTATTCCATACGTCTATGGAAGAAAGTCTACAATCAAAGATTAATAGATTGAATCGACAGGCATTAGAGCTTAATAATAATTTTAAGGAAAAAGAGGAAAAAGTTGAAAGTTTAAAAAATTTGATTGAGAAGATTGAGCATCAAAAAACCAGCTTGACAAAAGATTTAAAGGAAAAAGAGGAAGAACTAGAATTTATGGAAGCTGAAAATGATGGAAAATTCAAAGAAATGATCGAAAAAAATTTGAATTTACAAGACGAGCTGTGTAAAATGAATGAAAAAGTCCAAGAAGTTCTTGCACAATTAAATTCAAAAGATGATAAAATCAAGGCATTGATTAATGAAAAGAGTATTTTAAATATGGAACTTCAAAGTATTAATCAGCAGAATAAGCAACAAACGTCAATTCTTGAAGATAAGTTGAACGAACTACAAGAAGAATTAACAACAATTAATGGACTAAAGATATCTGCCGATTTACAACTTAATAATGCACAATCTAAGTGCGATGATTTTGCATCTGAAAATGGAAAATTAAGGAATGAAATTTCAAATTTGAACATGAAAATCGATGAAGCTAATGAAATGATCAGTAAATTGAATGAAAAATTGAAAGAAAACGAGAAACTTTTCACACAAAATCGCTTAAAAATTGTCAAAAGTGAAGAGTTGTTAGAAGAAAGTAAGAAAAAACTATTAAAAAGTGAAGAATTGTTAATATTTTCTGAAGAAAAGTTGATAAAATGTGAAGAAAATATTAAACAAATAGAAGAAAAACGAATTAAAAGAGAGGAAAAAATTGAGGAGCTTTTAGCGAACTTAAATGAAAAACAAAGCAAATTAAATATTACAGAGCAAATTTTGAGAGAAAATGAGGAAAATCTCAAAAAATGTGAAAAAAATCTGAAGCAAAAGGATGTAATTTTAAACCAAAAAGAGCAAAAACTAGCAGAAAGTGATGAAAAACTAAAGAAAATCAAACGCGACCACACAGACATTCAGCAAAAGCTCGTTCAAATGGAAGAAAAATTGTTGCAAACCGAATCAGAGTTAGCAGATTGTAGAAATCAATTGAACGAGTCTGAAGATAAATTAAAGCAAAATGAGTGCAAATTTGTGGAAAATAAGCAACAATTATTACAAAATCAAGAAAAGTTGACACAAGTTGAACAAGAACTTGTACTTACCCAAAAAAATCTATCAAAATGTCAAGAAGAAAAATTAAAAGCTGAAGAAACAATCACACAGACCTTCGAGGACCTCAAAAAAACTTTAAAAACTCTCGAAGACACACAACAAGCTTTATCAACTCTTCAACAAACCAACGCTGAAGCTACAGAGCGATTTAACTTTGAAATTCAAAATCTTACCACATATTTAGCCAGCAAGGAATCAGAAATTCAAAATATATCCACAAAATCCAATTCAGAGATTTCTCACCTCACAAATGTTATCTCAGAAAAGGAATTGATGATCGAAAATATCGAATTTGAAAAATCCTTTTTATATGAGTCAAAAGAGAGTCTCGTTCGTCAAAAAGCAATCTGTGAAAATGAAATTCAGGAGTTGAAAGGTCTGGTATCTTCAAAAGTTAAGAAAATTCTTGAGAATGAAGAACAAATTCAAGAAAAGAAGGAAAACATTGAAAATTTAGAAAAATTCGCTGAAAGTATAAAGACACAATTAAAAGATGCTAAGTCGCAAAATAAGAAGCAGAAGGTGGAAATTGAAAAGTTGCAGAGGACCAAAACTGAGAATGAGACTTTGATTGATGCACAGAATGTTAACATTGATGAATTGAGAGATGAAAAAACTAAAATTGAGGAGAAAATGAGGGAAAAATCTGAGGAATTTGACATCAGTTATGAAAAATTGACCAAAGAAAATGCAAAACTGAATCAAAAAGCTGAAAATCTGTCTCAACAAGTTCAAAACTTGAATAAAAATATTGAAGATTTGAAAGAAAAAAATGCAAAGTCTGCAGAAGAAGAAAAGCTTAAAATAGAGGATATGGCCAACAAACTGCAAGATTCAAACCAGAAACTGCTTGAAGCAACCCAAAAACTCGAAGATTCAATCATCAAACTTCAAAGCTATACTCAGCAAATTCATACTCTCAATCAAAATAAAGCTGATCTTGATGAAAAGATTGTCAATTTAAGGAACAACCTCTCACACAAAGACTCTCAAATTATGGAAAATGAAGATAAAATCAATCAGCTGTCAACTGAACTACAACAAAACTTAGAAGCACTTAATGACACAAAGTTATCTCTTGAAGAACTTCAGACAAGATTTAATACTTTAAAAGAAAGTTCAATATCTCTAAAAGATGAAAATGATGAACTAAATGAGAAAATTGAAAGCTTAACGAATGGAAGTAATCAAGAAAAATCGGAACTGCTTGAAAAGTTAAAGGTGGAAAGTTTAAATATTCAAAAGTTAAATACAGAATTGGAAGATCAAAAGTCAAAAATTGAGGAAGTCACTAAATTGAATTCAACGCTGAAACAGCAGAAAGACACAGCTATTCAAGGAATGATGAAAGTTAAAAGTGAAGTCACTTTTCTATTTGAGAAAATTAATGTAATTTCTGAGAATTTCAAGATTTGGCAGACAGAAAATAACGTCATAAATGAGGAATTGAGCAAAGCTGTCACGATTGCTTGTGAAAAGATTAGAGAAGCTGATCTTTTGGAAAAGAAGTTAAATGAAAGTGAGGAAACCATAAAAGTATTCAAAGTTGAATTGCAAAAAGCAGAAATTGACTTACAAGAATCAAATGTAAAGCTTTTGGAAGTAAACGAAAAACTGCAGGAATCAGAACATAATCTGCAAGAATCCGAGCTAAAGCTTATAAACTCCGAAAACGAAGTCAAAACTTTCAATGAAAACTTGACAAAATCTGAGAAGGAAACCAAAAATATTCTGCAAAGTTTAGCAAATGCCGACGAAAATGTAAAGAATTTGGAGGAAAAGTTGTGTGCATCAGCACAAGAATGTCAAAAAGTTGAAGATGAATTGAGAAAAACCAAGGAAGAATTAAAGGAATTTGAGGAAAAGTCATTGAGTTTAGAAAATAATTTAGCTATTTTAGAGAAACAATCTGCAAAGTTGAATGAAGAATTATCTGCGAAAACATTAGAATTTGATGAATTATCAGCAAACTATGGTAAACTTTTTAATCAAAAAGAAGATGTTGAATCCAAAAAGTTATCTTTACAATTCAAAATTGCTGAATTAGAGCAAAATCAGTCAAATCAAGAGGCAATTAACTTAAAATTAACAGAAGAAATTGCCAAACTTCACCAAAAAATCATAAATCTCAAACAAGAGCAAGAAGAAACTGCTCAAAAATTAGCAAAATCTGAAGAAAATAATGTTGAGCTTCACAGAAAGAACATCGATCTTCTTGAGCATTCATCAAAAGTTGAAAACAATCTCAAACAAATGCTAGAACAAAATTCAGACATTTCAAATGATATGAAGGCATTTAATGAGGATATGGAACTGAAACTTAATGAAAAAGAGGAGTTGATTAATAATTTAAAGAGTAAAGTCAGTGAATTTGAGAAAGTAATGGCCGAGGGTCAAATACAGCTTGCAGAACTTGAATCTAAAAAGAATGAACTATCTGAAAAAGAATCTCAACTGACAAATCTAAAAAGTCAAATTCAAACTCATGAAATTCAGTCAAATGTATTAAAAGATAAACTCAAAAATCTTGTAATTTCTTATGAAGCTTCAATTAAGGAGATATCCACCTATAAATCAAATATTGAATTGTTATCCTCTGAAAAGGAAGAATTTTCTATGAAATTTGAAGAACTATCGGCAAAATATCAGGTCTTAGAATCCGAAAAAGAAGATCAAACCAAATTGACCGAGAGTCTTAAGTCAAACATAACTCAAATGGAATCAGAACTTTCTATGATGTCAACTCAAAAATTGGAATTATCTGACAAAAATTCTAATCTTTCTCAAGAAATCACGGAGCTTACTGTGCATTCCTCATCACTTATTGCAATAAACTTAGAACAATCTACTCAAATAACGTTGCTTTCACAAGATTTAGCAGACAAAAATGCCAAACTTGAAGAAAAAACAGCTCTTATCTCTGAAAAATTAGCACAACTTCAAGAAAAGGAATCAAAAATCTTAGAAATAGTTCAGCAAATTGAAGAACTTAAAGTCACATACAATAATCAGATTCAAACACTTGAAATCCAAATTGAAGCCAACAAAGAAAAGAATGTGTCAGAAAATTCAAAGATTCAAGAGCTATTAAAGAAGATAAAGGAACATGCAGCATTAGAAGAACGTCTGAAGGAATTAGAGGCTCTTCATGCACGCGAGAAAATTTTTAATGACAAAATGAACGAGGATCAAAAGATTCTTGCTGCAAAATTGATGAAAGCTAGGAAAGATCTTGAAGATGGTCAAAAGATGTGGAATGAAGAGAAGGAAAAAATACAACAAGGCATGCTGGATGAGAAATATAAGTTCGAAGAAGGAAGAAAAGAAGTTCGACTTGAGATGGAAGGAAAATTGGAGAAGATGAAGGAGAAAATGGTGAGCGATGAAAATGAAAGTGGGGGAACTTGTAACTTATCTTAAATTGGGATTGGTGTGGGGTTTATGAGGGGTTTTATTATTTTTTATTCTAGTAATTTAAGATACATACTCTAAGTCATTCTATTGTCACTAGTACCATACTTTCACTTACATTCTCTCAATTGAATCTTTCAAACAGAAATCCCTCTATGCTGAAGAAATGACAAAGAAGACTCAAAAGAACGAAGAACGACTTCAAGAGCTCCGAGCAGAAAATCTATTTCTTAAGCGTAAAAATGATGAACATGAGACACAAATTGATAGATTAACAAAACAAATCCTAACATTCAAGGATTTAAAATCAAAATATGACGAAGCAATTCGTGAAAATGAATTTATGCGTTCAAAACTAAGATTTATGGAGAAAAATGGTGGAATGTCCATGAGTGGAAGTATTGGAATGTCTCGAATGCCATCAACTACAACACGACTTAATATGGCTGGAACTCAAATGGAAGATGAAGCGGGCGAAGAGTTCAATAATACTTATTTAAAGGATTTAAAATTCGGAAGTGATTTTTCACTTGATAGACAAATGAATGATGTCTGTTCAGCATCAGTTATGCAGCAGAGAAACTCAATGTATCCACAACATATGAGGGATTCGTATGCAGTAATTAATCTTGATAGAAATGTTGGTGAGGAGGAAATGAAGGTAAATTTACAGAAATAAAATTTATCAATTTTTTGAATTAATGTTAAATATTTTTTCATAATTAGTTCGGTGGGGTTAATCTCGATGATAGTGATGCTCTTCTCCTACAAAACCAACAAAGAAAGAAGCAAAGCACATCATACAAACGTCCAGGACCACCTACACCATCCAAAAATGCAGGTAGGCTGTCCATTGGTGGACAAAGTGATGTTCAGTATTCAAATATCTTGAAAGAAACGGGAAACATTGATAATGCTGGAAAGAAACAAACACCGGGACGTGTTATGGCATTTTTGTCGCATTTCTCAAAGACTAAAGATGAGGTAAGTTTTGATTTAGAATTTAGATAAGTTAGTCCTAAGCTTAGGTAGAAGTTGGATAAGTCAAATGTCAGAATTTGAAAAAATAAAATTTTATTTCGTATTTTTTCCCTTTAAAAATTTTAAATAATAGAAAAATTCAAAAAAGCTCCAAAAGCACCTTAAAAATCAAAATATTGCATGGATAGTCCAAGGTGAATCAGGTGATCATAATGACAGTTTGAGTGGATCTCAATTTACAAAGGAATTAAATCGAATGGAAAGGAGAAATGATGTAAGAGATAACAACAGACAGCTTAATCTTGAAGACACTGATGTGGATGAATTTGAGGATGAACAATGGACTGAAGAGTCAAGCAGCAGCGAGGAAAAGAAAAAGGAAGGAAAAGCATTTTCTCATTTAAATGATTCAATTAAACAGAAAAAGTTTCATGAAGAATTATTGAAGAAGCAACAGAAAGTGAGGATTAATAGATTCTCATTGAACAGAAGGAAATCGAAGGAGGGAATTTAAAAATTTAAACTGTAAAATTATTTGAATTTTTTATTTAAATTTGGTAATTAGACAATTTTTCATTTTCATTATTTATTATTTTTTAATAGTTTTAAATTAAATACTAAATCTGATATTAAACACAAAAATGTTTGTAATTTTTAAAAATTAATTTAATACATAAAAATATTTTTATAACATTGAACTAATTTTAAATAATTTTATTTTATTTTATTTGCAGAACTCTCCGGGAAAAGCTCGACGATTATCACTTTTGAGAAACAAAAAATAAGTTAAAAATAATTAAGAACTTGCCATTATTATAGCATTTTTTAAAATTTTTAAAACTGAGTACTTTTGCTCTCTAGCTATTGTTAAATTCAATTATTATTTAAAATTATATATTTTTTTGTGGGTCTGGTCTCATTTTAATTTTTCATGTTTAATATATTTTAACATTATTTTTTATCTTGCCTTTTAAATAAAAACTAAGTTAAATAAAGTTGAAAATATTTTTTTTTATTTTTTTTTCAGAATAAATATTTTTTTTTTAAATTTAACACTAGGAAATATTATGGCCATATCTCTTAAACAAACTTATCAATTAAACAAAAGAAAAAAATGTGTAAAAATCACGTTTAACTTATCTTAAATCTAAATTCCACTTAACACGTATCATCATTGATACTTTAACAAGCCGCACGTCCCCAAATATAAATTTTTTTGAATTTCATCAAATTAAGTAATGCGATTATCAGTAATACGAGAGCTAATTTGACACATAATGACGCAGATACGTTTTTGAGGGCTTCAGACATCTTATCGGCATAGCAAAAATCGTCGTTTGCGTTTCTTTTCGCTTTCTGTGGACACCATTGAGGTGATTGACTGAGTTGAGGTAACTTTTTTGTGTTCAGGTTTGCGATCCTCCTAAAATTTAAGATTAAAAGATTGTTAAAATTAAATCCTCAATTTTCAAGTTAAATGTCTGTTGCTAGGTTAGAAGCTGACTTACCTCAACAATTTCTCCAATTTTCAAGGTCTTTAATTCCTTCATAGCATCACGCGAATGACAAGCATCATCAAAATCCCTCGTACAATCACGACCAGCAAAATCTAGAATAAGGCTAGGATCTCCAGGGTGCTTATCAATATAATTTGTACAGTCATAAACTGCATATTTGTAGATAATCCAAACAGGATTTCCGTTTTTGCCATTTCCTTGCTCACGGACTTCTTTCAAAGTATAATATTTGGTGGCTGTTGTGATTGTCATTGTTGTGTCGATTAGTGTATCAAAATTAGTACTGAATGATATATTATTGTTAGTAACTCCTTATATACTCGTATTATTCGATGTTAAGGTTGTACGTGAGATAAAATGCTTTTTTTAAAGTACCTCGCGTCAAAATTTTCTTGCTAGACTTTTTTTTGTTGTTTTTTAAACCAATTGAGGTGTGAATTGTTATCATTGCATGTCTAGTGGGAAACTTATATCTGCATTTGTTGTTATTTGTTTTTAACCGTCATGGTACGTGATTTCTGGATTTAAAATTAAACGTTTCTGAGGGATTTTACTTCTTGATTGCAATATTTTCACAAATTCAATAATTAAATAATATCAGCACTTAACATCCTGGGAAACATTATGGATAAACTGCTTTAAAGTGTCTTTAGATTGTTTAGGTCTAGTAGATGAAGAAAAACACTAATTGGAGTGGCGAAAGCATGTTTTTCAAAGTTACCAGTTAATTTGCAGTTGAGCATACCAAGTGTGGCATCTACTATCCTCAAACAATAAGGAACACAGAGCAGTATGCAATGACTAAACAACAAATTATTGAAGACGAAGTTGGGAAAAGGAAATGGAACTGGATTGGTCATACATGAAGGAAAGAACATACAGACATCGCGAGACAAGCAATTTTCTGGAGTGTCCAAGGAAATAGGACTAGGGGCCGACGGAGAATTACTTGGCGTACAACTGTTGAACGGGAGGCGGAACAAAAGAACAAGAAGCTGCAGGAAATAACAGCTTTGGCCCATAATCGACTGCGATTCAAATGCTTTGTGGACGCCCTACGCTTTATAGTGGAGCAATAGGAACCCATCATCATCATCAATGAAGTTGCGCGTTTTACTGTCCATATATGGCTTAATACATGGTAGTTGAGCTTTACTTTCAGCTGTGTTATTTATTATAATCTTCTGAATTGCTAGATTAAAGTCTTCGAATGTGTTATAGTCTAAGTTTTCGAGCACTTTGAAATTAAGAATTTTTAGCGCATTTTTGTATACTTGTATACAAAAAAGTAGCTTAATAACTCACTTTGTTCGGCTGCTAACCGAGATCTCATCAACCAGACATCGTAGAGAGCTCGGGTTTGTTTTATTAGCTCAGTTTTATCGTGTTATTCCGGTATTGATTAGTTAGAAAGCTTAAAACAATGGCTTTGTACTTTAATTAATGATTTCTTTAATTTCAACAGTGTAACCTGTTCAAATTTTTTTCGACTACCTCTATATTTTCAAATTTTTAAAAGTCGTTAAAATTTGAATTTCGAAAAACCGTTAAAAGATAGTCTTGGAACAAATTATTTAATTACAAATTATTTATTGAAAAAAAAATTATTGACCGTTAAATAATAAAGCCTTTCTATATAAGCATTCATTATAATTATTTGTTAATGATGAATGATCTTCTAATGATCTCTAAACGAACGCAAAATAATTAGATAATCAAATACTGATCGCTAACACAAAAATGCGCTTAAGTCCCTCGATCAATAACACCAGGACTTCTGTAATTTTTTGATTATTAACGCGTTTGTACTGAGTTGTCTTAGCATTTTCAAATTAATTGGATTGCCTTTGTATGCTTAAGATAATATTCTTGTGGTCGGCTTTATTGTCAAACAGAAACATTTCATGCGATAACGGATTCTTGTAGAAATGGAAGTCAGTAAATATGTGATCTATGCAAGTACTCGAATTATATCTATTATTAATGCGCGTTGGATATTCATTTGAGGTGGAGTTTAGGAATGACAGCCCATTTGAGTTTACTATGTCCTTATAATTATTTACAAGAGGAGCAGATCTATCGAACTGATTAATGTTAAAGTCGCCGAAGAAATATATTTTATTAAAAGTTTAATAAGAGATCAAGTTTGTTCAGGAATATTCTTCCGTCTTGATCAAGAGAATTATTTGGTTGCCTGTAGCAAAGACCTACGTAAATGTCTGCTTTTGTAAGCGAGATAATTATAAAGTTACTATTGTTATTATTTGTAAAACATATCTAGGTATTATAAATGATAAAGAATGCTAATTCGGATATAAAATCGATATGTTTTTGAAAATAGCCTACTATGATCAAAAACCAAAAAATGCTTAAATTGCATTTTAAAACGAATCTAGGAATGAATGCTAATTCAGAAATAAAATCGATTTTTTTTTGAAAATAGCCTACTATGATCAAAAACCAAAAAATGCTTAAATTGCATTTTAAAACATATCTAGGAATTATAAATGATAAAGAATGCTAATTCAGATATAAAATCGATATTTTTTTGAAAATAGCCTACTATGATCAAAAACCAAAAAATGCTTAAATTGCATTTTAAAACGAATCTAGGAATTATAAATGATAAAGAATGCTAATTCAGATATAAAATCGATATTTTTTTGAAAATAGCCTACTATGATCAAAAACCAAAAAATGCTTAAATTGCATCTTAAAACGTATCTAGGAATTATAATTCAGATATAAAATCGATTTTTTTTGAAAATAGCCTACTATGATCAAAAACCAAAAAATGCTTAAATTGCATTTTAAAACGAATCTAGGAATTATAAATGATAAAGAATGCTAATTCAGATATAAAATCGATATTTTTTTGAAAATAGCCTACTATGATCAAAAACCAAAAAATGCTTAAATTGCATCTTAAAACGTATCTAGGAATTATAAATGATAAAGAATGCTAATTCAGATATAAAATCGATATTTTTTTGAAAATAGCCTCCTATGATCAAAAACCAAAAAATGCTTAAATTGCATTTTAAAACGAATCTAGGAATTATAAATGATAAAGAATGCTAATTCAGATATAAAATCGATATTTTTTTGAAAATAGCCTACTATGATCAAAAACCAAAAAATGCTTAAATTGCATTTTAAAACGAATCTAGGAATTATAAATGATAAAGAATGCTAATTCAGATATAAAATCGATATTTTTTTGAAAATAGCCTCCTATGATCAAAAACCAAAAAATGCTTAAATTGCATTTTAAAACGAATCTAGGAATTATAAATGATAAAGAATGCTAATTCAGATATAAAATCGATATTTTTTTGAAAATAGCCTACTATGATCAAAAACCAAAAAATGCTTAAATTGCATTTTAAAACGAATCTAGGAATTATAAATGATAAAGAATGCTAATTCAGATATAAAATCGATATTTTTTTGAAAATAGCCTACTATGATCAAAAACCAAAAAATGCTTAAATTGCATCTTAAAACGTATCTAGGAATTATAATTCAGATATAAAATCGATTTTTTTTGAAAATAGCCTACTATGATCAAAAACCAAAAAATGCTTAAATTGCATTTTAAAACGAATCTAGGAATTATAAATGATAAAGAATGCTAATTCAGATATAAAATCGATATTTTTTTGAAAATAGCCTACTATGATCAAAAACCAAAAAATGCTTAAATTGCATTTTAAAACGTATCTAGGAATTATAATTCAGATATAAAATCGATATTTTTTTGAAAATAGCCTCCTATGATCAAAAACCAAAAAATGCTTAAATTGCATTTTAAAACGAATCCAGGAATAATAAATGATAATGAATTATAATTCAGATATAAAATCGATATTTTTTTGAAAATAGCCTACTATGATCAAAAACCAAAAAATGCTTAAATTGCATTTTAAAACATATCTAGGAATTATAAATGATAAAGAATGCTAATTCAGATATAAAATCGATATTTTTTTGAAAATAGCCTACTATGATCAAAAACCAAAAAATGCTTAAATTGCATCTTAAAACGTATCTAGGAATTATAATTCAGATATAAAATCGATTTTTTTTGAAAATAGCCTACTATGATCAAAAACCAAAAAATGCTTAAATTGCATTTTAAAACGAATCTAGGAATTATAAATGATAAAGAATGCTAATTCAGATATAAAATCGATATTTTTTTGAAAATAGCTTACTATGATCAAAAACCAAAAAATGCTTAAATTGCATCTTAAAACGTATCTAGGAATTATAATTCAGATATAAAATCGATATTTTTTTGAAAATAGCCTCCTATGATCAAAAACCAAAAAATGCTTAAATTGCATTTTAAAACGAATCTAGGAATAATAAATGATAAAGAATGCTAATTCAGATATAAAAACGATATTTTTTTGAAAATAGCTTACTATGATCAAAAACCAAAAAATGCTTAAATTGCATCTTAAAACGTATCTAGGAATTATAATTCAGATATAAAATCGATATTTTTTTGAAAATAGCCTCCTATGATCAAAAACCAAAAAATGCTTAAATTGCATTTTAAAACGAATCTAGGAATTATAAATGATAAAGAATGCTAATTCAGATATAAAATCGATATTTTTTTGAAAATAGCCTACTATGATCAAAAACCAAAAAATGCTTAAATTGCATTTTAAAACGAATCTAGGAATTATAAATGATAAAGAATGCTAATTCAGATATAAAATCGATATTTTTTTGAAAATAGCCTCCTATGATCGAAAACCAAAAAATGCTTAAATTGCATTTTAAAACGAATCCAGGAATAATAAATGATAATGAATTATAATTCAGATATAAAATCGATATTTTTTTGAAAATAGCCTACTATGATCAAAAACCAAAAAATGCTCAAATTGCATTTTAAAACATATTAAGGTACTATAAATGATAAAAATTGCTAATTCAGATATAAAATCGATTTTTTTTTGAAAATAGCCTACTATGATCAAAAACCAAAAAATGCTTATATTGCATTTTAAAACGAATCTAGGAATTACAAATGATAAAGAATGCTAATTCAGATATAAAATCGATATTTTTTTGAAAATAGCCTGCTATGATCAAAAACCAAAAAATGCTTTAAATTGCATTTTAAAACATATCTAAAAATTATAAATGATAAAGAATGCTAATACAGATATAAAATCGATATTTTTTTGAAAATAGCCTACCATGATCAAAAACCAAAAAATGCTTAAAATTGCATTTTAAAACATATCTAAAAATTATAAATGATAAAGAATGCTAATACAGATATTAAATCGATATTTTTTTGAAAATAGCCTACCATGATCAAAAACCAAAAAATGCTTAAAATTGCATTT